TTTGTAAAAAACCTGTGATGTTATGGTGAAATAACAGCACAGTTAGAACACCTCTCAACCAATCAGCTTGCGTGGCCGGAACTAACTGTTGTATAAAGATCAATCAGCCACAACATTATGACCACCTACTTGTTTCTATGCTCACTGTCCATTTTATCAGCTCCACTTACTATATAGGTGCACTTTGTAGTTCTACAGTTACAGACTGTAGTCCATCTGTTTCTCTGATACTTTGTTAGCCCCCCTTTTCCAGCTTGGAAATACAAGATTTTTGCTTATACCTGTACAAATAGTCTGGAACACTTACGCTCACGTCACCACTGTCATTTCAGGATTTCTCTATTGTAACTGGTGATGACTTAAAGCTTCAGAGAGTCCAAGAGAAGATTGAAAAGCTCAAGGTGCGTATTTCTTCCTAAGGCTGGAAAACAAACACATTTTTCATATAGTGTATAAATATTGTTACTGTTTTAGAACATATTGTTCACTCCCCTGCCCATACAGATATATATATATACGTTTCTACAGAAACGTCCACTTTTCTATCTCCCAATAGGAGTCACTGGTGTTACTGATCCTCATTGGTGTTACACATTAGAAAGGGAACACCAGAGACGTTTTTAATGAAAAATGCATTTTACAAAATAACTGCTACAGAACATCAAACCACATGTTGTCAATCATGGAAAATCCACTAAAATATGTAATTTAATCCATTTGTATTCTATTTATTTATTTCATTATATAATTTATAATATTTATTTGTCATTTCTTTTCTTTATGTCATTTAATTCATATATTTAATAGTCATGTATAGATTATTGCAGTTAAAATTGCAGAAAAACATTTGTTTACTTCAAAATATGACCTCAGCCTTTACACATGACTGTGAGGACGAGCTCTTCTGTGGTGCTTGGAATTCTATATTGAGATTGATTTAAAAAACAATATTGCTAAATTGATGACTCAAGAAGGTGTAATTGTTAAAATAACATTGTTTTAAAATATTTTATATATATTTATATATTTTAAAATATAAATAAATTGTAACCCTAACATGGTTTTTAAGTGTAATATATCTGTAAATGTTAGTGACATAAAAATGGACGTTTCTCTAGAATAACCCTAGAATGATATATATATATACATATATATATACATATACACACACACACACATATATCTACCTGTTCAGCCTACTGCACTGCAAAAAATGATATCTTATGAGTGTAAGTGAGTGTAAACATCTTAAATGTATATATCTAATATTTCTCATTACGTGACTGTTGTAATAATATTGTGGGGTTATTTAACTTTAACATTTTTACTTGTTTTTAAGCTGTTTTATCTTACAAAATTGTCGTATTCTGTTGGCAGATCATGTTAGTTTTTAGCATTATTTTTTGAAATGAGCAAAATTATCTTCATTATTTCTCAAAATAAGTAAAACAATCTGCCAATGGAATAAGACACTTTCACTAGATAAAATCACTTAAAACAAGGAAAATTGTACAGAAACAAGTGGAAAAAATCTTATAATATTCAGTTTTATAATGAGAATTATTAGATTTATTGACTATGTTTAAGACGTTTTCACTTGTTAAGATAATTCTAAGGGATTAAGAGAGGTTTGGAAAATGGTCGTGTAGAATTAATTTTGGTGCATAAACTCACACAAATGTTATAAGTAGGGGAAAAAAAATGAAAAACAACTGAAACGTACGCTATTGACGTTTAAATGTAAATAACCTTAAGATTCAGCACTTAATATTCATATTATTCACATAATTTTTCACCACCCATTAAGCACAGGCCTTCAGAGAAAAAGAACATGAGAGCTGTTTCTAAATCCACAGGCGGATCATGACGCCCTGCTGAAAGACCAGAAGCTACTCTTGGACGCCAGGAACAGCAATGTCCAGTTTACTCAGGAGTTCCAGCTGCGAGCTGAGAACCTCAGAAAGAACCTGGAGGAGGAGAAGCTCAAAAAGGCCGAGGCAGAGAAGAAGGAGCAGGTCAGAATTTAAACACAGTTTTAACAGGTTACAAAAAACTATATATTTTTTCATTTTGGTGTGGACAAAAATGTGTCCATATTCTTTGGGACATTTTTGCCTTACATACCTTGCATGTACCTCTCCACACTGAATGGGTTTAAAATACGTTTTAAGCCAAAATCTTCGCAAAAGTATCATGAAACAATGTTTCAGACATCAAGCAGTGAATTCAGAACAATGTCATGTAATAGCTTTCTGTGAGGGAGCTCCATGTAGACACCTCAGTCAGAATAGTCTAGTCTGATTGAGGCCATTCAGAATACAGTTTCTATCCGACTGATCGAGGTGGGTAATCCTGTAAATAATCCGTTAAATAGAAGAATAATATCTGTGTAAACGCCTGTATCTGATTACATTCCCTATCAGAAAGTTTAAGTCCGTTCTGATCATGTTCGTCACGTCATAGTGAAAGTTTATACCGTTCAACATGGCGGAGCAGAAACTGGTCTGCAGAGGAGACGAAGTTTATGCTGTGATCTTTAAAAGGCGATGGTGGGACGGACGTCCAGCTTATGTTCCCCTTTATATACGTGACCTCTAGTCTTTACACAAGCTTGCCATTCTTGGCTTTGTTTACATTAAACCACACAGACTGTTTTCAGAATAAGATTTATTGCTCTAGAAAGAAAAATTAATTAAAATTAATTTATATATATATATGAATGTGACTGGCTTTTAAGGGGTGGACGTCTGGTTCCTATCACCACCACAACAATTTTGCAGATTTTGGTAGAATTTTGGCAGAATTCCCATTTAGCCCTCATGTTTTATTCACATTTAAGAACTCATGATTCATCATTGTTTATGTTTTAAGCCTTTAATTATGCAGAAATTTTGAAAGTCAGTGGAATTCTCCTTTAAGATAAATCACAGGTGCAGAAAGCATTTTAGTAGTTTTCACAAGGGGAAATGAGCCCAATAAAACAAGAAAACACAAATAAATAAAACAAAAAACAAGCTTTATCTGTTTTACAACAACAACTTGACAGAGAAACAGCACAAAGTCTCAGTGCTGATGGACGAGACGTTTATGGGACACAGATAACACATAAAATAAACCAAAAAAGCAACAACAACAAAACTACAAACACACTGAATCCTAAACCAACTCAGAGCTGTTTACTTCGTCTGAAACTGATAGTTACCTTCATTGCAAGGCATGCTGGGAAGCCACACAGACCACATCAAACCGTATGTATATGGTATGTTCTAGAACAGAGTGATGTGTGATTTACAGTAAGAAGACTCTGTGCTGATTGTCTTTACATAAGAGATTATAGAGAGTGTGATATAATGAAGGAGGACATTCTTGTAATTAAAGGTGCCTTAAAGGATTTTTCTCACTATCACTCACAGTTACAGAGTCAGCTTTGCTGCTTTTGAGAAACATATAAAAATATATATTATTAATTTCGCATTTGTTGAAAATTGTCATGCATCTAATTTATCAATCATTATATTTCATTGTATTTCATTCAATTTCTGTATTTGTACATTACATATGCAAAAGTTGGGACGCCCCTGGTCGAATGAATCAAATAGTTTTGAAGTTTTTCGAAGTGAAAATATGAGTATATATGAGTCTAATATATAAAATATGAATGAACACATTCTCTGCAGAGAGCACACTTTAGTCAGACATTATTCTGAAAATCGTAGCGCAGAATTTCTATTTATTTAGAGTTTTAAATTAGAGTTTAACGTTTAGGAAAAAAAAAAACTATAAAAAAAAAGCCGTAACTTTTGCACAGGCCCAGTTTTCTGCTTTTTCTGCTGAGAATATCAAAAAAACATGTAACAAGGGGTGCCCAAACTTTTGCATACGACTGTATCTCGTCTTTCTGCTTTTAAATGTAGTATTTTAATTCTAAAGCACTTTGATCTGATATATGTATCAATGCTTTATGAATAAAGTCATCATTGTCATTATCATTATTATTGTTATTGTTAATATTATGTAGAATAACCGTATTGTTTTAAAGAAATGTTTGTAAATGAGGTGCGAGTGTGAAGAACTTTAAAGAACCTCCACATAATGTAAAGGTTCTAAACCAATACAAGGTTGTTCCTAGAAATAGAACCAAACCAAGACCTGTTCAGGAACCTTTATTTCTAAGATTACAGTGTCAGTGTTAATAATCTTTATAATAAATGACTCCTAAGCTCTTGTTTTCCTCCGTGTAGGAGAAGCTGGAGGATCTAAAGCAGGAGAACGAAAGGCTGGAGATGGAGCTCAGGAGTGTGGACCAGAAACTGAAGGATTTGGAGGAAACCAATCAGAGCCTGAGGCAGCAGACTGAGGTTTGGAGTTAATGCAGCTCAATAAGACAGAGCAGCCTGTGTTTTGAACCCCTTAAAGGGCCAGAGCCCACCAGCAGGCCCACAGGTTTATTCCACACTTCTATAATCTAAGAATAGCTCAGCCAGTTTGCATTGAGTCCCTGTAGTTACTGAATAATAAGCCTCAGTGTGTAATAAGCCTGGGATTTAAAGGAGTTACTCATTGTTTATTATGTTTATAGAGGGAAGAGGCCCACTGAGGTCTCATTCACTTCAAAATGGCTTTGAATATTAAATAGTGATCATTTTTAGGTGTGCAGTAGGAGTCTGTAACCTAACAATGATTCAAACCCACTACGATTCTTTAGAAAATGATTCAGTGCGTCCTGGAATCTCAAATTTCACCAAGATTCAGTCATTTTGGTTTGATTCAGAATCATTATAAAATAGACTGTTTATACAGTGACAGAATATTTGTTTATTGTTATTTGTTTCATTTATAGACAATAACAACAATATACTGAGGATTTTATGCTTTTACATTTGAAAATAGCCCATGAGTTTGAGCACAAACTTCATCAAATATTACTATAATCAGTGATAATCATTTCTGAGGTGAAACTTTCATGCAACTAGTTTTAGAGTTGCATGCAATTTCATTTCTGTGCAACTTGACAGTTACACAAAGCAATTAAAAAACAGTTGCATGCAACACATTCGATTACTCCACTAGTTAGCCAAATTAGCAGCTATATCTTTGAACATGGTTCTTGCTATATAAAATCATGGTGTTATTTACATTTGTATATTTGCAGCATTTTTATTGTCCTTATGTATTTTTCCAGCTGTCCTTGCCTCTATTGTTTTTTTAATAATATCTATGTTTTTACTAAATATTCGAGTTCTTAATCAGTTCTGTGTATTAAGCCTTTGAAAATCAATGTTTAAGTAGTCATTGCGGTCAAGAGAGGAGAAAATGAATAGTCTAGCTACATAGATCACAAAAACAGCAGCTAAAAAAGAACCAATGTTGCACAAGCAGCTGTTTAAACTGCTATTAGCGTAAGCTGGCTAGTTAACGCAGCTTGTAACATAAATGTTTGTTTCAAGAAACTTGTTTGTTTGGAGTTATGATTCATAAAACTGACAAAATAAATATTTATCGACCTTGCATAAAATCAAACAGGAAGATCTCTTTTTTAACCATTCAGTAACCCATTTTTGTTGTATTTTCTTGTCCATAGATCTCTGGTGAAATCAATAGTTTGAAATGATGTTTGACATGATCATGGGATGCGTTATCTGCATTTTGATTGGCTGTTTCACAAAACTTGTTTCACAAAGTTGAGACGCTTGCAACTCTTGCGGCTGAGTTTCAAACAAGTTGTTTTACATTATGCAACTCAAGTGCAACTTAGTTTCATGTAGGTTTCAAGCAACAAAAGTTGCATGTAAGTTTCAGCGTGTAAAGCCAGCCCAGGATGAATTCAATTGTAAGATTACTTCAATTATGATCATCTAATAGTCCAGAATCAATGCAGCTGAACTGCCATGATGCATTCTGATGGGTTTTGAGAAGTAACAGGCCCTGTGAAACTAACGAAGCTGAATGATTGGCTGTTCAGGTGTCCACTGCAGTGCCGGAGAAGAAGGTCGTATTTAACGGAGAGACGGCTAATGGAGCTCATGCTTCGGGTTTCGATTTGAAACCCCACATTGTGTATCCGATGGAGGGGGGCACTGCGCTCATCACCTTTGAGGATGAAGAAGGTTTGAGAAGTTTACTGATGTCCTCAGTGCAGAGTGTGGAGTCTTTACACCACTCATGATACAAAATGAATGTCGTTTCGTGAAAATAGACGCCCTTTGTCTATATTTCTATAATAACAGATATTATTGGTTAAGAGTCTCTTACCCCGCCCACCGTTGCACAGTGACGTAATTAAAAATCAGAAGACTTTTTAGAGGCGGGGCTAAAGTCATTACATTTTGATGAAAGATTATGACAAAACAAGAGTTTTGTCTTTTAACTAAGATGGTCTTTTAAACTAAGACGGTCAAAAAGGCCATTTATGTTTTCAGGTTGACTTTGAAATTGTTCATGTAAAGAATTCAACAAAATAACTAAATAATTAATAATTATGAGAATTAAGTACATTTTAAGTCAAGTTTGTACTTTTAACTGTTGCAGAAATACAGAAGATTTTAGTGCTTGTCTGAGTAATGTTTTACCGACACTTAAAAAAAAAATTCTTTGCTTGATGCTGTAGAAGAACCATTTCTGATACACTTAAGAACTTTTCAAAAAGAATCAGTTCTGTAAATGAGATGTGGATGAATGTGAAAGTGAAGAACCTTTATAAAGCTTATCGCCACATAATGTATAGAATCTAGAAAGAACTGTTAAACTCGTAAAGAACCTTTACCAGAGCTGGTTTATGAGGAGACTGGCCGCTTCCTATTTCCCCTGTTATATCAAAAATATGGCAGCAAAACAGCAGAGGGCGCCCGCGAGGGAGTCCTCAATGAATGGGAGTAAATGAAGCTAAACGGCTAAAAAAGGGTTTAAAATAGTTTCTAATCACTCGCCCAGAATGTTACTTTACTTTCAGAAAGTGAAGGACGTATTTCACTAAAAAAGAAAAGAAAACTCACCGGTATGTTTCCATTTTTCTACAGCAAACAGGTTTTAGGCAGCAGGACACTAACATAACTGCTACTGAGTGCTGATTGGTTAGCATTACTGCTACTTAGTGCTGATTGGATGGTGGGTGGAGAAGCTCATTGGCTGTTCGCCCTCACTGACATCATGAACGTACACGAGGCACTGTTTTAAACTCCTATAACTCGAGTTTAAAAGCTCTTAAAAATATAACAGCAGTGTTAAAATGTTTTGTGCTGCTCTGTGTTCAGGATATGAATGTATTCTTTTTATATTAAAAATGTTTAAGCATTTATAAACCACGATTTTACTCAAATGCTCCATCTTAACCGTTCATTTTGGACTTGCTCGGGAGCGCCCTCTAGTGTTTCAGAAACCCGGAAGAATTACAGAGTGGAAATTCTGTTTGGCCAGATGTTTGGAAGCAACACTAATGTACTGTGAAGAAGGCTTTGCCCATAGACTACACCGCAGTACTAGTGCAATTAATGTAGGCCAATAAATGTGTGGTGATGGTTGTTCGCAAACTCACGTCATTAGATATTTCTGAATAATATATTTATAATATCTTTATAAATAATTTAAAAACAGTCACTGCTTGCTTCCACACTTGAAGAGCATTGCTTTGTGTTCTTGTCTAATCTTCTGTGTCCCTCTTTTCCTCCTCAGTGGCTGAAAAGATCCTGGCTCTAAAGGAGCACGAGGTGATACTGGGTGACTGCAAAATTGTCGTGCAGGCCGAGCCGGTGCGCTTCCTGGTGCCTGATGTGGTGGAGGTACTGCAGCGTCTCCTGTAACCTCAATGAGTCTGTGGCTTTGTGTTTTTGTTTGGTTGATCAGTTAACCTGTAGAAATCTGGAGTTACCATAGCATGACTAGTAACCACCTGGGATTCCACAGCAATGGCTAGGCAGTGCATTTGCAACCCCTGGGATACCATAGCAACAACCTAGCAACACCTTAGCAACCACCTAGAATAACATAGCAATGGATGAAGAACACATTAGCAGCGACCTAGGATGCAATAGCAATGGCCTAGCAATACCTTAGCAACCATATGAGACAACATAGCAGCACCTTAGCAACCACCAGGGATACCATAGCTACAATCTAGCAAGACATTAGTAATCACCTGGGATTTCATAGCAACAGCCTAGCAAGACCTTAGCAGCTACCTGAGATACAATAGCAATGACCTAGCAAGACCTTAGCAACCACCTGAAATAACATAGCAGCACCTTAGCAATCACCTGAGATAACGTAGCAGCACCTTAGCAACCACCTGGGATACCACATCAACAGCCTAGCAAGACCTTAGCAATCACTTGGGATTTCATAGCAATGGCCTAGCAACAGCTTAGCAAGAGATGCACCTGAGATACAATAGCAGAGCCCTAGCAATGCCTAGCAACCACATGCAACACCATAGCATGGCCTAGCAACCACCACCTTAGCAACCACCTGGGATACTATAGCAACAGCCTAGCACCTTCTTTTGCAACCACCTGGAATGTCATAAGCAATGGCTAAGCAACACATTAGCAACCACCTGAGATACAATAGAAATGACCTAGCAAGACCCTAGCAACCACCTGAGATGACATAGCAGCACCTTAGCAACCACCTGGAATACCATAGCAACAGCCTAGCAGCACATTAGCAACCACTTGGGATAGAGCAATTGGGATCGATTTACATTCTGTGCTTTCGGATTTTTTTGTCTTTGTTTCGATGTCAAAAAATGCCAAAAAGTAGACATTTTAAAAATACTGTTCATACAACAATCATAATAAAATATCTCCTCTTCCACCTTTAAACGTGCTGTGGATCGAAAGTTCTGCAGTTATCACAGTTTATCTGCTTGTTTCAGTGAGCGGTGAGTGAGAAATGTAGGAAGAGGTGTTGTGAGGTGTAAACACTATGGGGGACCTCGCAGGGTTAACGGTGTACATTTGACTCTCTCTGGTTCAGATGGACACTCAGGTTTGCCCGCGCCGCATCCTCGTCTCCAACCTGCCCAACAAAGAGAGCAAGGAACGGATCCTGGATAAGCTGGAGATTCATTTCTCCAAAAGCAAGAACGGGGGCGGGGAGGTGGATGAGATCGACATGCTGGAGGACTCTGGAAACGTGGTCATCACCTTCGTAGACAGCAACAGTGCGTACACTATATATATAGTTATGTAACTGAAAAATAAAATTCTTTACTTTTTTAACTAAAAAATCCAAATAACATAAAAAGCTTGGTGTATTGTACACTATATGGCCACAAGTATTGATATGGATATTAAGTAATTATTGAGTTCAAGTGTTTCAGCCACTTATTGCTAACAGGTGGAGAAAATCAAGCACATAGCCCTGCAGTCTCCATAGACAAATATTGGCAGTAAAGGGTTGTACTCATGAGCTCAGTGACTTTAAGGGTGGTGCTGTCATAGGATGCCACCCTTGCCAGGTTATGAAATTGCTGTCCTGCTAGATCTGCCCTAGTCAACTGTAAGTGCTATTGTTGTAAAATGGAAGCGCCCATGATCAACAACAGCTTAGCCTCCCAAACAGTAGACCATGCAAACTCACCCTCAACCCCATATCATCATCCCTCCTCCACCAAACTTTACAGCTGGCACAGTGCAGTCAGGCAGGTAATGTTCTCCTGGCATTCACCAAACCCAGACTCGTCCATCAGACTGACAGATAGAGAAGCTGATTCATCACTCCACAGAATGCGTTTCCACTGCTCCAGAGTCCAGTGGCGGCGCTTTACACCACTCCAGCCGACACTTGGCATTGAGCATTTTGATCCTAGACTTGTGTGCAGCTGCTCAGCCATGGAAACCCATTTCATGAAGCTCCTAATGTGCAGTTCTTTTGCTGATGTTGCTTCCAGAGGCGGTTTGGTCCTCTTTAGTGATTCAACAGAGGATAGGCACTGTGCGCTTCAGCACTCAGCAGCCCGACTCTGTGAGCTTGCGTGGTCTACCACTTCGTGGCTGAGCTGTTTTTGCTCCTAGATGCTTCCATTTCACAACAATAGCACTTACAGTTGTCTGGGGCAGATCTAGCAGGACAGCAATCTCACAAACTGACTTGCATCCTATAACAGTGCCGTGTTTAAAGTCACTGAGCTCATCAGTGCGACCCTCTACTGCCAGTGTTCGTCTATTGAGACTGCAAGGCTGTGTGCCTAATTTTATCCACCTGTTAGCAATGGGTGTGGCTGAAACACCTAAACTCAATGATTAGGAGGGGTATCCCAATACTTTTGGCCATATAGTGTAGGTGTGATGGTCAGGTGTCCACATTCTTTTGTCCATATAATGAATCTATATTCCAGTTGCTCCAGTTACATCTGAGTATTCAGTGTATTTCTAAAAATATTGTACTGCAGGCCCCCTAGTGGCCATTCTGCTGCTGGAATGGAAATCGACTTGTTAATTTTAATTAATATAGTCAAATAAAACATGTTTTCCCCTGTAACCCTATCAGATGAACTCTCTGTGTGTGAAATGTTGTGAGAACCCTATTAGAAAATAGAAAAACTATTCACACGTCTCCAAAAAGATAAAACTGACAACTGCAGCTTTCTTCATATCAAACAATCCCGTAAAGCTAAAGTACCCGTAAAATCCCGAAACAGAATTCTATTTTATGTCTACTACAGGAACGGGTTAAACGATTTCCTACAGGTTCATAACTGAATAGTCCCTCTATGTTAATGTGGGCTTGTTTCAGGTTCCCAGGTGGTTTAGCAGGTTTGCATCTAAAACACAATCTTTTTCTCTTCCTCTCATTAGTTGCCAAAGGCCTTACAGATAAACAGACTCACGAGGTGGAGATGGAAAGAGGAAAGAAGCACAAAGTGAAGGTCACCCCCTTCCTCAACGGCGACATCACGCTTCTCCAGGTGAGAGACGGTCCTGTATCTGACCACATACCTCGTTTAGTGTTCTTTCCTCTTGAAGGGCAGCGACATCCTCAGTTTTATTACAGTTTGAATGAAGTACCGCAGGTGCCACATCACGAAACAGCTGGAATGCACGCTGATCATCAAAACCCTGGGCCTCATTCTCCAATATCTTCCTGAGTTTGTTCTTAAATGTATTCTTGATAAAGATCCTAAGAAAAAGTCTACGTCAGATTCATGACATGTTCTTAAACCACAGAACTGTTCTCACCTTTGTGCTCTTGAGTGAGTGTAGATTCTGTTCTTACCTAAGAACGAATCCCAAATAAGAAAACACTGGTAAATGTCAGAATCTTCGTGAAAACTGCGTAAGTGGATTTAAGAAGATATTTCTTCTTAAGAACGGTTGGTGAATGAGTCCCATTGTTTTCAGTACAGGGCAGCACGGTGGCGGAGTGGGTAGCGCTGTTGCCTCACAGCGAGAATAACCTGGGTTCGATTCCCGGCCGGGCGACCAGGGCACTTTCTGTGTGGAGTTTGCATGTCCTCCCCGTGTCTGCGTGGGTTTCCTCCCACAGTCCAAAAACATGCAGTTAAGCTAATTGGACACGCTAAATTGCCCCTAGGTGTGAATGTGTCTGTCTGCCCTGGGATGGACTGGTGACCTGTCCAGGGTGTATCCTGCCTTCCGCCCAATGACAGCTGGGATTGGCTCCAGCACCCCACCGTGACCCAGAAGGATAAGCGGTTTAGATGATGTATGTATGTATGTATGTTTTCAGTACAAGTGAGCTTGTTGTCTTTGTGTGTTTACAATAACTTAAAGGAGTAGTTTGGCAAAAATGAATTTCCACTTACCTCACATATAGTTGATTGGCTGAGGAACATCTAACCCTAGAGTCCAAATTTGGACAACAGCAAGAACATTGGGCCTCATTCACCAACCATTCGGAAGAAGAAATTTGTCCTTAAAACCCACTTAAGCAGCTTTTACGAAGACTGTGACTTTTACCAATGTTGCCATATCTGGGATTTGTTCTTAGGTAAGAACAGAATCACTCAAGAGCACAAAGGTGTGAAGAGTTCTGCGCTTTAAAAACACGTCACAAACCTGACGGAGACTTTTTTCATAGGATCTTTCTCAAAAACACATTTAAGAACAAACTCAGGAAGATGTTGGAGAATGAGGCCCATTCAGATGCCAAAAGGTGTTCCCAAACTTTTGACTGGCAGGGCGTACGTCTTTTACATTCACATCTTTGACCTCTCTGTCGTCTTCAGACTCGTAACGTGGTCTGCGACAAGACGGTGCTCCTGACGGGAATCCCCACTGTAATGGATCAGGACAACCTGCAGGACCTGCTGGAGATTCACTTCCAGAAGACCGCCAACAGCGGAGGAGAAGTGGACGCCATCATCTACAACCCTGAGGGCCAGAAGACTCTGGCCGTGTTTGAACAGGATTCTTCTGAAGACGAGCAGAACCAGTGAGAGTGACCGGTGCAGCCTGACCGCAGCCAAACTGTGACAATCTCGATATATGCTGTCATTATTTAGCAATATGGCTCAGTTCAGGTTTTTGCTGCTAATATAAGATTGAGGAAGATGATGGATAATTTTGTGATGATTTTATCCAATTATGCAAAAGTTTAGACGCACCTGTCCAGTGACGCTGTTATTGATTTTTATAAGTGAAAATAAGTGACAGATTCTCTACAGAGAACACACTTCTGCACATTTTAAGATACAATAACTTTTTATTTGTTAAAATATATTCAATTTGGCAGTTTTGGCACTATTATTTGGCACATTATATATTATTAGATTTTATGTTTTAATTTTTAATATGTTAAACTGAAATCGTGCACTAAAATTTGCAGAAACACATCATATTTAAGGCCGGTTCACTGTAGAGGACGAGTCAACTTATTTTCACTTATTTCATCAACAACACGTAATTTGTGAATAATATTATATCTTATTTTATCACCCAGACTTTGTGTCAATCTTAATCGAACCCACACTCATATTCAGATGGTGCTGAAGGCCGTCAGGTGTGGTTAAGCTAGGCTAACGCTGGAGGAAGGTAAATCTCCTGGAGTAGGGTTTTCTGTTCTAAATGTTTAGCGGGTGTTTTGAGATGGATGCTGTAATTTTGTGCTCTCCAGCAGTTCACCACAGTGAGTGCGTTTACATGCACTCAGTAATCCAATCATAATCGGATTTCTGCAGTTATCTGATTATTCAAATGGTCATGTAAACAGCGCACACTGATTTCTTAAATCAGAGTGAGGTCTAGAAATGCGATTAAGAAATCAGATAAAGAGGCTGGATTTTAGCTCAGTAATCAGATTTCTCAGTGCATGTGAACTCTTACTCTGATTTCTTTCGGATTTCTCAGTCTGAGCATGTGTGAAAACAGACGGTGGTACTGGAAATAAGCGAGCAGCGTCGCCACGAGACGCAGCAAAACACTTTTGGAACAACGCTGAATCCAAATACATGCTTGATAAATGAAGGATTTAAATATTCTCCATCTTCTAGATGATGTTTGTTCATATTTTCAGGTAAAGTGGCGCGATGTTTACAAAGACGCGGCGTGAAGTCCGAGTTTAACATTATGTTTACGTCACGCTTTCCTCTGTGAGTTTATTGGCTGGTTGTAAAGCAGAAATCTGATTACTGTCTGACTCATGTACACCCAGAGTTTCCCCATTATCTGATTACTCAAGAGCATGTTTACTTGTTGATCGGATTACTGACAAAGTGATCATGTAGTTATCAGATTATTAAGTGCATGTGAAACGCACTCACTGTTTTCCCTGCTTTGACATGTCTCACGCTGATTATTAAGCCTCAGTGGGCTGAACCAGATCATGGAAAAGTCTTGACCACGCAGTAAACAAGCCTGAAGTTTGGAGAAATCCGTTGTTGGTGAACTTTAATTCATTTTGGTGATGTTTTGCAGGTGTTTGGGGAGAAAGGACTCATTTATATATGCACTGTTTAGCTGTTTTGTTTATTTTGCATCGTTCTCTCTTAGGAATTCATCATGAATGCAAACATAAGGACTTGCACAGGGACATGGGAGCTGACTTTAAAGCCAAAATAAATATAGAAATATAATGGAAGTTTATAAAACAAGCCAGTCATATTCACATTCATATGCACTGTCAATCCATATCTTCAAAATATATTCGTTTCCCTTCTAGAGCAATAAAGTCTTATTTTCAAAAAGAGTCTGATTTAATTTGAACAAATATGGCAAGCTTGTGTGAAGATGAGAGGTCACATATTTAAAGGGGAATTCCAACGATTTTTCAAAATTTCTGCATAATTGAAAGGTTAAGATGTAAACAGAGTCGTTCAGAGTGGTTTGGTGTGAAACGCTCTGTTCTAGAGAAACTTACCGAGTCAGAACTGTTCACAGTGGTGGTGATAGGAACCAGACGTCCACCTCTAAAAGCTCCCTCACAGCAAGTTATTACATGAAATGGTTATGAATTCACTGACTGATGACTGAGACACTGTTTTATAATAGGTTTTTTTAGAATGTTGTGGCCTATGTATATAAATAAATATCATCTCCTTGTATCTCCAAAATGGTAACTTTACAGGAGAAGGAAAAAACCTACTTTAATGTAAGTCAATGGAACCAGAATTTTTTCCAAGTAATTTTGGGCCGTTTCTTTTGGTCCATTCATCATGAAATTTACACACAACGCAAAGAGCAACAGGCATTTTTCAAATTATGTCAAAAAGGGAGATAAAAGGTTTTGTCGCAACAGCGGCGATATATTTTTTTAGTCAAACATTCTAAGGGCTAAGGGCTAAGTGGTAGGGCCAAGGGGTGAAATGAAATTGGAAGCTATTTGGGTGACTATTGATTTTTAGTGCTTGTTTTCAGTGTTAGCCTCATGACTCCAGTACTAAACTTAAGAAGCAAAATCAGGACTCATATCTCGTCTGCGCTCAGTGGAAAACTGTGTACGTTAGATTTTTCTTTGAACCATTCTTTTAAATACCACCTACCCCAGTGGTGCCCAGTCCTGGTCCTGGAGATCTACCGCCCTGCTGAGTTTCGCTCCAACGTAATCTAACACACCTGACCAGGTAATCAGGGATCTGACCCAGACTGGTGGATTTCCAGGACTGCAACTGAGCATCCAGGACCCGCCCCTATCTACAGTAAAGCAAACCAAACCCTCATATTGTTTATCCACAGATTTATTGTAAAAATACAATAACAGCAAATGGTAAATGCACCTACAGTCCATCCAAAAACCCTCACATTACATCACATAAAGCGATGGAGAACATAGCAGCTTAGCTCTTAGTGCAGCAGAGACAGAAACACACGAGTGAAAACAGAATCAGCTACAGAACAGACTCCATCAGGCACTTAGGAGAAAGAAAGGGACAGAGGGGGGGGGTCACTGATGAGGCGGCACCATGAAAGGGAAGGTTTAAAAAGCTAATAGACGAAATAAGAAAGACCAGAAGAAGAACAAACAAACAGGAGTCTGATAAAAGAACACAAGTTAAAATCACACCATCGTACACGTACAAGCTTCACAATGACGAAACACAGGGTTGCTCAGAAACCTTTACCCCTCAAGAGCCTCTATAGGAGCCACTGAAGCCACATTACTGTGCAAGTAGCGTTTACCTCATTTGGGCTTTTTAATGCTAACATAAAGGTGATGCTCGTTTGGGAGGTATTGCATAATGCAGGATCTGTCAGTTCACTCAGAAATCGTGTTTTATAACAACAGAACCACCTGCAGGGCTACAGAACCGGAGATCCAACACAACTGACCTGTTCATGCTCCGCCCTCAAATGCATCCTGTAGCAGCTGCAGCTCAGCTGGACAACCTGAAGAAACGGTAGTGCTGGATTCAGTTTTATCAAAATGCCTGAGCTGATAATCTGAATGATTAACCTCTCATTTAACGGAATCAACATGGAATCAAGCAACAACATCTTCTATAAAATCATTTTTTGCCTCTCAGTTTATTTTCTAAAATAAAAGTCTGTGTATTTAAAATCTGAGGAGATTAAAAAACTAGACAGAGCTTGTATGCAGGACAGTAATCTGGGTGGTCTGAGGGTGGACCAGCAGTGGCGAACAGTCAGCGGGGTGCCGATCTTATCAAGCCAGTGGACTGATATATGCTCGCTATAAGGGTACCCACAACTGTGAATGCACAGAGTCCTATGAATATCAGCAGATAACTGAAAAAATTAGACATCTGACACATGATTAGATTTGAAGCATATTATTTTAAACCAATATTTTATATTTGATTCTGGATTACTGTGCTAAAAAATATGCGTTTTATTTATTTATTGCCTTCGTGATGCTCTACAAATTCATTCTCATTGACAGGTATATGCATAAGAATAAAAATATTAATATATATAAAAATACTGGATAGTGGAATTGGCCCATAATTTCCATATCAATGCAGCCCTAGCTACAATAATCCAGATCAATGTAGCATTTTAAACTGGACACTGTTATATAGTGACAACACAATTTTGTGTGGTCCACTGTGAAATTAAATACTGTGACAAAGTTTGGTGCCACATTTTCTCATCAGGCTGAATGAATAACCGGCTCTAAATGTAGGTATTGTGATATAAACTGAATCTGTTCTACAGTTTCTCAGTTAGGCTGAATGAATAACCGACTCTAAACGTAGGTATTGGGATAGTAGTTGTAGTTTTTTGTAGCTTTAAAATAATGCGTCTGTGGGCGGAGCATGGACAGGACAATTTATCTAAACTCAAAGATTTGTTTTATGTGTTAGAGAAAAAAAACAAACTAAAACTTATAAAAGCATTTTACTCTAAAAACAGCCTCAGTGCTTCTTTCTTTGTGCTCCTTTCCAAATAACTCGGGTACAAATATATATACACATATATATTTACGTAACATACTTTTGTTTCTTGGCCATATTAGAAAAAACACATTCGTTTTCTTCGTGTAATATACTGACAGTACAGTTGTGCGAACTTCAAAATTACTGCATCTCATCTTTTTCAAAAATAACTCTCTGCACATCTAATTCAGAACACATCAAAATAGTCTTGCCACGTTTTAAAGCCTTCCTTAGAGCCATCCACACTGTGGAAACATGTCTGATGAGTGGGCATATGAAGCTAGCCACTGCTAATAAATATCCAGCTTGGAAGAACAGCAAGGACAGGCTACGCAAGTGATTGATTAGCACATTTCTACTGTAGCTCACCTACAGTTAACAACATTAATCACTTTTGTTCCTCATTTGACATTCATTCCTACTTTGTTCAAGGTTTTTTTTTCCTATTAGAAAGGTAACAGTTCAAGTTCTGTCAGTACCCAGCAGACATCTGCATCAGTAACTGGTCAACAGGGGAAAGAACAGACAGATTTCCTGACCTGTCCGACTGCAGACTTATTGCACCTATTATATGTGTAAAACTGTGCTTGTATTCTACCTCACAAGCAGATACTGTACCATAAAGGACAAACGAGTGGATGAGTAAGAAAAATACATCTATAACGGACGCATACAGAGGTGTGTTAGAGTCGTGCTGGACCTAAGGCCGTTTTCGGCTGCTTTGCATAAACGTTTTAGTGGTGTTTTTAACGGACTGTTCAGTAAAGCAGTTTACATGAGAGTAACTAAATCTATCCCTTTAAAAAAGTCCCTACACACAACACAAGACAAACAGAACTAGGCGACGACGACCGTAAGCACAGCCTGCCAGCATGGAGGAGTATCAGTGGGTTAAGGGCAGGAGGTCCGGTACACACGGTTCTTACAGTTGATTGGAAGGAGGAGGTCTAGTTCGGCAATCTGACTGGCCATTTAGACGACGACTGGGGCCCAGTCCCTCTTTGTGCGTCCGTACTGCGCGTGGATAGAGAAGGACAGCAAGGTGAGATGTGATAGCAGCAAAAATCAATATTATTACTGATTAATTAACCTTTTGAACTCCTTGAGACCACCGGTGGTTCCAAAACGCACTTCGTCATTTTCTTCATAACTTTCATATTTCATAAGCTACATTCAGAAGGTGGGGGTCGTATGAGAGCTGTAACTGTTTTCTCTCCAGTCAAATAGATGGGTGATGTCATTTTAAACCCTTATAATAAAAGAAGCTGAACTCAGTTTTTTTGTCTACCGAAAGTCGACCCATTTTTCCACAAATCTGGGCTACAAACTGTAAACAGATGGCGTCTCTTCATTTGAGGGGAGCTTTTACAAAAAATAAATAAATAAAAATAAAAAATTACATTTATTTCATGCAGTTACTGAATAATTTGCCTTACGATTTGGTCATGTAAATTCAGATGGACAAGCCAAAATATACCCTGGAGAATAAGAGGTTAATTAGCCCCCTTTAAAAAAACAAGTTACTCAAGACTATATAATCCATACACCAAAAATGTCTTGTCTGGAAAATCAGTGTTTTGTTTCACCAAATTATCCTTTAGGTCTCCAAATATTCATTTCAAAACAGCTAAAACAGTTTAAGGGCTACAAGTAAAGACACTAACCTGTATGTCTGTGAGCTCCTTGAAGAACCTGGTGGCGAGCTCTGGACCATTCTGCATAGTGGGAATCTGATAGGTCTGCAGGACAGACAGGAAAATGATTGGAAAACCTCAACCCATACAGACATCTCTAATAATGGACACACCTTAGTTATCATAATTCTGTTCCAGCTCTCACTACTTCACATCAGTGTCTCAGCGTATCACCAACAACACCTTTTTCCCCCCACTTTTCTCCCCAATTTAGTCGTATCCAGTTCCACTCACTAGTTAGGACTCCCTCAATCACACGACACTACCAGCGCTACTGTAGGTGAACGCAGGCTTCCTCCCAGAGACCTGCGAAGCCACCACATCTTCTCGAACTGCAGCTCATGCAACGTCACTGGATAGCTGAATGCGCTCGGAGGAGAACGCTAACAACCAGTTCAGCTAACAGACACTAGAATTGCGCTGAGTGATGGGGGGAGATGGGGGGTCCATCCTACCCACCCAGAGAGCGAGGACAACTGGCCACGGATGCTGTAGCATCACCAGGAGCATCACCATCTTTTAAGAAATAAAAAAAAACCTGTTTCTCTGTATTCATCCCTCACACTAAAATTAGCTTCCACACTGATGTGCAGTATTCTCTCTCCGTCATCTTCCATTGTGCAGCAATAGGGCTGGGACGATAAGCTATTTTGAAAAAAAATCGATAAACTGCTCGGTAAAATTGTTGCTAAAATGTATAGTCATTATCGAAAACTATGCATAATATACAGTATAATTCAGCTTTTCAAGCACATTTTCAGTTTGCATTAAAGGGGGTGACAAAGCTTTTGCACAGAGTCTGAGTTTATAGAGTACAAAAAAAAAAAATCTGAAATCATACTATGTCACTAATAGGGTGGGATAAAATATCAGTACGCCGATGTATCGTACTGCTTTCGTTTGCGACGTGTTATCAATACACTGCCACCAAATAACGATTTATTTATTGAAACATGCATGCGCTGTAAATGCTCCACTTCCAATTTGATTTACCAGATTCAGTACTTCATGCCTCCACATGGTGGCGCTAATCAAACGAATAGGGTAATCCCACGGTGAAGAAAAACAAAGTCACGTTTTTTTTTGTTGTCCTGTAAGTTTACAGTTAGAAAAGATTTTACTGAGGCACCGCTGTGTTCTACCTTTAGACATTATAACCCAGAACTGCTCTGCTTTATGGCAGTTTATGGCTATTTTACACTGGAATGATGTCACACGTATCATGAGATTATATTGAATTGTGAGATGCCCTTTGATTCCCACCCCTAATCACCGATGGGTTTCAGAGCTTATGGCTGCAAATGGTTTGTTCAGTCCTTTTAATGAAGCTTAGCCTCAAACACAAGCATACTGGACTGATGTGAACGTTTCAATGCGTTAAAAACCACTTTTTCATCCACAGAATCAAATCAGTGTGCAAAGACTTCAGGACGACTAATCACACAGTTAAGAATCAAGAACAATTAAGAATGAAAATTAGTCTCTGATGAGTTTTTTTCTGTGTGGCAGCACATCAGCACGTTCACCTGCGCTGCAGTTACAGTACAATTCCTTTCTTTACTAGTCAAACATTAGGAATGCAATTCTAGTACACTGATTTTATTTCTTTAAAACAGCAGTGAGTGCTCAGTAGTGAAGTACCTGTCCTTTGTAGAGCAGACTGCCGACGGGACACACCACACAGGCGGTTCCTGCTCCAAACACCTCTCGCACCCGACCAGCTTTCAGAGCTTCCAGGAACTCTTTCATACCCACAGTCCGCTCAGTCACCTTAAACTCTCCCTGAAACACACACACACACACACACACACCTCAGTCAGCATCCTCATCAGCTCCTGCTCCTCACACTGTATCAGCAAGTTACACACGTTCAAATAACTCAAATCAGGTTAGGAACTGAATCAGACTGAAAAAGCTATGTTCACATTACAAGCCTCGTTGCTCAAATCTGATTTTTTGCTCAAGTCCGATCTCTCTGACACGATGGTTCACACTCGTTTAGGTAAGTGACTCAAATCTGTCATTAATGTGACGAACCGGCGTCCTGAAATGACCCTCATGAGCTCATCCTACTCAGTAACGTCACGTGAATGAATCACGAGCATCATCAGCACAAACTAACGAGCAGAACGAGCTTCGCTGTGAAGATAATTAACTCTGATCAGCTCTCAGCTTCATTATTAGAGCGAGACGAAGGAGAAAAAGGTGAGATGAGCTGCTTTTTCCACCGTTTACAGGCTTTAACTTCTGTTCGGCACTGCTGCCATGGTAACGCTTAATGATGGCGCACACAGTGTGAAAAAAAGCACATGAATTCCGATCTGAGTGTCACATTAAGGTCATATGGCCACGAATCGGATACGTATCCGATCTAGGACCACATATGAAAGTGGCTCAGGTTGGATTTGAAATGATCAGATTTGCGTCCACACAACTCTGAAAACATCAGATCTGAGTCACATTAGGGCAAAAAATCGGATTTGTGCCACTTCAGCCTGGTAATGTGAACGTAGCCTAAGAGACTGGTAACATGTTATTTGGATGGTCCACTGTAAATGCTTTGTAGATGTTCAGTCTGTCTGTAACTAACATTCAAATAAATATCCATTAAATGAGGAAGATTCTATTAAACCTAACCCTATCCTTAAACTCAAGACAAAATCTAGACCTCCTACTAAACCTAACCATAACCCTAATGTTTTAATAATCAACTAATTATCACCAGGAAGTTTGTCAATAATGTAAGTATCTGTAGATCATCTATAGGGGACCATCCAAATAAAGCCCACGTGTCAAACACAAGACCCACGGGCCAAGTTAGGCCTGCGACACCGTCCTATTCGGCCTGTGAAATTATTTTCATTTTCTATTAATATTAGCCCACTTCACACCCTCGACTGCTAGTTTGAGGTGTCCTGTCTCCCCCAGTTCTCTAAGCGTGGACAGGAAAGCTTGGGCGCGCCTGTAAATTCAGGTTCTTTCACGCTGTATAGATACACTAGGTTAGGGGCGAGTGCCACCTTTTGTATTTAGTCGAGGCAGGTTAGCGTGTCTTTTGTTTCTTTCTTTTCTTTGGGCACCGTCCGAAGTCCACCCTTATGACTAGCTGGTGGGGTTGTGTTTTATGCTGTAGAAGTCTTTATTCCATAATGTTTGGATCTGCATAAGCTTTGTCTTGTACTAACTTTGTAAATGGCTGTATAATACATTTTTACTATATAAGTAAAGCACTGCATAATTTACCCTGGTTGATTTGTGACTTTTCTACCCTCATTCCATCTGCTCTACAGCACATTGCTGCTGTCGGAGGAAAAACCTTGCATCTCCATTTTGGTCGTTTTTCAGTTTTCGACATAATTTGAAAATGCCCGTCGTCCTTTTTCACGATGAATGGACCAAAAGAAACGACCCAAAATGACTTGGAAAGATGTCTGGTTCCATTGACTTACATTAAAAGTAAAGTAGGTTTTTTCCTTCTCCTGTAAAGTTACCATTTTAGAGATACGAGGTTTTCATCCGACATCAGTGATATGTTGCTGCCTCTTTGCTCCTAGGCTTAAAGATTCAAGGGGGTTTGTAACAACATTATGCTATTTAATTGCGCAGTAAGAGCTTATTTGCTCAGAAAAAACACTAATAAATTCAAATAATACTACAATAAATAGTGATTTTACATCAGTCAGTGTGTTCATTTGACCATTTCCTGCCCTCTCCTTAATGAAGCCCAGTATTAAGTGCAGTTATTAACCAATACCTGCTTCATCTAATCAATACTTCATTATGTAAAATCAAGAGTGCTGGTGACGTGAATAATGGTGTGATGACTGTAGGCATCTAGGAGAAATCTGGAACCAGACTCTGTTCTTTAAACTAGTTCACAAAGCCCTACTTCTTTGAAAACAAGAAATTTGTTACTTACTGTATTTATGTGTATTTATGTTTATTCTAATGACTACAGGCAAATAAGCACTTACTGCTGTAATAAAAGGTTTTAAATAACGGGCTAAGATGCTTTTACACAGCACTGTGTGTGTATATACTCCTTCAAACAGCAGACGGCAAAACTACCAAAACCTGTTATCCCCATCTCAGTACATCAACGCTGTTTTCTGACATTAAACACTGAATTAACTCTTTGAAAGGTGAAACCAGGACAGCAGCTCCCTCTGTTCCTTTTCCTCTCCCACCGTAACTGCTTCACTTCCTCCTTTACCCTCCTGCTTCTGCTCCCCCCCCGCTCGCTCACCCATTCTCTGGCCAGATCCAGCAGAGACTGCCTGGTGACTCCTGGAAGAATGATGCCGTCTAGTGGAGGAGTGACCAGCTCTCGCTCTATGGACAGAAAAATAGGTACACGCTAAAAAGAACTGCATATTAGAGAACAGTTTTACCTGAAGAAGTCGAGGTGATTACAGACAAAATCTGATTTTAATCCAGTATGAATCTGCAGTGTGTAGTTTTACAGTCTGACAGTAATAATTGTGGAGTGATTTTAATCCAGTATGAATCTGCAGTGTGTGTAGTTTTACAGTCTGATGGCTCCAATAGTGCTTAAGACATCAGCCAAGACAAACTGAAAGAACTTCAGATCTTAACAACTCATATCCCTCTCAGACATTCGCTGCAGTTCCACAGAGAGCCAGCAGAGGGAGACAGAAGCCACAAATGGCCAGGCTCACCTCCTTTCTCAGTAGTCCAGTAGATGAAGAGGTTCATGGTGCCGACCTCCGTGATCTCCTCATCCTCCCCATAGAGCCACAACACCTGCTGACAGCCCTGCCTCTGTGCCTCAGTCTGGATCGCTATAGTCGGACCGTAGTTACTGAAATGGACACGGACAACAGTTACTGATGTAGTAGGAACTGACTAATTCACAGCAGATAATGAACATTTTAACTTAGATACTGAATTATCCACAGTAGATCCCAGACACTGTCTGTGTTTACATGCAAAGACTGTTGCCAGTCCGATTAAATAGATTCCAATTATAGATTCAGCCTGAGGTGTTTTTATTCTCACTCCACTCAACAATCTGATGAAAATCTCTGTTTATATGCTCACTACAAGTAATCCGATCCAAAATGACGCGTGTGAACCATTTAGTGTGGATGTTACCATGACAACAAGCATCACGTGAGTCCAGTCAGAGTGAGATGAGCAGCAGTGAGCAGTGCTTGTGTTTTTAATTGCTTTAAAATGATGTCAGACTCGGGAAAACGTCCTTCACATGTCCTTATTAAAGAAGGCCGAGAGGAAGACTTCGTATTCTGAGACACATAAGCTGGACGTCCGTCCCACCGCCGTCTTTTAACAAACCTAAATTCTTAGGAGGTAAACGTACTAATGTATTTGTTTAAAAACAAAATTGCAAAAAATCTGTGTAGATAGTTGGTTGCTTAATACAATGTATTACAATCACATCCACAACAAACCTGCTTTGTGGACTTTAAAAAAGCCTCGGACTCTGTTTGGCACAAAGGACTATTTTACAAATTAATACAAAGTGGTGTTGGAGGTCAAATATACAATTTAATAAAAACCATATACAGTTACACACAATGCTGTGTAAAGATCGGCACAAAGAGAACAAAACATTTTAAGCAAAGCAAGGCAGTAAAACAAGGCTGCAGTTTGAGTCCATCCCTGTTTAATACATATATAAATGAAATGGCAACTAGATTACAAAATTCAACCAATCCTGGACTCATCTTAGAAGACCAGGAAATAAAATGTCTAATGTACGCAGATGATTTGGTAATATTAGCACCAACAAAAGACGCACTAAAGACGCCAACAGTACCCATCAGTACTGGAGACTTACTGTACAGATTGGGCCCTTACAGTAAATATGGACAAAATGAAGATAATGATTTTTCAAAATAAAGCCAGATTACAGGAGAAGAAATACCAGTTTACTTTTGAAGACACCGTAATATCACACACCACCAACTACTCTTATTTAGGTGTGATATGAAATTCAGCAGGAAATTTCAGCAGCACTGACGGAAAAAGCTCGCATATCTTACTATATGATCAGAAAAACAATTTCCTGATTTAAATGATTTTAACCAGATTGCCCCCCCCCGGCAATCTGGTTAAAATCATTTAAATCAGTAATTGAACCAATAAATGTTATATGGCAGTGAAATCTGGGGACTAGAAAGAACACAAAATTACGAAATTTGGGACAAAACACCCACAGAACTATTTCATCTTGAATTCTGCAAAGACGTCCTGCAGGTGAACAGAGGTGTCTCTAATCTGGCCTGCAGAGCAGAGCTGGGCAGGTTTCCGCTCATTCTGGACATCGAGAAAAGATGCTGTAAATTCTGGTACCACCTGACCCGGTCAGATCCAGACTCCCTTCACTATAGCGCCTTCGTCAGTAACAAAACAGACCCAAACCCCCCACTTAACCAGCTCGCCAGGATAAAGAACTTCCACACTGAGAGAGGCTGAAGGTAATAAAGCAGATCACAGCCTCTACTGGAAAAACCACATTACTCACCAAAACAAACTCAAATGTTATGAAATGCTTGATCAGAAATACTCACTGGCCAATTATCTAATCAGAATCAAAGTGACCATAAACTAGCCATTGAAACAGGGAGGCACAGAAAAAGCAGGCTGGACAGAGAGGACAGGATCTGCACCCGCCGCCCATCAGGAGAGAGAGAAACTGAGAATCACGTCATTCTTTGATTTTCAAAATATAAAACCATCAGAGACGCTTTTCTGCCAAAATTGACTAATAAAACCGCCTCCTTCCCCAAACTGACCGACTCAGAGAAAATGAAGATTTTACTGGGAGAAAATGTAGAAACAATAAGTTTAGCAGGACAATTTATTCAGAACTGCCACCGAGAAAACATAACACAGCACATCTTCAGTTATGTAATTAATATTTCTAATTCCTGAAGTTCAGATGTATTACATTTCATATTTACCTTATTGTTTGTTTAAATTTTTATTATTATTAATAGTAGTAGTGGTACTATTTTGCTGTATTTTATTTTATTTTATTACTTTTGGCATGTCCAAATTCATTCCATGCTTTAATACATACATACATACATCATCTAAACCGCTTATCCTTCTGGGTCGTGGTGGGGTGCTGGAGCCTATCCCAGCTGTCATTGGGCGGAAGGCAGGATACACCCTGGACAGGTCGCCGTCCATCGCAGGGCAGACAGACAGACATACACAGTCACACACACATTCACACCTAGGGGCAATTCAGCATGTCCAGTCAGCCTGACTGCATGTTTTTGGACTGTGGGAGGAAACCGGAGTACCCGGAGGAAACCCACGCAGACACGGGGAGAACAGGCAAACTCCACACAGAAATGACCCTGGTCACCCGGCCGGGAATCTAACGCAGGCCATTCTTGCTGTGAGGCGACAGCGCTACCCACTGCACCACCGTGCCGCCCTCCATGCTTTAATATATTACCATATTTATATTTCAAACTTTATAGCTGTTTAAATTATTTATCCATACGAACTTTTATTTAATAAATTTATTATTATTATTTTATTCATTAATTTATTTCTATTCATTTATATTTTAATAATAATTCAATTTAACATGTATTTACAGCTTTGCCAACATAGGTCTCATATCCTGTCATGCCAATAAAGCAGCATTTGATTTGATCTGATCTAAGAGAGAGACAGACGGGTGTTATCGCTGTGCTAGGTCACAGACTGCAGACAGTGAGTAAACACAGCTCAGTGTAAAGCCGTTACTGAGGCTCAGACTGCAGGGCCGTGTCTGTATTTGGATCTGGAGCAAATCTCTCTCAGCTTAAAAGCACAGTTTTTGTGGAGGGACCACATTTTCACCACTAATGAAAACAAATCAAGACTACTACACATATATTACACACAAAAAATACTGTTATTATTATTCTTAGCACTGTAATAACTATGTTGTTGCAGTTATTGTCATTATCAGCATTAGGGATATATTAGAGACTCGAAATTGGCATATTTTTGCTTCAAACATGCAACTGGCCAACTCATTAATCTGATTTTGTCTGATCTGTGTTGTATGAGGTAAATCAAGTGAGGCAGGTAAGCTACTCGTGCTGTATATGAAGGCTGCTGCTGCTTCTACACCTGCACCAAAATGTCATAGCATAATTATACATGACTTACTGTGCTGAATCAGGTCATTCAAACAACTCGTTTTTCGTTTATTTAAAATGCCACTTTGGAGCAAATAATGCTATTTATATGGCAGATTTGGCTCATAAGTCCTGAAAATGTGCCGGCATGTTTATATTTAACACAGATTGTCCATAACACCATTTTGGCTGTAAATAAAGGAGATTTGGGACAGACCATAAAATCCATGATTTTCATGACTGCACCCCAATCAAAATCAACAACACCCACAGCAACCAGTGCGAGTCAGACAGTCTCACAGTCTGAGAGCAAAATTCAGGGCACCTACTAAATCAGGGCAACTCCTATGAGACACATAAGGGCGTTTTCACACTTGGGCCGTTTCAGTGTCTGAAGTGGACTCAGGCCGCTGAGTCATGGTATTCTGTGCATATGTGAACACACCAAACGAACTCAGACCATCTAAACTCCCCCAAAAACAAACCGAATTGAGACCAAACGAACCAAACTGAGAACTTAATAGGGTTCTACTCAGGATAAAGTCTGTCCGTAGTCTACAACAAGACAGCTGCCCTGACATGCTGAAGTGATGAGATGTGAGAGCTCTCGTGATTTTACCGTGTTAAAGGCGCAAGCTGGGAGTTTTAAACTTTTTTTTTTTCACTGAATGAATAAAAAATTCATCGCTGCTCTTTTAAATAACTTGTTTCATTGCAGACGTGGGTTTTCGCCAGGTGGAGCTCAGTGAGGAGCACAGCTGAAAACGGAGCCCACCGCAAGGTCTTTTTCCCCCAATTTAGCGCGATGCACTTCGGCCAGTCGTTTCAGCGTGACCAATAGGAGAGCAGCAGGCATGTCTAGTAGTTTCTCTCGCCAACTGAAAGGTCAGTGGTATCTCCAGAGGTGGTCTCAGTTTGGTTCGTTTTTGGGGTCGTTTAGAGGGGTCCGAGTTCATTTGGCATGTTCACATATGCAAAAGTCCATACCTGACACTGAAACGGCCCAAGTGTGAAAACACCCTAACGGAACTCATTTTAAAAGAAACTATATATGTGAAAACACCCTAAAGCCTGAAACTTCGACGATGTTTTAGGGCCACTATTAATAAAAATAAAAATGGTAGACTAGAATAAAGTTGTGATATTTCAAGAAAAAAAGTCAGAGAATTACGACATTAAAGTGGCATTAATACCAGGAAAGGTCTCAATATTGTGGCCAAAGGCTTTGCAAAGTGCAGGCAGCCCCTCCTGGTGTTAAATGAGGGGCGGTGAGTTGGTGGATTTCTACTTTCATTTCGATTCACCCATAAAGAAACACTCAGTCTCCCTGTCTCTCCTGCACATCAGCACCAGCCTGTTATTAGTATAAGAACCGGCTGAAACGGCTGAGCAGGAAACTGTGTTTATCTAGAATAAAGAGCCAGACGGACTCGGAGGAAACTGTCTGTCTGTGTTGTTGAAGGAGAATCTCAGGCAGGGTCGTCTACACGGCTATCAGTGGCTACATCTCCACACCATTCAAAGAGGGCCTGAAGTTTCACAGACAGTGAGAATGATGATCAAAATGATCCACGAAGAGACGAATGATGATCAAAATGAGTGGAGCTTCGGCACCAGTACAGCAACCGAGACCCCAATGCGTTATGGCAGCCCCCCTACAGTTAACCCACTTTACCCTCCAAATATTATGACTTTATCTTCGAAATATTACGACTTTTTTCTTGAAATATTGACTTTTTTTCCTCAAAGTCTACTGTTTTTATTTTTATTAACAGTGGCCCTAAAACGCTGTTGTATGAAAAAGACATCAGAAATCAAACCAAACATATCTAAGGGGAAAAAAAAGAAGAAGTGCAGTCAGCTCTCAGTGCTTGACCTTGTGTGCTGGTGGAACAGAATCTGTTCTATTAAAGCACCCGGCGTGCAGCTCTGTAGGTGCTGGTATACAAGCCTCTCCCACTTTAACTGAACGACTCCACCCACTCAACACACACTCAGCATTGTTCTGCTCCAACACGCACGACTCGGCTCCTAAAAGGCTTAATGATTAGCTAATAATGAGACTGACTCAAGATATTAGGACCCAAAGACTGAGGCACTGCAGTGAGTCGTCTCTGGAGCGGAACTGACACATTTCTGATCTTCTAGCGATTGTAATGTTTGCATGAATGTAGTTTGGATTTACACATTCCATATCTGCCGCTCTGAGCCACCAGCTTACACAGTGCATACATTATCAGCCTGCTGTTACAGTTCATTACGCAAGACATAACCAGCCGGTCCACGAGAGCGTGTTAAAACAAACAGGCGGATCAAGCAGGAGGGCTTCTGTCTGAGCGCCACTCTGAGAAATGCTCACATTGCAAATACAAGAAAGTCAGAAGCAGCCAGTTAAAGTGATAATTCAGCAGAAAAATCACTGATTTTTATGGAAAGTTACAGGAAAAATCTTTTTTTGTCTTTTTAAATGATATAAATAATCACTGAAGTGGCCATATCTTACATTTCGTCCGCGTTCGGCCGTTTTGTTCGAAATCTCTTCGAACACGGAGCGGCTTGATGAGTCTCTTCTAATTTTTTGGTACAGAAACATCAGCCTAAATGTTTATGAGTCTCGGCAGCGCGAAATTATGACGGATGTCAAGTTGAACCGACATAAAAGTCGCATGAATTCCGATCTGGTTATTCAGACTGAGTTGCATTGCCGCAGATCGGATACGTATCGGATTTCAGTACCATATATGAAAGCGTCTCAAATCGGAATTGAGAATGTCAGATTCAGTGTGTTTATCTGTTCACACTGACACACAGACACACATCTGTATCACATACGGAGAAAAAGATGGGATTTGGGTCACTTTTACCTGCTGTGTGAACAAAGACTAATTTTGTTCATTTTTACAGGCAACAGAGGTCAAATCAGGTCCGAAACCACGTAAGTAAACATCCTTGTTAGAAATGCTTTTTTAGGGAAGTCTCATCTATGCAAATCTTTAATCAAACATCAAACAGTGAGTGCAGATGAACTTGTTTTTTTACTATGTGTGAATTTCACTCACCCTCCCATCTTGTAAGCCCCCACACCTCCCCTGCAGGCTCGGACGTAGCGGGGGTCTGCCAGCAGGGATACGGGGTTGAAGGTTCCGGTGGCGAAGTACGGCCCAACCGGCCCCACGATGACGAACAGCAGGGCCTGGCCTGACCGAGACACGCCCAGAGACGGCTGGAGGGGTCAGACAGGAGAGGTTACTATAGCACTCGCAGTTATAAAGGACAAATGATTTAACACTAGAATAAAAAGTAGGAGTTTGAATCTCTGAGCTGAATCAATTAAATTAAGTGGTTTTAGATTTTTCTTAAGAATTATTCGATTTAATATCCTAAACAGCAGATTTGATTGTGATTGTGCACAAAAAAAAAAAGATTATAATTTTACTATTGTTTGTCTGAAATTATATCAAACCAGAATACAGAGCTGTTGGTTATGATCAGTAGTGCTGGAGCACTGAACCTGTAAATCTCTCATGCTGCGTTAAGCTTGTGGAGAATATCACAAGTATTTGTTTAAACAAGTCACAATTTGCTCAATTCGTAGCATTTATAAAATAGTTTTTTGACGAATTAATACAATTCAGTATTTATTATGTACCTTTTATGATCGATGCAGCTGCATCGGGAGGAATTATAAACAATGTATCAAGAAAACAAATGAAACATTACACCACTGATAAAAAAGTATTAAAAAATAATCCAAATATGGTGATTTAACTGCATCAACTGTGGAATATCAGAAGTCATTATGATTACAATAATGTTCAATCTAGTATGCAGCCATTTTTTAAACATGAAAACAGAAATATTGGTCTGGTTTACGGCTGTAATGATTTCAAGTCACGCAATATTTATTTAGGTTTTAAAGCAAATAAGCTTAGTGACTTCATAGTGTTTAGCTACTAACATTTTAACCCTTGTGTGGTGTTGATGTGTTTGTCACTCAGTGGTCTGTTGACCCACCACAGTATTGTTTTATTAAAATCAATACAGCCATAACAATTTATGTAAAAATACCAGGTGTTTAAAATATCACAAGTGACCAGCGTAGGGTTCTCCTTCAGCAGCTGTAGCCAGTCAGCAGCCTGTCCATGTTGTTCACACACAGACACACACACATATACAAACGCATACACACACACTAACAGCGGGCCATGTAGGAGGAGAACAGAGTGAAGGACACAGCACCTCCAGAAAATGAGCAAAGGCCAAGAATCTGAGGTTGAAATAATAATAAAATCACATATTTTTTTCTTTTTGGTAAACACTGAAAATAGGTTCCACAGACTGAACACCACACAAGGGTTAAACTCTCCTGCTGGTCTCTTTCACAGTCAGATACACAGCCTGATGAAAACGCGTTTATCTGTGTGTTTTGCCATGTAGTGTTATCATATTTTGGAATCTTTGAAAAGCTTTGCATGGCAATAACAAAAAGCTTTGTTGGTTATCAGTTGAGTCCATTTTTATTTTTGGCCTTAGAAAAAGCTTAATTAGCACTGAAGTTTCCCCAAATCAACCTTGTGAGCTCACCTCCATTCCAATGTAAGTGGGCCGGATGTACAGACTGGCGTTTGAGGAGTAGGGGACCCACTCCTGGTCCACTTCAACCAGCTTTTTAATGCACTCCAGTAACTCCTGCTTGTCAAAAACCTGAAAAGAGGAGCAAAAACATTCACACCATCCATAACAAAAGGGTTTCTCCAAGACTGATAATGTACAACATAACAGAAAATGTGTTTACAGCACTATTAGAGATGGATTACCATTTTTATACTGGATTAAAATCAGTCCACAATTATTACTGTCAGACTGTAAAACTACACACTGCAGATTCATACTGGATTAAAATCACTCCACAATTATTACTGTCAGACTGTAAAACTACACACACTGCAGATTCATACTGGATTAAAATCACTCCACAATTATTACTGTCAGACTGTAAAACTACACACACTGCAGATTCATACTGGATTAAAATCACTCCACAATTATTACTGTCAGACTGTAAAACTACACACACTGCAGATTCATACTGGATTAAAATCACTCCACAATTATTACTGTCAGACTGTAAAACTACACACACTGCAGATTCATACTGGATTAAATCACAGATATCATCAGTAAGTACTTAAATAGCAGAATCTGGGTTCCACTGTCTGTGCTGTAACTGGGACGTCGGCTCTGCAAGGTGTGTGCTGTGGTACTCACAGGGAGGCAGCAGCGGTCTGCACTGCGATACATGCGCTCCATATTCAGCATCGGCCTGAACAGGCGGACGTGGTTATCCACACCTCGGAATGCCTTCATCCCCTCAAACAGCTGAAAGACACACAGAAGAAAGGATAAAGAGAATGAACAGGTGAGAGGAACGACCTTAAGCACACTTTTAACAAGCAGACCTTGTAGATTCCATAGAATAACGTTTACACAGAGCCTGATATCGTCGCGGTCCAAAGAAAACCATGCATCTCCACTTTTGCCGATTTTTAGTTTTCTACTTTACTTAAACACACTAGCTCTTCTTTACGTCATGTGAAAATTTCATGATGAACGGACCAATAGAAATGCTCTAAAATCACTTGGAATAAGATCTCTTTACATTCATTTACAGTGAAAGGTGAGTGTGTTCTTGCCCTCTCCTGTAAACGTACTATTTTGGGGATACTTTTCTTTGGACAGCAACAATATAATATTTGTGTTATATAGCAATTGACCTATTCCTGGTCCACCTACACATTCTTTGTAGCTGTTGTTTGGATGAACTAGTGCTACAATATAAAATCATCTGAAATTAACATGCTAAATATAATGTATTTTGACAAAACCTGAGTCAGAATTTCAAAAACTGTCAAATAATGATAATACTCAGAACAGAATAGGATATTTTCAGGCTTCTCTCTAACATTATACACTCTCATATCAAAGAAACGGATATCTAAACTCTATATTCTACCAGCGGGCAGTGCAGAACTTGTGCCTTACGTTCTGGTCAGTGTTTATCATCAATATCATCAATTCCTTAAAGCATCTTAGTGTTGAGGTCATCCATTCAGTGTGATGCTCTCTCTACTATTTAAGGGTTTTTCAGAGACACTCCAAACAAAATGTGTTATGAGAAAAAAAGCGACCAAAGAAACCGACAAATGTGAGAATTTTTTCTGTTAAAAAATTTTACGATAACCATTATATTGTCTTTAATATCGTTTCAGTGTATTTTGGTCATTTTCTTCATAACAAGGTTAAAAAAATCGCTAATAGCATGCTAATGTCTCAGTAGCTAACTAGCTAACTTTCCTGTTCCACCTTAAATACTCCAGCAGTTCTGACACCTGAAGTGCCAGAATGTAACTGCTGCTCCATTTAAGGTGGAACGGGAAAATTTGAACAAGAATCTGGTGAATATCTGACTTCAGCTTCATATCACTGAAGAATTAGGGGTGGGTGATAATAAATAATTGCCCCCCTCTTTGAAGGCATATGATGCCCTAAATGTAACTAAAGCCCAGCAGTGAGGAGCTGAACTGTACCCTCCTCTGCTGTCACTGCAGACTGGCAGGGTCGCCTACAGAGCAGCGCTGGTAGCTGTTAATGAAGTGATGCTCTTTTTATTTGAGGGTCCCATTTCATAGGGCAAGATTTCAACCACTATCCCCTATAACTCGAAAGCAAGGGGTAGGGGTAAAAATAACCAATGGGACTCGGCCTATGTATCATTTTCCCCAGTATGTTAAAACTGAAATTGTGAGCTAAATTTTGCACAAAAATTGCATATTTAAATTTGTTCTCTGCAGGGAAAATAACAGAACATGTAACCTGACAGGGGAGAAATTATGCACATGACTGTACATGCATAAAGTCCTGACCTGCACTGAGTAGTGGAGAGCGGAGGTTGCCGGGTGAATGGAGAGGTTTTGAAAAGGTTTGATCTGAGGGGCTTCCCATCCTCCTTTCTCTGACCAGTGAATGGTCAGCATGTGGTCTGAGAACTGCTTCCCAAACACCAGGGTGGACGGGTCCGGCTTGGGCTTCAGATCATGGCTCTTCTCTACGGTGAGGTCGGCAGCCTGACAGAGAGAGAGGAGGAGAGAGGAAGGGAGAGGGAGAAGGAGAGAGAGAGAGAGAACAAACAAAAAGAGGGAGGTGGGGGTAAAGCGGATATGTGGAGGGGCAGAGAGGTGTTTATTCATGATCGCTGATTGCACATGCATCTGAAAAAACTGACCTGGATCCATTCATGCCAGTTACACGTTTACACAATTTGAATGAAATTAAGTGGTGAGGAGAAAAGAGGGGGAGCTGCTGGCGCAGACAGATAGAGGGACAGCGTGAAAGAGTAAAAGCACAGAGAGAGAGAGAGACGTCAGGCTCTACAGGACAATAAAACTGCTCAATTACATGCAAACAGCTCTGACACTGCCCCAGATTAAACCTCCACCCACGCCGTAAATCTTCACGACAGTAGGTCTTAATCCTGGTCCAAGTCTCTGAGCCAGACTTTTTCCTGAAACTAGCACAAGTCTATGGAATCCAATGTCAATGATCACATTGAGGCATCTGGACACATCTGTTTAATAGGACCTGCTTCTTTGCAATGATCTCATTTCAAACAAAATCTGTATTTTCTGAGGCAAATCAATCTGTATAGTATATGCTCAGCTGTGGGGAACCCTCAGGGCCCTCTAGGCTGTCTAGGATGAATAAGAATTGAATATATCGCTGCTGTCGGAAGAAAACCTCAACCAATCTCCAAAATGGTAACTTTACAGGAGAAGGAAAAAACATACTTTACTTTTAATGTAAGTCAATGGAACCAGACTTGAACCAAACTGAAAGAGTGACTAAAACTGATCCATACAAGCTCAAATATATGTCAGTGTCTTTTACAAGCTTCAAATGTCTGTTTAATCTTTGACAGAAAGGAAAAAATATCTACTAGAAATTCCATAGAGGTGCTAGCAGATATTAGTATTACTGCTATGGCGTTTATGGCTCACATAGTTATAAGCTTAGTGCCCAACAAACACATACGAATACAAGATCAATCAGAAACCACACCCACATACTTTACTTTTAGTGTAAGTCAATAGAACCAGACTTCTTTTCAAGTAACTCTAAGCCATTTGTTTTGGTCTATTTATCATGAAATTTACACAATGTAAAGAGCAACAGGCTTTTTTTCAATTAACTTAAAAATGGAGATACCAGGTTTTATTCCAACAGCAGTGAGTTCATAAATACACTGATCAGGCAAAACTTTTTGACCACCTCCTTGTTTCTGCGCTCCTTGTCCATTTTATCAGCTCCACTTACTATATAGGTGCACTTTGTAGTTCTACAGTTACAGACTGTAGTCCATCTGTTTCTCTGCATACTATGTTAGCACACTTTTACCCTGTTCTTCAGTGGTCAGGACCCCCATGGACCCTCACAGAGCAGGTACTATTTGGGTGGTGGATCATTCTCAGCACTGCAGTAACACTGACGTGGTGGTGGTGTGTTAGTGTGTGTTGTGCTGGTCTGAGTGGATCAGACACAGCAGTGCTGCTGGAGTTTTCAAACACCTCAGTGTCACTGCTGGACTGAGAATAGTCCACCAACCAAAAATATCCAGCCAACAGCGTCCTGTGGGCAGTGTCCTGTAACCACTGATGAAGGACTAGAGGATGACCAACACAAACTGTGCAGCAGCAGATGAGCTATCGTCTCTGACTTTACATCTACAAGGTGGACTGACAAGGTAGGAGTGTCTAATAGAGTGGACAGTGAGTGGACACAGTGTTTAAAAACTCCAGCAGCACTGTTGTGTCTGATCCACTCGCACCAGCACAACACACACTAACACACCAACACCACATCAGTGTTACTGCAGTGCTGAGAATGATCCACTACCCAAATAGTACCTGCTCTGTGAGGGTCCATGGGGGTCCTGACCACTGAAGAACAGGGTAAAAGGGGGCTAACAAAGTATCAGAGAAACAGATGGACTACAGTCTGTAACTGTAGAACTACAAAGTGCACCTATATAGTAAGTGGAGCTGATAAAATGGACAATGAGCGTAGAAACAAGGAGGTGGACTTAATGTTATACCTGATCGGGTTGTGTGGATATATATATATATATATATATAAAGCACTATAAATCACATTTCAATAAATATCCTAAATGTCTGTGCACTAAGCCCAACCCTGCAGTTTAGTGTTTCCTCCCCTGGATCTCTGCCTGAGCTGAATTAAGAGTGTCTGACTGGCGAAACAGCATTTTGTTGACTCACTAAACCTGCAGTTGTTGGAACGAGTGAAAGGAGTAAACAAGCCCAGTCATGCAGAGTCACGAAACTCAATTATGGCCAAGACTGACGTATAGCGGCCACTCAGGAAACTGAGCCAAGGGGTCAAGTTGCCTCTCTGCTCTTCTGTTTAGGCGAATACCTTGAAAGATGAGCTGGCGAAGCGGAAGGATCCAAACGACGAGGAGAGAGGCTGCAGGAAGCGTCCGCATAGTGCCTTAACAGAGAGGAGACACAGAACAGTGGAAGACTAATGAGTACAAAGGATGGGCATCTCAGCCAAATTTAATATTTAAAGGCAAATCTACTGAAATCTTGAGCTGACTAATGCCTGCTGATGTGTGAGCAGAGACGGTGACATTACTCAGCATCTTAGTACTGCAGTATTATATTAAATGACGACATGAGGCTTGGAATTAAGAGGAAAGTGTCATTATAAAACCAATAGTTATGGTCCTAAAATCTGATTGGCTGTTCAAAGCCATTGTAAAATCCGGTTGTATAATCTTTGACTCTCATGCTGCTCACATGGAGCACCGAGTGTACTGATGAAGTAAGAACCTGTTTTTTGTTTAAACTGAGGGGCTGACAACTTATGTTCTTAACTAGAACCAGGCTGGTCAGCTAGCTAACAGGGCTAAAAGAGCCAACAGCCTAAACAGCTCCATCATTAATATCACAGGCTTGAATTAAAGCACTTACAGTCTGATTTACTGTAAAACTGCAGTATAAAAGTCTAAAAATGTCACTTGAATGTCTCACACACTTCAAATGTTCGTGTTTCAGTCAGAAGTCGCGTCAAACCCAGGCTGAACCCCAAACGGCTCCGTACTCCCTAAATAGTGTTCTAGCTAAAGTTTAGAAATTCTAACCTCTACAGTCAAACAGTGCATCATGTATCGAGTGTGGATGTGTCTGAGTCCCAAATGACTGTTTCTTAGCTGTGTTTTGCTCTGTTGGGCTGCAGGATCCAGTATAAATTCCTACATAGTGCACTATGTAGGGAGCAGGGAGCCGTTTGAGATTCAGCCCCAACGTGAGAAGAGGGCGCCGCTGGATTGGTGCTAAATAAGACTCGCTGTGGTAATGAAATGACTGCAATATACAGCGATGGGTGACCAAACATTCTACTCATTCAGTGTCCACGGTTACTGGACAATGATACCGTACTCTAAAGGAACTACATTTTTTGGCAAAATACTTACATTGATTATTATTAATAACAGCAAATAACTTTATAAAACGTAGTTTTTTTTTAAAACATATTTTATGTTGGCCATTGTTTTATAAAAGCAATAAGCCACTTGAGGCCAAATGTTACTGTGACTTTTTTTAAAATTAAAAAAAACAGGGAAGGGGGTTTTTACTCCACTTTGCTTTAGTGCCTAAGAACACCCCTTCCCCGTGATAAAATCGACCAAAGTCTTTGAAATAAACAGCCAAAATTCAAATGTTCTGTTTTTACCTCAGCTAACATTACTAGCTTTAGGAGAGAGCAATGTGACAATATTATGATAAATATTTTATGGTTATTGTGATATTTATATATTACAATATGCTTTTTATATAATGGACATCCCCTTTGAATAAAATAAAGTGTTAAATAAGCTGCTGAGAGGCTCTCACTGCTATAGCTAGCAACAGTAACAGCAATGTTCTTATTAATGTAAAATATTTTAATGAATTTTTCTGTCTCAAAGCAACACCTGACTGTATTTTAATATGGAAGTATGCTTGTTAATTGAAAAAAGAATGTATATATACCCATAAAGATGGTCGTTATTCTAGTGGCCAGCGCAAATTTTCATTTCTGTCCACTCCTGGTTGAAGCTGAATGTGTTTCGTGATGAAACACATGATCCTGCAGGGCTCAGAACGCCTTCTAGTGTTGACTTTCACTGCCAAGGTGACACAGCTTGTTATGAGTGGTTCAGTGCTTATGAGGGTTGGGCACTCAGCTGGTCCACTCAGCTCTGCGTTATGTCCCATGCTAGTGTTTGCAGAACATTGGAATCAGCCATACTCTGCTTTGACAGCCAGGCTGAGGCCAGTCAGCCACAATCAGCTTCTCACATGTGAGTTTTTAGTCATATAATTATATACTAAATACACAGGAGTGTAATTCAGAGCTTTATCTCATATAAGGGGTTCAACACACACCTCCAGGGTGGTGGGGGGTGCTGGCGCCTATCCCAGCACTCACTGGACAGAGCGCAGGAAACACCCTCAACAGCTCACCAGTCCATCACAGGGCAGGTTTAATACAGTATTTAACAAATTAAAGTGTGATACAGTGTATGGAACAACCGTATCAGTGATCCGGCCCTCATTTGCAGTCATGGAAACCATGGTCAATGAACCATGTAGCTATTTTTATATTGTTTTTTATTGTTACTGTTTTAAGGTCACTATTTTGCAAAAGGACAGGCTATTTCGCAATCCTTTCTTTTGAAATACACTGCATTCTCCAGATCTATGTAGTATATAATTAAACCTCTGCAGAATCTAGACATTAACACAGTTTTGAACACTGAATATTTCAAATTTTAACCATAGAAAAACCGAAAATGTGCATTGTAACACCCCTGCTATTAAAGGAGTACTCCACATACTTTTCAAAATTTCAGATTCAGAGGATGAGATGTAAACAGAGAGATTCAGAGTGGTTTGGTGTGAATCGGTGCAGATGTCTTTACAGTGGTGGTGATAGGAATCCAGGGGTCGCCATAACTACAACACAAAAATAGACATTTTATTTACTATCCAAAATTACCAGTGAACCTACACGAGTCTTCTGAGTTTATATGGAATGATGATGATGGGAAATAATGGACATTCTGAAATAATAGGTTTATTTCCCCACAACAACCGGCATGTATCCCCTTTTAAAAAAACATTTTTAGACCAAAACCTTTTTTCAAAAATCATAAAACAGTGTCTCAGACATCAGGCAGTGAATTCATAACCATATTACGTAATAACTTTTCTTTGAGGGAGCTTTTAGAGGTGGACGTCTGGTTCCTATCACCACCACTGTGAACAGTTGTGACACTGCAAGTTTCTCTAGAACAGAGCTTTTCACACCAAACCACTCTGAACGACTCTGTTTACATCTTAACCACTTAATTATGCAAATCTGGAAAAATCTGTGGAGTTCTCCTTTAAAGCCACCATCATACTTACACTAAACTTTTTAAAACGACATTTCCCATGCAGATATTCATCAATTTATATGATTAAGGGCTTAATTAAGCAATTTATTTCGGGTGAGATCTCCATTAAAGGGCAACTCCACCGAATTATCAAAAATCTACAATCAATAACGGTTAAGATGTAAACAAAGTCATTCAGAGTGGTTTGGTATGACATAACATGGTGACCCCTGGTTCCCATCAACACCACTGTAAAGGAATCTGAGTCTCAACCATTTCACACCAAACCACTCTGAATTACTTTTACATCTCAGCAACTGAATCATGCAGAAATTTTGAAAAATTGGCGAATTTCCCCTTTAACTGCCCTGTTTGGCACTAAACTACAGAGACCACGTCGCCTCCACGTCAAAGGGAAAAAGATCCAACAAACTCATTCATTTAAACTCCACTAACTCTACCGACAAATGACTCACTAACATCGTGGAGGACGTTTTCGAAGCATAAAACTATTTGTTCGCAGCTTCTTAATCGAATTTTTCCGTTCCACCTTAAACAGAATGTAACTGCTGCACCGTTTAAGGTGGAACGGAAAGATTCGAAGCTGGCGAATAGGAAGCCGACATTAAATCAACAGAAGGGGATCAGAGGTTACCTGGACGAGGCATGTGTGTTTAAACAGGGCTATTAATTATTGACAAAAAGGTTAAAATCGGACAGAAAATGATTTAAAACAAAACTCACCGCCCTCAGCGAAGCCATCACACCGCTGCGGTGGGGGTAGGAAAACCGTCCGACTCGAGGCAAAATCCCTAAATACTCGCGTTCCGGAACAGAGCTCCACAATAACACGTTATTTACCTCGTTTCTGAATTTTATTTCCTTAAATACCTACAAAACATATGAGTTTAGTCTGTTAGCTTAATCCTCGTGTCGCCGTGATCCTCTGATTAGGGATTATAAGCCGTTTACGAAGCAGCCTGACTGAAATGAATGATCAAAACATTGTAAAACTGAATCTTTCAGCTTATATCGCGATTTAAAACATTAATATTAGTGTGAAAATGATGATCACTGCAGTTACGAGGAGGAAGGAAATGTTTTATAGCTTTATGAAGAGTCTTTTATATTGGAGCTGTGTAAAATGAGTCACACAAAAAAAAAGTTCATTCCGAGAAAAGGCGATGCTGATTGGTCAGATTACGGGGCGTTTTACTTTTCTGCAGCTCTGATTGGACAACACGAGTTTACTTTTTTTCTTTTTCTTGGCACCCAGACTGAGCTAGAATTACGCAGACTTTGCGCAGCTGCTGGGATATAGTTTTATGACTTAAAAAAAAAAATCTAATAAGTATATAAAAAGCATTGTTTTGATATACACTCTTAAAAAGATGGTTCTTCAGGGGTTCTTTGGTTCTATATAGAGCCATGAACACTCAAAAAAAAACATTTGCATCCTTCAATGGTTCTTTGCATGGTGAAATGGTTCTTTAGATTGTTGGAGAATGTGTTGTATATGGTTCTATATAGAACCTTTTTGAAAATGGCTTTTCTGTTGTTCTACACGTTTGACATCGTGAAACAATAGCAGAACCCTTTTCAGTGCTATAAAGGACCATATACAACACATTCTGCTTCAATCTGAAGACCCATTTCACCACGCAAGAACCATTTAAGCATGAAAAAGGTTCTTTGAGTGTTCACGGTTCTACATAGAACCACTGTCTTTACCAAAGAAACCTTGTAGAACCATCTTTTCAAGAGTGTACATCAAAACAAATGCATTTTTATACTTATTTGAAATTTTTATATCATATATTAACAAACAAAACAAACAAATATATGGCAACAAAACAAAAACAAACAAATAAATAAATAAATAAAAAAGTAGCCAGCCTATATGTAAAAAATGCTGTCTTTCTTTACAAAGTCTAATATTATAACACAGTGAATATGAAATTATTCCTGCTGGCTACTGCTTTTTAAATAATCATAAATAATTATTTATGATGAAAGCACAGCAAGTCAGGACTCAGCACACTTGGTAGGAAATAAAATTCTGCACAAATTCTAAAGACTATAAACATCAGTCAGTACCTAGACTATATTTCTGTGCACTGTATGTGAGAAAGTGAGTAACTGACTCTTCAGGGTGATGTTTTAAAACTTTTTAAACCCTCTCCACAGAGCTGGTGTTCTGATGAATTGTGCTGCCTTGTTGAAATGTCTTCCCATAACGTATATTTATAGGCAGCGCTCTACATAAAAATGTAGGTATGATGTTCTGATAGCCTAAATGACTGTGAGAAAATGCCACCAGCAAAACTACAAGTAGAACACTTTGAAAGCCTAAATCACCCTATGAGAAAATGTACAAGCATTAAAAAAACAATTAAGATATTTTAATTGCCTAAATCATCTTAGTCAGTAGTCATATTAAGCCAAGTCTGTACTAAATTAACATTAAAAACACAATAAAACATTTAAAACGAAGTTACTACGCTATACTACACTATAAACCTGCTTCGGGCCCACAAAAATCAGCCCTGCCTCTCCAACTCAACAAGTGTGTCACACCTATGCTATCCTAGAGGGGATTCATGAAGCGAGAGCCACAGTGTACAGATATTCCCGGGAACGTGGTCACATCGTTCTCCCTTTATAAAGACAACAGAGGCCCAAGGCCCAGTCACAACAGCAAATTCTGCCTGTTTCCCCAAACTCAGCTTTTATATGCCCCCTTAATGATACAGCAAACCTGTGGCCAGTTTTTTGATTGTCTGGGTCTATTTTGAGCCTAAACACTTTTTCTGATGAGCTGATTTGAAGAAAACAGTTTCGCCTGGGGTTTGTTCAGCCAGCTGCTGGATCTTTCTGCATAGTCTGCTGTTGTTGCCCCAGGAGACAGGAGACAGGGGAGGGGCGAAGAGGATGATGCAAGACTTCAAAGGGAATTCTACCAATTTCAAAATGTCTGCATAATTCAGTGTTTGACGTGTAAAGAGAGTCATTGAGTGGTTGGTGTGAAATGTCTTTACAGTGGTGGTGACAGGAACCAGGGGTCACTATGTCTACCTACTATTTCACCTCACAGCACCCTCCACGCATGAATGGTTTAAAAAAAAAAAAGTTACCCCAAAAACTCATCTCAAAACTATCGTAAAACAATATCTCAAACGACATCATTCATACATAACCTGACTCTCTAAGTTTCTTTAGAATAGAGCATTTCACACTAAACCACTCTGAATGAGTTTCTTTACATATTTACTATTTATGCAGAAATGTTGAATTCACCTTTAAGAAGACAGGAACTGTATTCCTTTTTACCCTATTAACCTAAATAGGCATGCACTATCTTGCTTTATTATTGTGGTGGTGACCACTGGCTCCAGTTTCAGGAAAGGAGCTTTAAGGGCCCCCTATGCAGATTTGTGCTGTGCGCCCTGCCCCCTTTGCTAAAAAAGCCAAGTTGTTATTGTTTTGTTGCTGTTAATGTTGGTTTTCACTGTTTCGAGATGGTATGTGTTTTGTGTGCTTTTTTGTTTTGGGGTGTTGGCTTAGTGTGGGTTGGGGGCTCATCATCAGCGGGGGATTTATGGCTTTATGTGACCTCCCTGCTGTTTTTGTGGTCATGTCTGTGCCTTTTCTGGTGGTTGTAATAAAATATCACTTCTCTTAATACAAACATGGCTTCCTCTGACTCTTCTGCATCATGCTACACTGGTGTCAGAAGTGGGATAGCACTCATAGAGAACTGAAGAGGAATGGCACTTCAAAAAACTTAAGGCAAATGGCGGAGAAGTTTGAGCATGGCCAAAGACTGCAGAAGTAGAAGCAGTGCAGCAAGGACCGGTGGCAAAGATAATGGAAGAAGCAGCGCAGCAAGGATCAGCAGTAAAGCATGGCAGCCTGGCAGTGTTGGCTACAGCCCTCCAGTGATGCTTCGAGCAGATGCCAGGGGCGTGGCTAGGCAGGCTGGTGCTTTCTGATGAGTGGATGGGCAAGCTGTGGCTGGCAAGGTGAGTACTGCTGGGGAGCCTCCTGGGCATGCTGCTGCCGGATGAGCTGGGATTTGAGCCATTACAGCCAAGACAAAGAGGTCTGCCGGGCCTGGGAAAGAGGCGTGCCCCGCGCACCCCAGGGACTCTGATCAAACTCAGTGAGATCACCAGCCACCCTCACCTTTAAAGCGCAACGTTTGCCACATCTTATCCCACTTCTGACACCAGTGTGGCGCCTTCGTAGAATAAGACACGGAAAACCTTGTGCTTTAAAGGTTCATGCTCTTACAACTTATTTACAATACAAGTCTCTCCTACTGTAAAAATGGTGCCTCCCAAGAGCCTCTGCACATGGCTTCTCTGCATGGTCACGCCTTCTGCACTCCCTCGGTAAGATCCAGTAATGGGACGCTACACTCTATATATCAGAGGCCTTAACCTTTTTTACGGTGTGCCCCTTTTTTAGAGTTATTAAATACTTTGCAACCCCCCTTTCCCTCCCCCTAGTGAGCTGCCTCTCACACACCAGCATACACATTATAGAAATTACAGAATAATAATCAAATAGTAACTTATACACTTAAGGTATGGCTAAGCCTGCATTCCATTGCTAACACTTTGCCAAAAACAGCAAATCTTTAGCCTTGCACAGAACGTTTTTAAAGTTTAATGATCAAGACCCAAATCTCACTCAACTGAAACTCATATTCAATTTTAATAGAAATTGAAATCCATCAACATTAGTCAATTAGTCCATGGCATTTAGGTGAATTCACTCAGCAGGGCATGTATGCAGTCGCCAAATTTAATTACCTCTCTATTTGATAAGGTATATATGTTGTTGTAGCACCACTCTCGCAACCCCAGCAGGATCACAAAGGGACCCCCAGGTTAAGAGGTGAAAAACCCTTGCTATATATAACATTTGGTTAGACAAGCGGCCAAGCACAGTACAAAAACAAGAAATGGGATTCGGCCTAAATGTCCACTTTGTCACAGAAATCCCTTTTGCTAACATCAGTGGAAATGATGAAACAACTCTAAATAAACATTGATGACAAAATCCATGTTGCAAAAGTCTGATAATGCTCACCTCTACTTGACGATTCTGTCTTTATGATGAAACAGTCTACTGTTCTGACATGACCTCTGAAGCCTCAGGCGCCAGAATGTAACTGCTGCACCATTTAAGGTGGAACGGGAAAATCGAACAAGAAGCTGGCGAACAGGAAGCTGACTTTAAAGCAGAGCTTGTGGTGAGATCCTTTTCTGGCATGACTTCCTAATAAGACACTATTTAAAATCAGGAATGTACATGAACGTTTTACTTTATTAGTAAAAAATTAAGACTCGTTCAGATTACGCAATTTAGTGAAATACAAAAATAAGTTTTTCAAGTAGTTTTGAAAAGCAGCTGAACTCACTTATCCATCATTAATGCCATTCTGGTTGTTCTGGTTGTTGCTTAAAGGGAAAATCTGGTCAAAATAAAAAATGTAATGCACTCCATGCCACTACAAATATCATTAAATGCTGGTTTTAAGGCCAGAATGTCCCTTTAATAATAGAAAAATCATCTGTGATCATAAAGAAGTTCCCTTCTTTAAAAGGTAAACACTTAAGGCACATTCATAAGTAAGATGTAAGCAAGATACAGTAGATTAACTGGCTCAGAGGCAGGTTAAAGGATTAGTTCGACCCTACATGCTAACATGGCTAACAGTGAATAGAAAGCAGTAGGTAGTGATCAGCAAACATAATTTCCATAATCATAACTAGATTCTTTCATTGTGGTTCCATTTACTGTTAGCAACGTTAGGGTTCCGGCAGAATTATTCCGTTAAACTGCTCAGCCGTGGTAACTATCAGAACAGGTGATTTAGGGAACTTGTCTTTTGAAGGCGTAGTTCAGCTCGGCTCCTCCGCTGAGGAGCAGGTCGATCCCGGTGCAGAACGTGGCGTCGGCGGCGAGGAAAAGAGCCATCAGCCCGCTCTCCTCTTCAGTCCCCATCCGACCCATCAGCTGTTGAAGAAAAAGGAGCGATGCGAGTGAGTGGAGCGAGTCAAATCTGGTCCTGCACAACCACCGACCTGAAGAGTCCAGTGTTTCCTCTGATGACAGTGACCTCATTCAGCTGATGGACTTCAGGAGCTGAAAGAGTTACACTACAGGAAGGAGAGGACTGTACACTGTGGAGGAAAGAGGCACTCCAAGACTGGACTTTAATAAACTCATTTTTGTGAGGCCTTAAATACAGAAGTCACCAATGTGCTAGGAAATGGCTTTAAAATGCACCACTACTACTAATAGTGATAATAATATGCAGATATTTTTAGTAGTAAGGTTAACCAATCAGCACTCAGTAGCATTATTGCCAACCCATCAGCACTCAGTAGCATTAATGCTAACCAATCAGCGCTCAGTAGCAGTAATGCCAACCAATCAGCACTCAGTAGCAGTAATGCTAACCAAACTCACACTAATGGAACAACACTGGGCAGCTGAACACGCTTGGAGGAGACACTGTTATATCAGCTAACAGACTAGCAACGGGCTAGCATCGCGCTGACTGATGGGGAGGAGGGCACTCAGCAGCAGTATTGCCAAACAATCAGCACTCAGCAGCAGTAATGCTAACCAATCAGCACTCAGTAGCAGTAACGTTAATCAATCAGCATTCAGTAGCGGTAATGCTAATCAATCAGCACTCAGTTGCAGTAACGCTAACCAATCAGCACTCAGTAGCAGTAAGGTTAACCAATCAGCACTCAGTATCAGTAACACTAACCAATCAGTGCTCAGTAGCAGTAATGCCAACCAATCAGCACTCAGTAGCAGTAATACTAACCAATCAGCAGTCAGTAGCAGTAATGTTAACCAATCAGCGCTCAGTAGCAGTAATGCTAACCAATCAGCACTCAGTAGCAGTAATGCTAACCAATCAGCACTCAGTAGCAGTAATGCTAACCAATCAGCACTCCGTAGCAGTATTGCTAACAAATAAGCGCTCAGTAGCAGTAATGCCAACCAATCAGCACTCAGTAGCAGTAATGCCAACCGATCAGCATTCAGTAGCATTAATGCTAACCGATCAGCATTCAGTAGCAGTAACGCTAACCAATCAGCACTCAGTAGCAGTAATGCTAACCAATCAGCACTCAGTAGCTGTAATGCTAACCAATCAGCAATCAGTAGCAGTAACGCCAACCAATCAGCACTCAGCAGCAGTAATGCCAACCAATCAGCAATCAGTACCAGTAATGCCAACCAATCAGTGCTCAGCAGCAGTAATGCTAACCAATCAGCACTCAGTAGCAGTAACGCCAACCAATCAGCTCTCAGTAGCAGTAACGCTAACCAATCAGCACTCAGTAGCAGTAAGGCCAACCAATCAGCACTCAGTAGCAGTAATGCTAACCAATCAGCACTCAGTAGCAGTAATGCTAACCAAATCAGCACTCAGTAGCAGTAATGCCAACCAATCAGCACTCAGTAGCAGTAATGCTAACCAGTCAGCTCTCAGCAGCAGTAACGCCAACCAATCAGCACTCAGTAGCAGTAATGCTAACCAATCAGCACTCAGTAGCAGTAATGCTAACCAATCAGCTCTCAGCAGCAGTAATGCCAACCAATCAGCACTCAGTAGCAGTAATGCTAACCATCAGCTCTCAGTAGCAGTAACGCTAACCAATCAGCACTCAGTAGCAGTAATGCTAACCAATCAGCTCTCAGTAGCAGTAATGCTAACCAATCAGCTCTCAGCAGCAGTAACGCCAACCAATCAGCACTCAGTAGCAGTAATGCTAACCAATCAGCTCTCAGTAGCAGTAACGCTAACCAATCAGCTCTCAGTAGCAGTAATGCTAACCAATCAGCATTCAGTAGCAGTAATGCTAACCAGTCAGCTCTCAGCAGCAGTAACGCCAACCAATCAGCACTCAGTAGCAGTAATGCTAACCAATCAGCATTCAGTAGCGGTGCCGCTAATTAATCAGCACTCAGTTGCAGTAACGCTAACCAATCAGCGCTCAGTAGCAGTAATGCTAACCAAACAGCACTCAGTAGCAGTAACGCTAACCAAACAGCACTCAGTAGCAGTAATGCCAACCAATTAGCACTCAGTAGCAGTAATGCTAACCAATCAGCTCTCAGCAGCAGTAACGCCAACCAATCAGCACTCAGTAGCAGTAATGCTAACCAATCAGCTCTCAGTAGCAGTAATGCTAACCATCAGCTCTCAGCAGCAGTAACGCCAACCAATCAGCACTCAGTAGCAGTAATGCTAACCAATCAGCTCTCAGTAGCAGTAACGCTAACCAATCAGCACTCAGTAGCAGTAATGTTAACCAATCAGCTCTCAGTAGCAGTAATGCTAACCATTCAGCTCTCAGCAGCAGTAACGCCAACCAATCAGCACTCAGTAGCAGTAATGCTAACCAATCAGCTCTCAGTAGCAGTAACGCTAACCAATCAGCTCTCAGTAGCAGTAATGCTAACCAATCAGCATTCAGTAGCAGTAATGCTAACCAATCAGCACTCAGTAGCAGTAAGGCTAACCAGTCAGCTCTCAGCAGCAGTAACGCCAACCAATCAGCTCTCAGCAGCAGTAACGCCAACCAATCAGCACTCAGTAGCAGTAACGTTAACCAATCAGCATTCAGTAGCGGTACCGCTAATCAATCAGCTCTCAGTTGCAGTAACGCTAACCAATCAGCACTCAGTAGCGGTAACACTAACCAATCAGCACTCAGTAGCAGTAATGCCAACTAATCAGCACTCAGTAGAGTTATGCTAACCAATCAGCTCTCAGTAGCAGTAACGCTAACCAATCAGCTCTCAGTAGCAGTAATGCTAACCAATCAGCATTCAGTAGCAGTAATGCTAACCAATCAGCTCTCAGCAGCAGTAACGCCAACCAATCAGCACTCAGTAGCAGTAATGCTAACCAATCAGCATTCAGTAGCGGTGCCGCTAATTAATCAGCACTCAGTTGCAGTAACGCTAACCAATCAGCGCTCAGTAGCAGTAATGCTAACCAATCAGCACTCAGTAGCAGTAACGCTAACCAAACAGCACTCAGTAGCAGTAATGCCAACCAATTAGCACTCAGTAGCAGTAATGCTAACCAGTCAGCTCTCAGCAGCAGTAACGCCAACCAATCAGCACTCAGTAGCAGTAATGCTAACCAATCAGCTCTCAGTAGCAGTAATGCTAACCATTCAGCTCTCAGCAGCAGTAACGCCAACCAATCAGCACTCAGTAGCAGTAATGCTAACCAATCAGCTCTCAGTAGCAGTAACGCTAACCAATCAGCACTCAGTAGCAGTAATGTTAACCAATAAGCTCTCAGTAGCAATAATGCTTACCAATCAGCTCTCAGCAGCAGTATCGCCAACCAATCAGCACTCAGTAGCAGTAATGCTAACCAATCAGCTCTCAGTAGCAGTAAGCTAACCAATCAGCACTCAGTAGCAGTAATGCTAACCAATCAGCATTCAGTAGCAGTAATGCTAACCAATCAGCACTCAGTAGCAGTAAGGCTAACCAGTCAGCTCTCAGCAGCAGTAACGCCAACCAATCAGCTCTCAGCAGCAGTAACGCCAACCAATCAGCACTCAGTAGCAGTAACGTTAACCAATCAGCATTCAGTAGCGGTACCGCTAATCAATCAGCTCTCAGTTGCAGTAACGCTAACCAATCAGCACTCAGTAGCGGTAACACTAACCAATCAGCACTCAGTAGCAGTAATGCCAACTAATCAGCACTCAGTAGAGTTATGCTAACCAATCAGCACTCAGTAGCAGTAACGCTAACCAATCAGCACTCAGCAGCAGTAATGCTAACCAATCAGCATTCAGTAGCAGTAACACCAAGCAATCAGCACTCAGTAGCAGTAATGCCAACCAATTAGCTCTCAGTAGCAGTAACGCTAACCAATCAGCACTCAGTAGCAGTAATGCTAACCAATCAGCTCTCAGCAGTAGTAATACTAACCAATCAGCTCTCAGCAGCAGTAACGCCAACCAATTAGCTCTCAGTAGCAGTAACGCTAACCAATCAGCACTCAGTAGCAGTAATGCTAACCAATCAGCACTCAGTAGCAGTAACGCTAACCAATCAGCATTCAGCAGCAGTAATGCTAACCAATCAGCATTCAGCAGCAGTAACACCAAGCAATCAGCACTCAGTAGCAGTAATGCCAACCAATTAGCACTCAGTAGCAGTAAGGCCCACCAATCAGCTCTCAGTAGCAGTAAGGCCAACCAATCAGCACTCAGTAGCAGTAAGGTCAACCAATCAGCACTCAGTAGCAGTAATGCTAACCAATCAGCAATCAGTAGCAGTAATGCCAACCAATCAGCACTCAGCAGCAGTAGTGCCAACCAATCAGCACTCAGTAGCAGTAATGCTAACCAATCAGCACTCGGTAGCAGTAGGGTTAGCTAATCAGCCCTCAGTAGCAGTAATGCTAACCAATCAGCACTCAGTAGCAGTAGGGTTAGCTAATCAGCACTCAGTAGCAGTAATGCCAACCAATCAGCACTCAGTAACAGTAACGCTAACCAATCAGCACTCAGTAGCAGTAGCGCCAACCAATCAGCACTCAGTAGCAGTAATGCCAACCAGTTAGCTCTCAGCAGCAGTAGCGCCAACCAATCAGCACTCAGTAGCAGTAATGCCAACCAATTAGCTCTCAGTAGCAGTAGCGCCAACCAATCAGCACTCAGTAGCAGTAATGCCAACCAATTAGCTCTCAGCAGCAGTAGCGCCAACCAATCAGCACTCAGTAGCAGTAATGTTAACCAATCAGCTCTCAGTAGCAGTAGCGCCAACCAATCAGCACTCAGTAGCAGTAATGCCAACCAGTTAGCTCTCAGTAGCAGTAGCGCCAACCAATCAGCACTCAGTAGCAGTAATGCCAACCAATTAGCTCTCAGCAGCAGTAACGCCAACCAATCAGCACTCAGTAGCAGTAATGCTAACCAATCAGCACTCAGTAGCAGTAATGCTAACCAATCAGCTCTCAGTAACAGTAATGCTAACCAATCAGCTCTCAGTAGCAGTAACTCTAACCAGTCAGCTCTCAGTAGTAGTAGCGCCAACCAATCAGCACTCAGTAGCAGTAATGCCAACCAGTCAGCTCTCAGTAGCAGTAATGCTAACCAATCAGCTCTCAGTAGCAGTAATGCTAACCAATCAGCACTCAGTAGCAGTAATGCTAACCAATCAGCTCTCAGTAGCAGTAATGCTAACCAATCAGCACTCAGTAGCAGTAATGCTAACCAATCAGCACTCAGTAGCAGTAATGTTAACCAATCAGCTCTCAGTAGCAGTAATGCTAACCAGTCAGCACTCAGCAGCAGTAAGGCTAACCAGTCAGCTCTCAGTAGCAGTAATGCTAACCAATCAGCTCTCAGTAGCAGTAATGCTAACCAATCAGCTCTCAGTAGCAGTAAGGCCCACCAATCAGCTCTCAGTAGCAGTAATGCCAACCAATCAGCACTCAGCAGCAGTAATGCTAACCAATCAGCACTCAGTAGCAGTAATGCCAACCAGTCAGCTCTCAGTAGCAGTAATGCTAACTAATCAGCACTCAGTAGCAGTAATGCTAAACAATCAGCTCTCAGTAGCAGTAATGTTAACCAATCAGCACTCAGTAGCAGTAATGTTAACCAATCAGCTCTCAGTAGCAGTAATGCTAACCAGTCAGCACTCAGTAGCAGTAAGGCTAACCAGTCAGCTCTCAGTAGCAGTAATGCTAACCAATCAGCACTCAGTAGCAGTAATGCTAACCAATCAGCTCTCAGTAGCAGTAAGGCCCACCAATCAGCTCTCAGTAACAGTAAGGCCAACCAATCAGCATTCAGCAGCAGTAATGCTAACCAATCAGCAATCAGTACTAGTAATGCCAACCAATCAGCTCTCAGCAGCAGTAGTGCCAACCAATCAGCACTCAGTAGCAGTAAGGTTAACCAATCAGCACTCAGTAGCAGTAAGGTTAGCTAATCAGCTCTCAGTAGCAGTAATGCCAACCAATCAGCACTCAGTAACAGTAATGCTAACCAATCAGCACTCAGTAGCAGTGATGCCAACCAATCAGCCCTCAGAAGCAGTGATGCCAACCAATCAGCCCTCAGAAGCAGTAATGCCAACCAATCAGCACTCAGCAGCAGTAATGCCAACCAATCAGCACTCAGCAGCAGTAATGTTAGCGTCCTACTGCACAAACTTCATTTTTTAAACACCTCAGTGTTGCTGCTGGACTGAGAATAGTCCACCAATCAAAAATATCCAGAGAGTTATTAGCCATTCAGGCCCCTTCAGTGACAACTCACTCACGGGGCCCTCTAGTGTCATGATTTTGGTATAGAGGGTGAAATAGGAAGTGGCCAGGCTCCCCTTAGTGGCTCTGGTAAAAAGCCCTTAGTATCTGTTTAGAATAAAAAACAAAATACTGTTTCTCTCCTATTCTTCTGTTTCACTGCAGGAATATCCATCGTTTATGATCTGATGATCTCACTGGAATGACAATCTGCCAGACAGTCTAATACAGGAGTGTCAAACTGGGTTCCTTCTGTGCCAGTTTGACTCCCTGGTTTAAACTATGAATGTGGCAAAAATAACAGAAGAACGTTAAAATCAAATCTAGAGGAAACAGGGAACCAGTGCAAAATGCAAAACTCTCTGTAACGTTTCCTCTTCTGCTCTACTGACCGCTTTTTGTACAAGCTGTAATCGGCCAATAGTTTCTTAGGTGATCAAAAAAAGGTAAAAGAACAGAGAAGCCAAATGAAGCAGCATGGAGTGAGCAGAACACCCCAGACTTCAGTGTTTGGGTTTGGGTTTATCAGAACACACTGTTTTGCCTTCCGTCTTTCTCTGTACCTGAGCGTTCTCTCCTTCTTTAATAACGGCCAAAGCATCAGGTGTTTGTCCTGCAAGCTCCTCCCACAGAGGGGTCATCACGTTTCCAGGAGATATGCTGAAACACACAGAGGAGAAGATTCAATGTATGTACAAATCTATACAAACATGCCTGGGAAAATTAAAAGCTTTGTTAAATCTGTAAGTGAAAATTAGTTAAACCCTTAAAACCTCTGGCTTAGTACTATACTACACTGAGGCTTATTATTCAGTAACTACAAGGACTTCCATGCAAACTGGCTGAGCTATTCTTGGGTTGTAGAAGTGTGTAATAAAACTTTGGCCATTTAAGTGGTTAATTCATCCTCTGTAGAGAACACAGATAAATCTGGCATTTTTCTGCAAATTTCAGTGCAATTTTTTTTTTCAAGTCAAGTCAGCTTTTATTGTCAATACTACAACATGTACAGAACATACAGAGTATTGAAATTGTGTTACTCTCAGACTCCATGGTGTAAACACTAAACACTAATCATAAACAAAATAAACACTAATAGTAGAAAAATAGAATAATAAAAAGAAAAAAAAATAATAATATAAATATAAGAAGGTCCTGAAATTAACACTAAAGTGACATAAGGCACAAACAGATTAAGGTCTGTGGGTATAAATAGTGCAAATATAAACAGTAGTGCAAATTGGAATGAGCTTATGGAGCAGTTAAAGTGATGAGTGCATTTCATTTATTTGTTGAGATTAACATACTGGAAAATCACAAAATACAAAATGTGCGGTGACACTTTATTTGGATTGGTCGTTTGTAGATGATTAATAAGCTCTTAACAGATTAACAGTAACACATCAACAACATATCAGTGAAGCAGCCGTAGTGAAGCATCTGAAGTAAACATCTTGTAGATGTTCTGTTGATACATTACTTACATTAAGCAGATGTGTTGTTAATATGTTACTTCATTACACAAAACCTAACCTTACCAAACTTACCCAACACCTAAGCCTCACCCTGGGCCTAATCCTAACCCTAACCTTAACCTCAACCCAAAACCTAATTCTAGCCCTCACCCTGGCCCTAATCCTAACCCTAACCTTAACCTCAACCCAAAACCTAATCCTAACCCTCACCCTGGTCCTAATCCTAACCTTAACCTCAACCCAAAACCTAATCCTAACCCTCACCCTGGTCCTAATCCTAACCCTCATATATTTTTGATGTGTTACTGAGAGTCTGTTGAGTGTTTGTTTCATCTAAATGGACACTCAAAATAAAGTGTCACCAAATGTGCCATCACATTTGCACAGGCCACATTTTATGCCCCTCCCCAGCTAATAAACAGTAACTGTGCGTTACTGGGGTGCCCAAACTTTTGCACAGGACTCTATATGCTGGTCAGCGAAATAAGAGAAGAGAAGAAATATCTGAGGGATTAAATCTGAGCATCACTCACCAGTTCACCCTCACGTTGTAGCAGCTCTCATCTACAGCCATGGCTTTAGTCATGGAAACAATGGCCCCCTTGTGGACAAATGCGAGAATTACACACAGTCTTAACTTGAGCAGATGGCATTTTAGTCCCAAACTGAGTTATTTCAATATTTGTGTGTTTTTTTTAACACCAGACTCAACTGATCAGCTTCATCTCTCAGCCCTTTATGAGAACCAGCACCATAAAAGCAACAAAGGCATTAGAATCCCCACCTTGGTGGCCACGTAGGGAGCTGCATGCTTCTGACCAATGGAGGCCACCAGGCTGGCGACGTTGATGATGTTGCCTTGCGTTTGGCGCAGGTAGGGGAGAGCAAACTGTCCCGAAAGAAGAACGTGCAGAATATCTTAGGGATTTATGCTCAAATATGAATTTTATGAGCTTGTTTGATTACAAAGAGAAGAAGGAAATTAATAATAAAAAGAGAAAACAACAGAACTGTTTCATTAGCGCTGATCAAACAGGACAGACTGGGTTTGGAGGCCTAACCTTAGACGCAAGAAAGTAGCTGATCAGATTGAGGTTGAGTAAGTCTTTGAACTCCTCTGCGGTGGTCTCATCCGTGGATTTATGAGGGGGATCTGAGAAAGAGAGAGAGTTTTATTAATGTATTTTAATGTCAGCTATGGACAAATTTAAACACTTTTAAATCGCTGTATAAAAAACCAAGCATCTCCAAACTGGTAACTTTACAGGAGAAGGAAAAAACCTTCTTCAGTGTAAAAAATGAAGGTCAGCTCAACTTAAAATGATACAGTAACTGATTACATGGCTTTTCTTGAGTTGACTCAACTTGAGTTCACCCAGCTCAAACTTCTTAGTTGAGTCAAAAATTCTTCTAGCTCTGCATCTCAGTTAGATAAACAAAACAGAATTGGTGTTATTTTACTCAGTTTCCCCACTAGCTGGCGCTCTGTCTATCACACAGTCCCATCTGGCATATTCTCCTCTTGGGTTTCTGGATATGGACAGCTGTGGTGTTGCTGGGATTCAAACTCACAACCTCCTGATGTTGGGATGAATCATTAGACAGCTGCACCACATGAGACGATGCTTGAAAGTTAAAACGACACATTTTCTCCAGTGTTTTAAACATTTGTAGACACTCAATCTGAGCTGCTTCATGTGTTCCTGAGTGGTGCAGTGGACTAAGCCGTCACCCCAACAGGAGGTTGTGAGTTTGAGCCCCGGCGATGCCACAGCCATCCATAAGGGTGAACCCAAGAGGAAAAATGTCCAGCAGGATTGTGTGATGGAAAATTCCTGGCTAGTGGGGAAGTTGAGTATAAAAAAGAAGTTTATTTTATTTACCAAACTAAGAAACAGAGTTGAACTCTGGTGTCCTCAAGTTGAGTCAACTCAAGAAAAGCCATGTAATCAATGACTCTATCATTCTGAGTTGAGCTGAACTCTCATTTTAACAGTGTTCACTTTTTATGTAAGTTAATATAAAGAGACTTTATTCCAGGCAATTCTGGAGCATTTCTATTGGTCCATTCATCTTGAAGTTGGCCCACAGTGTAAAGGGCAGCCGTACTCATTTGTTTATTTTTGGACAGTGAGCTTTGCTAAAACATAAACAAACAGGACTCGTCAGAATAAGCTAAGCAGGTTTACAAACTTTGACCAGTCCCTAAACTTTGGCCTGTCAAACAGACGACGCAGGAGAGGCTACTTACGCCATCCAACGTTATTGACCAAACAGTCTATCTGTCCGAACTGCTCGACGGTCACTGTGATCAGTCTCTGCGGGACAAAAAAGAGAAGCACTAAACAAAAGCTCTTTAATGAAGCTGTGGGCAGTCAGGGTTTCGTTACGGTCACCATCGCCGCACCTTGATGTCCTCTTCCTTCGCCATGTCACACAACACGAAGAGGCAGCAGCCTGGACCCGCTTCATTCAGCTCCGCCTCCAGAGCTTTACCCGCAGCAGCTGATGGGACACGAGAACATACACAGAACCATTTTCTTTACTGAGGAACGCTTGAGGAACCATCTTTTTAAAGTGTGTAAATAAACAGTGATTGTGCAGAACCAAAAGGGTTCTATATAGCACCAAAAAGGGTTCTTTTATTGATTCAAGCTTGGCACCATAACAACAGAAGAACCCTTTTTGGTGCTATGTAGAACATTTTTCATCAGGCTTCTATACAGAACCATCTACAGCACATTCTCCATCAATCTGAAGAACCCTTTCATGATGCAAAGAACCCTTTAATCATGCCAAGGGTTCTTTGAGTGATTATGGTTCTATATGGAACCATTTTCTTTCCTGTAGAACCCTTGAGGAACCATCTGTGTGTAAAGTGTGTAAATAAACATTGAGAACCCTTGTTGGTGCTATATAGGACTCTTTATGAAGGTTCTATACAGAACCATCTATAGCACATTCTCTATCAACCTGAAAAAGCTCTTATGATTTAAAGAACTCATCAATCTTGCAAAGGGTTCTTTGAGTGTTCATGGTTCTATATGGAACTATTTTCTTTACTGAAGAACCCTTGAGGAACCATCTTGTGTGTGTAAATAAACAGTGATTGTGCAGTAAAATGCTATATAGAACCCAAAGGGCTCTATATAGCACCCAAAAGCGTTCTTCCATTGATTCAAGCTTGACATCGTAAAAACAGAAGAACCCTTTTTGGTTCTACATAGGACTCTTTTCATAAAGGTTCTATATAGAACCATCTACAACAGATTTTCTATCAATCTGAAGAACCATTTCATGATTTAATCATGCAAAGGGTTCTTCGAGTGTTCATGGTTCTATGCAGAACCATTTTCTTTACTGAAGAACCCTTGAAGAACCATCTTTTTTAACAGTGGATTGAATTTAACATATTTGGGGAAACAAAACACACAAAACAAAACTATATAGGTGCACTTTGTAGTTCTACAGTTACAGACTGTAGTCCATCTGTTTCTCTGATACTTTGTTAGCCCCCTTTTACCCTGTTCTTCAGTGGTCAGGACCCCCATACTGAAGTTTTCAAACACCTCAGTGTCACTGCTGGACTGAGAATAGTCCACCAACCAAAAATATCCAGCCAACAGCGTCCTGTGACCACTGATGAAGGACTAGAGGATGACCAACACAAACTGTGCAGCAGCAGATGAGCTATCGTCTCTGACTTTACATCTACAAGGTGGACTGACAAGGTAGGAGTGTCTAATAGAGTGGACAGTGAGTGGACACAGTGTTTAAAAACTCCAGCAGCACTGCTGTGTCTGATCCACTCGCACCAGCACAACACACACTAACACAACACCACCACGTCAGTGTTACTGCGGTGCTGAGAATGATCCACTACCCAAATAGTACCTGCTCTGTGAGGGTCCATGGGGGTCCTGACCACTGAAGAACAGGGTAAAAGGGGGCTAACAAAGTATGCAGAGAAACAGATGGACTACAGTCTGTAACTGTAGAACTACAAAGTGCACCTATATAGTAAGTGGAGCTGATAAAATGGACAATGAGCGTAGAAACAAGGAGGTGGACATAATGTTAAGCCTGATCTGTGTGTATTAAAATAAAACAGTAAGCCAATGTAAATAAAACTGTGAAAAAACAAAACACATTAAAAGTACGTAAAAGAGCTCTGTTCTGATTGGCTGCCCTGAATCGGGCCTCATTTGAAAAGAAATCTGAGCTGAAACACTCCCTATAACTTCAAGGTGAATGGGCGGGGCTAAGCTGTTTTAGACTGAAAAGTCAGATAAATGTAAAGGGTTACGGGCCCTTTAAAAGAGTATTATTTAAAGGACTCATATAATGGAAAACTGAACTGTTCTTGCTTTGTAGAAATAAGAGTTTGATGTACACACTGTGTGGACACTGCATGCATAAACACTGTGAATGTTTCAGCATGTACCTTTCACCCCAGTCCATACAGTCCACATTAAGTTGCAAACAACAGCCTGTTTTGAATTCCCTGTTCACAAAAAACAACTTATTTAAACACATCTGAGATGTTCTTCCGGCCTACAGCAGTTTAGCCCCACTCATCACAGTAAAGTTAGGAGTGTTCAACCTAGACTCCTTTTCGAATGAGGCACAATTCGGGGCAGCTGATCATAAAAGCTAAATGACCCATATCAGGCATCAAGGCAAGGGAAAGTAATCATAAAAACAGAAAGGAGAGGAATAACACTACAATAATTAAAAATGAATAAAGCAAACAAAACATAGGACATAGGAGTGCTATGGAAGGAGAGGGAGTAAACAGGCAAACGCATAAACGAACGAAAAGGCAAATGAACATGCAAGTACATACACTATATGGACAAAAGTATTGGGACACCTACACATCACACCTACAGGAGCTTTTATGAATCCCGTTCTAAATCCATAGGTATTAATATGGAGTTGGTCCCCCTTTACAGCTCTAACAGCTTCCACTCTTCTGGGAAGCTTCCTACAAGATTTTGGAGAGTCTCTGTGGGAATTTCTGCCCATTCATCCAGAAGAGCTTTGGTGAGGTTGAGGTCAGGGTTCTGTGAGGGCCAGTCAAGTTCTTCTACACCAAACTCACCCAGCCATGACTTTATGGACCTTGCTTTGTACACTGGGACTCAGTCATGCTGGAACCGAAAAGGTTCTTGCCCAAACTGAGTTGGAAGTGTATAATTGTCCAAAATGTCTTGGTGCTGAAGCATTAAGATTTCCCTTCACTGGAACTAAGGGTTCTAGACCAACCCCTGAAAAACAGCCCCATATCATCATCCCTCCTCCACCAAACTTCACAGCTGGCACAGTGCAGTCAGGCAGGTAACGTTCTCCTGGCATTCGCCAAACACAGACTCGTCCATCAGACTGACAGAGGCAGTTTGGGGCTTTAGTGATTCAACAGAGGATAGACACTGTGTGCTTCAGCACTCAGTGGTCCGACTCTGTGAGTTTGTGTTATCTACCGCTTCGTGGCTGAGCTGTTTTTGCTCCTAGACGCTTCATCTTCACATAGGGCTGGGCGATAAAACGATAACGATAAGTATCGCGATATAACTTTTCCTCGATAGAGCGATAACACAGGTTCGATAAATGTTCAATATAATACACTGTTCTCACACTTCCACGTTTTAGCGAAAGCCCTGGTGGCGTTTTCTACTGCAAGGAAAGCGACACTACTCTGCTGTTGTTTTTCGACTTAATTAGAGAGGGAGGGGGCCACGAGTAAAAAATGGGTCGCCAAATATACTTTTAGCAACGGCTGAAACGCGGAGTTATACAGTCCCTGTTTGAGTTGAGCGACAGGCGATCTGTTCTGTGACCGAGTTTGAGTGACGAGGTCAGTGGTGTAACTGTACTGTCCTACAGTGAACTCACCTCTTTCTGTACATCCTAACAACTTTAGCGGTGTTACATCACGTCTACAGCACTGTTACAGCGCCAAACCGTCATATTTTAGTATTAGTGCATTCTCGAACAACGAAAGTGAAAGAAAGAAGTGGGTTCATGTAAATTACAGCCCTGATTTAAACGAAAGTAAACTGAGGAAGCTGTGAGGCGCTGGAGAGCGGGAGAGCGCTGTCTTTCCAGGCTAGCTGTTTTTAGCTGTTGGCTAACTTGAAGCAGTGCTCCGGCAAAACACGGTGAATTGATGATACAGTAGATCAAACAAGACACAAAATCACGACTTTCAGTTTAAACATACCTAAAAGGAGGACTCTGTTTGACTGGTGTGAGAGATTCACACTGCAGATAATGCTTTTACACAGCGAGCGTCAGATACACTGCGGTTCACCCCTTAAACTACTGCGGTAGCATAGAGAAACCCAGTCGTCTAGCTGGTGTCTGAATACTGTGATCTGCTCTGACATGGACGTGGTAGGAGTGACAGCAGTGACCTACCGAACCGAGTCGACGTTGTTGAGAAACTAAAGAGTTTAGCGCTGTTGTTGGCCACTTGTTTACCATTTGTAGCGGGGTAGCCGAGCGCTCGTCACCAGACAGCTGAAAATAATCTGTTTTCTTTCTTAAATCATGACTATTACAAAAATTGCAGCTGTGCTTTTCAAGCTGATAAAAACAGCTCAGAAACTTTCTCCCACTGTCCCATGACAGATCTGTGAAATGTTCCACTGTTTGCCGAGTGTTTGTCAGGATCGGACCGTAAGTGATAGTTTAAAACCACAATTAACCACCCAGGAGCAAAATCAGCCTTCAAACGTGAAAGAAATCATGATTTGACATTTATCTCGATATGTATCGATATCGAACGATATGAATTTTGTTTATCGTGATAACGTTTTTGGCCATATCGCCCAGCTCTATCTTCACAACAATAGCACTTACAGTTGACAGGGGCAGATCTAGCAGGGCAGAAATTTCAGAGGTGGCATCCTATAACAGTGCCATGTTTAAAGTCACTGAGCTCATCAGTGCGACCCTCTACTGCCAGTGTTTGTCTGTTGAGACTGTAAGGCTGTGTGCTTAACTTTATCCAGCTGTTAGCAAAGGGTGTGGCTGAAACACCTGAACTCAATGATTAGGACGGGTGTCCCAATACTTTTGTCCATATAGTGTAAGTAAGTATATAAATAAATAAATACACAGATGTAAACTGTATATATATATTATAACTGTATATTTGTATTTTTACCTTCATTGGCGCAGAAAACAACTTTGGCCCCATTCTGCACTGCAAAGAAGGAAGCAGGACAGCCTCGTTACACAAACTCCACACACACCGCACACCTCTTTCTCCCCCACCCCCGCACCGCCCCCCTTACCGAAAACCTTTACGATTCCTCTCCCGATGCCCCTCGACCCGCCGGTCACCACCGTCACCTTCCCGCTGTAGCGGAGCTGAGAGCTCGCCATGCTGCGCCAAACCGACCGGCTGCTACTCTTCAGACCGAGCTCAGTCAGCTGACCGTCATTCTCCACAAACTCCCTGCAGCTCTCACTTCACTCTCCTCGCGCACAACGCGCTGAAACTGACCATTCAGCGCTGCTGCTCTCCACCACAGACCGCAGCTTCCCAAACATCAGGCGCCTGACACGCGCTCTGTCAACTGAGCCGGCGTGGAGCATTGTGGGACTTGTAGTTTTTAATACGAAAACGCCACGTTTGGTACATTCTGAGGGCAAAACATATAAAAATCATTCTTCTATAAACAGGCATTACTCAGCGATGTGATTTGTGCCTTTATGATTAAAACCATAACTGATAATGAGAAAGATCAATATATTAATAGGTCAACATATAGATTATTATACATCTCTGCCTTTTCTTAGAGTTTTTACTATAGATCTATACTGTGTAGATCTATTATGTATATTATAATAATAATAATAATAATAATAATAATGAATTAATAGTCAATACTGAATAATTCATAGTAGATATAAATAATTCATAATGGACACTAAATAATTCATAGCAGATACTGAATAATTTATAGTAGATAATGAATAATTCATAGCAATTACTGAATAAATTATACTAGATACTGAATAAATTATAGTGGATATTGAATAATTCATAGTAGATACTGAATAATTCATAGCAGTTACTGAATAAATTATACTAGATACTGAATAAATTATAGTGGATACTGAATAATTCATAGCAGTTACTGAATAAATTATACTAGACACTGAATAAATTATAGTAGATACTGAATTATTAATAGTACTTACTTAATGCTTCTTTATCAATAATGAATCATTTATAGTGGTTACTAAATAATTCTTAGAAGATACTGAAGCTATTAAGCATTAGCTAGAACTGAAATAAACAAGAGTTTCATAATATGTCTCCTGTTTCCTGATGGTCCTGAGTACCTAAAACCACATCAAGTCAGATGGCTGATGGCCCTGGGGTCACCTGTGTTTGGTTGGTCAGTGTTTACTCAAATTTGATGGTTTTGTATGAAAGTATGATTAATGATCAATAATTGTGGTGCGGGGTAAAGTGTAGTGATCTTAAAGAGGGTCAGGATGACTGTAGATTAGAGTTGGAGCTACATGCAGGTCTAACAGGCCATCTAGTGTTCATTATATACAGTAAATGAAGTATTAGTGTAGACACTACATAAGAATAAGCAACAGACAGGGGGAAACTCATGCATGTGTTATTGGTAACTGTATTAACATCTTGGCCAGACAACAAGTCTTGGAAAAAGAACTTCACAGTAACAATATTCATTTGCATCCACGTTTACATTTATGGCACTTGGCAAAACTGTTTATGCAGATGGTATTACTGTAGTGCTTTGTTGTTTACTTGGACACCTTTTCTTCTGATGCTGCATTTAGACCAGCGACTAAAGATACCATCAATCTACATGAGTTTGGTTTGGAAGTGTTTTGCTTGTAAAAGCAACGACATTCAGATAAATGTAAATATACACCGATCAGGCATAACATTATGACCACCTCCTTGTTTCTGCGCTCATTGTCCATTTTATCAGCTCCACTTATTATAAAGGTGCACTTTGTAGTTCTACAGTTACAGACTGTAGTCCATCTGTTTCTCTGCATATTTTGTTAGCCCCCTTTTACCCTGTTCTTCAGTGGTCAGGACCCCCATGGACCCTCACAGAGCAAGTACTATTTGGGTGGTGGATCATTCTCAGCATTGCAGTAACACTGACATGGTGGTGGTGTGTTACTGTGTGTTGTGCTGGTGCGAGTGGATCAGACACAGCAGTGCTGCTGCAGTTTTTAAACACTGTGTCCACTCACTGCCCACTCTATTAGACACTCCTACCTTGTCAGTCCACCTTGTAGATGTAAAGTCAGAGGCGATAGCTCATCTGCTGCTGCACAGTTTGTGTTGGCCATCCTCTAGTCCTTCATCAGTGGTCACAGGACGCTGTTGGCTGGATATTTTTGGTTGGTGGACTATTCTCAGTCCAGCAGCGACACTGAGTTGTTTAAAAACTCCAGCAGCCCTGCTGTGTCTGATCCACTCAGACCAGCACAACACACACTAACACAACACCACCACATCAGTGTTACTGCAGTGCTGAGAATGACCCACCACCCAAATAGTACCTGCTCTGTGAGGGTCCATGGGGGTCCTGACCACTGAAGAACCGGGTAAAAGGGGGCTAACAAAGTATGCAGAGAAACAGATGGACTACAGTCTGTAATTGTAGAACTACAAAGTGCACCTATATAGTAAGTGGAGCTGATAAAATGGACAATGCGCGTAGAAACAAGGAGGTGGTCAGAATGTTATGCCTGATTGGTGTACAGTGCTGAAGACAGAGAACACAGTCAAACAAAATCACTTTTCAGAAGATATCGCTGAGGTGACTAGATATAATTCTGATATGATTCTTATAAGATAATCTACCTGTATGAGGAAGGAGTAAGTCAAAGAATCATCAAAAAATGTTAATAAAATGATTAAGAGCTACAGAGAAAATGGGGCTCCTAACAGCCACCTGGAAGACCTGGTAGACACTAAATCTGCCCCCATTGGATAAACAGCACTTAAAGCTTTCATCTTTGAGAGAGAAAAAATATATCAATATCAATGGAGAACAGGAATAGATTTTGATACAAAAATTAAAAAAAGAGAGAGAAAAAAAACAATAATAGCAACATAAAGAAGAAGTGGCAGAAGAAGAAACTGAACAGACAGCAGAAGTAAGACAGTGGTGACATTCTAATTTAGGCAGGGTGTACTGGAACCTCCTGAGGTAGTGTGTTGTGGGAGTGTGTGTGTGGTGGTGGTGGTGGTGGGGGGTGATGGTAGCTGGATTGAATTTCGGCATGACAGCATTCCCAACTCTGCCTGAGTGAAGAGGCAGCAGAGACGAGAGACGGGGGGCCACTGACCTACAAACAGCTTTAAGGGTCCCACTGCGGCGAGACAACGCCTCCTGCTGGACACACATGTCAGACGGGCACAGGGAACCACACACACACACACGCACAGACAGACAGTTCATGGTGTTGTGGAGGTCGTCAAGAAAACAGTGGCGGTCTCAGAGGAATCAGCCAAGACCTACAGTAGGTGACCGACACAAGTGTGAAGAAGCGTTTCACAAGTAAGCGACACACACACACACAAACACACACAGACTTAATAAGCAGAGTGTTGTGAGTTTTGTCATCGTCTGGGAAAATGTTCTAACTGCATTTGACAGTAAAATAACTTAAACTTAATTTCATCAGTGCAAATCAAGCCTGACTAACCACTTGATATTTAAATTCATATTAAATATGAAGAGGGACACTCAGCGGAGATTCTAAGTGAAAATGCACTACAAACTGGCCTTTAGAGCATCTCTGCTAACATTTGGGTGATTTTTAGGATACAGACCATAGAGCAGTGAAGTGCTTACTATATCAGCCGCCGTAGATCACTGCTTATGATAGATGTGCGTCTAGTTACCGCATGCATTATTTGCAGATTATAGAACGGTAAACAAATTAATGCATCATCTGATACTGAAAATAAACAATTTCTGTTCAAATTTATGACAAATTCTAAAACGCGTTTTTTTTTGTTTGTATGTAAACAAATGACAGATGACTTAATGGAATAAATATATATAATAAAAGTCTATGTTACCCATAATTTTGTGTGTATTTGATTTTGTGGAAAGGTACACACATTAGTTGTTACTGTAGTTACTGAATAATTCATAGTAGATGTTGAATAACAGTGTTTAATAAAGTATAGTAGTTCACAAATAATATATAGTAAGTACTGACAACTTCATAATAGATATTTAATGATTCATATTATTTACTAAATAATTTATAGTAGTTTATGAATGATTTATAATAGAGTAACAAACAATTCACAGTAGATTCCGAACAATTTACAGTAGTTACTGAATACTTACTTGAAATTACTAAAAAAATCGTCTTGAGATTAAAAATGTAACAACAAGCCTGCAGTTTAGGGGATTTAAAGTGCTAATAGGGAAACAGAGGAACGGACAGGATAATGTTTGCTCAATAACAGCAGCTCCTGAAGGCCATGCTGTGTGTTGATTTCGCGGTGAATAAATTCAGAGCTAATCCTGGGGCAGCATTAAGTCAGCCCTCCGCTCCGTACGGCTTGTGCTCAAGTGACACGATGGTATTTCTGCTCCACGACAGGGGAACCGAGCTGTCCAAAGAGCAGAGAGGTGCTCCACAGCAGGATTTCGGACAACTTAAGCCCTTAAACCAAGATTTTCCTACAGAGGGAGAGGTAAGAGACATTTCTATTGGGATTAACCCAGAAAAGTCACCCAGAAGAGTTATTACTTTTATTTTGCTGCACTATTTAAGTGTACAGTAGTTCTTCACTTTGTAACTGCTATTGCTGCACTTTTCCTACTGCATCTGTACGTTTAATTACATAATTATATAATAAATTGCAGTTAGATATGCAATGAATTGCATCAGGTTAGACAGGTTTGAGCCTGGACCTCACACCTTTTCCGTTTCTTTAATTAATTATAATACAATATCTCTTCTACTAACAAACACAAACATGGTTTGGATTGAAAATCTGCATTTTCTGAAATAAAAATTATTTCATGTCATTGTTCATGTTTAGCCCAGATAAGATCAGATCATATGCTGTCCCTCAATCGTCCATCAAAATGTAAGGACTTTTGCCCCGCCTCTAAAACGTCCTGCGACTTTTAATGATGTCACTGTGCACCAGAATGTGGGGCAAAATAATATTAACCAATAATATCATGCTTCCCTCCCCCTCCCACCACTCCCCACCTATCAGCGAGCTCAGAGACCCTCCCTGAAACCGTATACGACACAGTACAATACAAATTATGATTTCACGTTAATCTATAGTTGAACATATAATGGGGAACTGAGGGTGGTTAACATATGTTTTAATGAACGACACTTTAATGCTTTTAATCATTGACCAACAAGCAAACAAAGAAGCAAAGAAAACTAACTGAGAAACCTTGTTTGGTGAAATTTCCCCCTAGAGCAGCAGAAAAGCCCCGTAGGCCGCAGAGATGGACAGCCAGAGAAAAGCTGGAGGAGAAGGAGGAGGAGGAGAGAGGAGACAGACGGAGGAGGAGGAGGCCGGAGAGAGTGATAAGAGGAGTAAAGAGCAGCGGAACAAGGCGGAGAAGGGTGAGAAGGAGAAGGGAGAGAAGGAGAGAGGGAAGAGAGAGAGCAGGAGGTCAGGCTCTCAGTACAGAGGAGGCTGGGCATTGACCGAGCGTCTGGCCATCAACGTGTCCGGCATGCGGTACGAGACTCAGCTGCGCACGCTGGCCCAGTTCCCCGACTCCCTGCTGGGTGACCCGCACCGACGCCTGCGCTACTTCGACCCGCTCCGGAACGAGCTCTTTCTGGACCGAAACCGCTTCTGCTTCGACGCCATCCTCTACTTCTACCAGTCCGGCGGACGCCTGCGCCGGCCAGCCAACGTACCGCTGGACGTCTTCATGGACGAGCTGCGCTTCTACGAGCTGGGCGATGACATCATGGCCCGCTTCAAGGTACGGCTGTTTGCATTTGTATTGTTTTTAAATGGAGCTGGAAGTGGGAGTGGCTTAAACTGGAAACTGGGTATATTATTACTTATGTGAAGTCATTAAAGTACTTGTTTATTAAACAAAATCAAACATGGGTCATTCCATGCCATTTCCATATTTCTATAGATTTCCATAGAAAAATTCAAGTAAAAACTTCAATTTAACTCATGCAGCCGCGCAAAATTACACGTTCCAATTAGTTTTTTAGTTATGATTTTTTAGGTTTGCCCTATTAGGCTCTAAATTGCATCTTAAATGTTCAGCTCCATACAGAATGACTGAACTGCGACGAAACATTAACTGCATATAAATACAACAACAATAATATATCACTTTAATTTAATATAGGATCCCTGAATTTCTAGCAAATCTACAAACGCTCAGTTCTGCATGCAACATTTGAAGCTTTATCATGAGTTCAAGACAGCTTATGAACTACGAATCCATTTTTAAGATGCTTTTTGACCTATAATTTCTCAATAATCCAATTTTCTTCAAACTTTCTCCTGAATAAAAATAAGCCATGTCTAAATAACATATAAAATTTACAGATGGTCTGACTTCCTAATGGCTTAATCATTTTTTATGAGATATTTGACTAACAAACAGATGGTAAAACTACAAATAAAGAAACACTGAAGTCCAAAGATTATTACATATAGATCTTTACAGACAGGAAGGCTGCATACTCTTTTGAGAGGTAATAATTTTCGTCTTAAATGGGTGTGAGGTGTTAGAAAGCATGTACATTCACATTTTTTGGCTTTAACAAAAAAAAATATCATATTTATTCCTGCACACTTAGTTTTAAACATAAGAATGTGACTGTTTAAAAAGAGCCAGTATGCAATCAAAATGTGTGGAGCTGAAGAAGAAACTGAAGGAAATACACAACATGATGTTAGAAAACAGTGGGAAATCGTAAGAAATAAGGAGAATTAAAGACTTTATTAAAAAAATATTATAAGCTTTTTTAAAAATACAGTCTAAATGTTCAAAATGTAACAAAATATCTTTACAGCCCAAGATTCTTCTAAGATTCGCAGCTTGTTTATATGACTCCTTTTGCCATACAACACATTATAGGCTGTTTTCTATAGGCCTACATTCTACTTAATGTTCCATAATTAGGCAGGTTTATGAAAAACATGTACAGCAGGTTAATATTAATATATTAGTATTGGCCTCTTTTCCACTGCAGGGCCGAACGGTTCTGAGCATGGAGATTCAGTGGTGTTTCCACACGGAACGCTTAAAAACCGGGCCCAGGATGTCTTTTTTGGCAAGATTAGCTATCCGTGCTTGGGGCCACAGAACCATTCTGTGGGATGCCGTACCGACGTAGCTATTTGCTGTATCATGCCACTGCAGTGTGGACTCGATTCTAGCAAACCGGTGATTAAAAACACCAGTTAACATGATAAAGACTCATATCTGAGAACACAGATTCGAATGACTGGTGTTGAAGTGACAGAAAGATAAAAAAAAGAATTGCTCTGTCCTGCCGGGTGATGCTAATGCTAATGTAGCTAGTTATCCAGCTACAGGTAAAACCCACCGCAGTACAGGCTGTTTCAGTAACAGGTGCTCAAATAACCCCCATCTAGAGGACTAAGATGATAAGAGCACACCGAGAGACTGACAGATGCAATCAAACGTGTTTTGTGGTGGGTGGTGTGTGCATGGCTATTAGCATGTTAGCAGTTAGCCACTTGTGTAGTTTTCTTGGGTATTTCCTGGTTCTGATTTAGTGGTACAAGAGATGGAAAAGAAACCGTAACTAGTCTCACGAGTCCAGACCAGTGCAGAACAGCCCAGTATGGCCCTGAGAATCATTTGGCTCGATAGTGGAAAAGCAGCCACTGTCATGTCGAACTGTCCCACAAAAACAGCTACGCTGTCCTGCAAATGACCTGTTCTGATCTAGTCACTCTCTCACCAATGGGGAGAGAGTAAAAGTGTGTATTTGTATAGAACCACACAACCAGAACAGACTGCAGGGTAGAAATCACAATTTAGAACTGCTAACAAAAATTTCAAAGAAATCCTGTTAACAAATTCAGAAACACTGCAAATGTGTAGACACGATGCTAAATATATGCAGCAAGTAAGATGTGCCGCTTCACAGCTTCTATCGCTGTGCTGAGTGACATCTAACTGCAGACCTGCATCCCCCAGGCTGGACAAACTGCCTCTGCTTTGGGCAAAAGACACAACACACTAAATAGATAAAGAAAATGATTCTATATAGAACCATCTACAACACATTCTCCATCAGTCTGAAGAACACTTTCACAGTGCGAAAGAACCCCTTAATCATGCAAAGGGTTCTTTTAGTGTTTATGTTTCGATATAGATTAATTTTCTTTACTAAAGAACCCTTTAAGAACCATTTTTTAAGAGTGTAGGTAGCTATCTAGCTAAAGTTTTGATGAAGTAGCTAATCAACACTAACATTAATGTTAGGTGAAAGCTTATTAGCAAAAATGAGAAACTATGCTGCACATCTATAACTATGTGTAAAATTATTAACTAGCTCATGTAGTTATTGAAGCTTAACCCTAAAGCTAACCTAACAAGCCCTAACCCAGGGTTCAGCAGCATGTGGCTGTTTTACTGCCCTGTTGCGGCTCCACAGCAGAATCAGTTTTTTAGGTAAAAATAAAATAATCCTCCTTTACAGTAAAATAAAGCTCTGCTGATCGTTCAACACAGTTTAACAATAAATGGTCTTAAACGCTGGAGTTAATGTAGAACTGCTAATTTACCCTTTAACCCTGAAGACTGGCGTGCAGACTGCTGGTCACCATAGCAACACAGACAACACTCTCGCAATCTCGCTAACGAAAATGACGAATGGACTTGTTTGCATTTATAATCACTCCAGCTGGTTTCCGGATACGTTTCATGTGCAAAGAGAAACTGTCAAACACTGAAAAGTCACAAAACTGAAGTCAGCTTCTCATTCGCCAGCCTCTTGTTCGAATTTTCCTGTTCTACCTGAAAAAAGATGCAGCAGTAACATTCTGGCGCCTCAGGTACCATTTAAGGTGGAACGGGAAAATACAAACAAGAAGCTGGTGAATGAGAAGCGACTTCAGCCTCGGGGAAAAAAATGAACGTTCAGAGACATTTTACTAGACTCTGTTCTACTTTTGTGGAAAAGTTTCCTGCCGGAGATGTGAGAAAAGCAGCTATAGCTGAGCTGAAGCTTAAAGCAGAGCAAAATAAGTCTGGATTTTCATTTATAGCCAAGATGGTAAAATGTGGCTTCAATAAATAGACAAAAAACATTGCTAATCTTCATCTTTTTATGAAGGAGTAATCCACATTTGCCCAAGCAGGGGCTTTCTCAATAGTCTAGGGTTTTACATTACTGGACTGCTGGGCTACAAGTCAGTTTTGGGAATAAAAACCCGCATCAAAATATTTGGAAGGAGCAAATAAATAACACATTAATTGAGCCTCTCTGAATAGCGTAGTGTGGATTTAGGTATTATGTGAAATTGGGTAATAGTTGACATTTAAAGAAATGCTCATTTATTCCAATTCCAGTTGATGTTTACTAGTTTATTCTTTCTGAATGAGTAAAAAGAAAAACTATGAATGTTTTCTTTTCTTAGTAAATAGAATGAAAAGCCCTGACAGGTGTTTCTTAAAATACCTGAATGCCTGAATTAAACTCCTTGGCTTCTAAATCAAACATCCATTAATCTTTCACAATACTGGTGAACACCCTTACTTCCAGGAGGACGAGGGTTTCCCTAAGGAGGAGCCGCGACCGCTGCCGGAGAACGAGCTCCAGAGGAAGCTGTGGATGCTGTTTGAGCACCCGGAGTCATCAGGAGGAGCACGCATCATCGCCATCATCAGCGTGATGGTCATCGTAGTGTCCATTCTCATCTTCTGTCTGGAGACACTGCCAGACTTCAGGAACGAGAGAGAGCTGAGAGAGGTGAGGAGAGAGGATGAAAGAGACGTGAAAAGAAAGAAGAAGAGAAAGATTAAGACGGTTAAAGCATGCTACTGTAGATACAGACATTAAAAAACAAAATAAAATTTGTCAGGCAAAACTAATAGTTCTGCCCACTGATGACAACAACAACAACAACAACAATAATAACAATAATAATAAACTTGATCTAATTAGCATCTTTTATATATTAAAATGCAGCTGAATGACAGAGAAAGAAACCAGCATAACAGAAAAAACAACAAATAGGGGAACCGAACAAGGAGGGAAAAAACAGTTTAACAAAATATGTAATTACATATAAAACAGTAATAATGAAATGAGTAAAACAAGAAATTTTAGCCCAAATGTATCCCATCAACCAAGACATGTTTGGTGTCTGAAGTTTGTTTCTTTAGCTTCACACTGGAGCTACGAGGCTAATGCAGCTAACAAGTTAGAAACAAAAAAGTTTATACTCCACCATTTAGCATGGTGCTAACTTCTCGCCTAAATCATGACACATTCAGCTCAAACTGTGTGGAGTTGTTCAGTATCTCTAATAGACTTGATTATGTTGTTTTTAGACACCGTATAACAGGCCAAACCAAACATGTCTTGGCTGATCGACTATATTTGGTTGGAAAATCTGGCAAAATTTTCATGGAACTATTGATTTAACCCTTGTGTGGTGTTGATGTGTTTGTTACTCAGTGGTCTGCTGGACCCACCACATTATTGTTTTATAAATCAATACAGCCATAACAATTTATGTAAAAATACCAGATGTTTAAAATATCACAAGTGTCCAGCGTAGGGTTCTCCTTTAGCAGCTGTAGCCAGTCAGCAGCCTGTCCATGTTGTCCACCTTCACACACACACACACACACACACACACACACACACACACACAGACACACACACACTAACAGCAGGTCGTGTAGGAGGAGAACAGAGCGAAGGACACAGCACCTCCACACTTTTACTCTCCGCAGGTTCACCCAACCACATGTGTAATATAAATGTGTGGGGGGTGAACAGAGTGAAGACACTGAAAATGGGTTATTTCATATGTTCTTCACAGAAAATGAGTAAAGGACAAGAATCTGAGGTTCAAATAATAATAAATCACATCATTTTTCTTTTGGTGAACATTGGAAACGGGTCCCACAGACCTGAACACCACACAAGGGTTAAGTAACCACACATACAGTACAGTAAGAGTCCAAAACAGTGGGCCAAAACAGCAAGAGCCAAAAAACAAGTCCGTGTGTGGGCAGGTGACCGAGAGAGAAGGAGAGGGGTGGGTGATACAGAGAGAGACAGATAACGAGAGAGAGAGAAAGAGAGAGAGAGGTTAAGACTGAGATTATTTTGGACTAGTCGTTAAACCTGATCCAGATCAGAGGAGGGGAGGGATGAGAATGAGAGCGGGAAAACAGACAACTGAACAGCAGAGGGTATCCGGTGGGGGTGGGTTATTTCTTGTTATTCCTACTACTAGTATTTTTATTAGCCATGGTATTTATTTTTAGATTCTCGTTTACTGTTATTTCTAATGCTATTATTTTGTTGTAATTTCAGAAACTGTAGAACAGACTCAGTTTATATCACAATACCTACATTTATAGCCCATTATTCATTCAACCTAACGAGAAACTGTAGAACAGATTGAGTTCATATCACAATCCCTACATTTAGAGCCGGTTATTCATTCAGCCTAACGAGAAACTGTAGAACACACTCAGTTTATATCACAATACCTACATTTAATTTAATTTAATTTGGCAAAACTGCATGTAAAAAATCAAACCAGTATACTGAATCCAAACTGAGAGAGAGAGAGAGAGAGAGAGAGAGAGAGAGAGAGAGGGGTGGGGAGTGTGCTGTGCTGTATCAGATTAGTTTCCCATTTGCTGTCCAAAAGCCTGATCACCACTCACTACACCCTAAAGCTCCACCTGTGCTACTGGGTAGACCGGACAGATATTGATGAGGAGTGAAATAAAGAGCTAGAGGGAGCAAGAGCGAGAGACAGAGACAGTGAGAGAGAGTGAGAGAGAGGCTCAGTCTCGTGTTACATCTTAGAGATCTAAGGTGCTAAATATAGAGGAAGGACGACCCTCAGCTCATCAACACAGAAACCAGAGTGTTCATAAACACACACACACACACTGGAACAGGTACAGCAGAGGATTTTAAAAACACACGATCAATAATCCTAACCAGGCAACCACAAACACATGCTTTCACAGCTACTTGAGAGAGGTTGGACAAGCGTTACAGAACACTGAAACCTTCATTCAGCCTAATGAGAAACTGTAGAACAGACTCAGTTTATATCACAATACCTACATTTAGAGTCGGTTATTCATTCAACCTAACGAGAAACTGTAGAACAGACTCAGTTTATATCACAATACCTACATTTAGAGCCAGTTATTCATTCAACCTAACGAGAAACTGTAGAACAGACTCAGTTTATATCACAATACCTACATTTAGAGTCGGTTATTCATTCAACCTAATGAGAAACTGTAGAACAGACTCAGTTTATATCACAATACCTACATTTAGAGTCGGTTATTCATTCAGCCTAATGAGAAACTGTAGAACAGACTCAGTTTATATCACAATACCTACATTTAGAGCCAGTTATTCCAGAGCCAGATGTTTCAAAATATAAATATATGTATCCACGCTTTACCTCTATTCCAGCTTCCATTCTTTTCAGGAGACTCACTTTCAGTTTCTCAAAGAAATCTGCATCTCATTTAGCTGCTTGTATGAACGGTAGTGTTTGTCTGAAGGTGAACAGAATATCTTTGGGAAGCTTTTATTGGGAGGACACAGCTGTAACTGGTTAGTTTTAGGATTGAAAGGATGGAAGAGTTAAAGTGGGAGTGCACAACAGTAATGAGTAGACAAATTAAACACTGATAAATTTAATATTAACCTTTGTAACGTTGGATTGACGATATAGACACTTGTGTATATCTTTGAAAAAAGATTGATACAAAAAACAAGGTTAAAACTAGACCAGCTCAAAAACCCAGTGGAGAAAAACACAATACATGGGAGCAGATGAAATCATAGTCATAAACAAGTGAGGGTCAAAACCAAGAGATCTAACTAACATGTGAACAAAGCCAATAGGGGAGAATCCGAAAGACGAATTAAGAGAAATAAAGCAAGGCCAAACGGGATAAGCAGTAAAAATGGCTCAGTATGCACTGAAGGAACAGAGGCAATACTTCACAAAGGCTACGTTCACACAGCAGGTAAAAGTGGCGCAAATCTGATTTTCTCACCAAATCCGATTTTTTTGTTTGGCTGTTCACATTATCCTTTAAATGTGATCTGTATGTGACATCAGTCTGAACAGATCAGCTCCTAAACTGAGCCGCATGTGCAAAAAAACTGTTTCAAGTTGTTTCACGCAGCTCATCCAAAGGTAAACAATTGCCAATGAACGCCAGTAGCTCCAAGAGGGTTCAGCTTCATCTTCACCAGCATCACAGGAGCCATCATGAAGCTTCACTGACAGCTGAGCTCATCACCCAGAATGTGTTCCAGCTCGCCGTAAAAAGGGCGCGTTATTCATGTCCCCAGATTCTTTAAACTTTGTTTTCAGACTTTTCCCTGACGCTGCAGCCTCAATCTCCTCCAGCCGCATTCAGCCATTTCTTTCAAAATCTCTTCAAACACAGATCAGTTGCGATAATTTTTTAATACAGAAACGTCAGCCTAATAAATGAGGTCTCTGCAGCGCGAAATGATGGTGAATGTGGAGTTGGATTGACATTAAAGTCGCATGTATTCCTATCTGGCTGTTCAGAGTGAGTTGCATTGCTGCAGATCAGACAAGGATCGGATTTCAGTACCACATATGAAAGCGTCTCAAATCGGAATTGAATATCAGATTCAGTGCATTTATCTGTTCACACTGACACACCTCTGCGTCACACATGGGAGAAAAAAAATAAAATAAAAAAATCGAATTTGGTCCACGTTTACCTGCTGTGTAAACAAAGCCAAAGTAACAGTCAAACAGACAGGCTTAAATACACAGCTCTACAGGTGATGACAATCAGTACTCAGGTGACTTGGATCTACCAGTTGGCTGGTGATTGGTGGATGAAGTCACATGACATACTGAGGGATCTTAGGAGTTGAAGTTCATAGTGAGGTGAAAGTTTGCGAACCAGCAAGCGAGACAAACATAGTGTTGGAAGCTTTTGTGTAATTTTCTGAAAAATGAATATCTTTTACTCAGTGGCCATTTTGACTAGAAATTAAATATTCAAAAAGGTGGTCTCTGACTTTTGCACAGTCTGACTTTTGTTTTTTTTTATTATTTCTTCCATCAAAAAACAGTTCCAGCAGCTTAAAGTAAAGCAACCGTTGTTTTTACTAAGCAACTGGTGGACAGTGGGAAGAAGAAGAAGCCGTTATCAGATCTAACAACGTTAGTCTTAATCAGTCAAACTAATCAGACTGTGTAGTGTTTAGTAACTGAACGCTAAGCCTGGGGTTGAAAGGGTTAAGAACTGGTGATAGACATGAACGAGAAAGGAGCGTGTGCACGTGAAGAACGCTGTCTATGCGTGTGCATGTGTAACACAGAAATGTATCCGTGTGCATGTAAGAGAGAAGCACAGGGCCTTAACAGTTGCTTATGCCTGAGCCGTTAGGGTGATGAGAGACGGATTTCAGACACATGCAAAGAACACAGAGTACCAGTGATATAATAAACCTCTCCTCCTCTCTCCTTTCATCCCCTTCTCCTCAACTCTTTTCTACTCTTTCATCTGCCTTTTCTTTTTCCTCCTATTCTTTCCTTCCCCCTCCTGATCTGCATCTCAGCTTCTCAACCCTTCCCATCACCTCACATTTTTCCCTTTTTTTCTTTCTTCGTCCTCCTTCTTTCTTTCTTCCTTCCTTTTCTTTTTCCTTTCCTCAATTCTTCCCTCCTTTTTTTCTCCCTTTCTCTATCTCTGCTTCATTTTTGTTGTAAAGCTGTCTTTCCCTCTCTCCTGGTTTAACCCGTTCCTCTCTTGTTCTTTCTCCTCCTTTTCCCCCTCTTCCTCCCATTCTGCTCTTTTTCCCCCAGCAACACACACACCACCCCCATCACTCCAACCCCAACTTCACAGTGCCCCATTCGCCGGTCTCCTCAGTCTTCCTGGATCCGTTCTTCATGGTGGAGACCATGTGTATCTTCTGGTTCTCCTTCGAGCTCCTGATGCGCTTCGTCTGCTCTCCCAGCAAGATGCACTTCTTCAAGGACGTCATGAACGTCATTGACTTCTTCGCTATCATTCCTTACTTCGTCACGCTGGGCACAGAGCTGGCCAAGGCCAAAGGAGGAACGCCCACCATGTCTCTGGCCATCGTCAGGGTCATCCGTCTGGTCCGAGTCTTCCGGATCTTCAAGCTGTCGCGTCACTCCAAGGTAGGGAGATGCACCGTCAGCACTTTTGCTATTCAAAAATCAACGTTTTTAACATTTTTAAATCAATGCCCAATAAGTGTGTCACTTGGTCGCTGGTGGTTTTGTAATGTGTTTTGGCTTTTCATGATGGGTTGATATTACAATGCAAATGATCCTAATGGTTTAGCATTTTTCTGGGATTCCAGATGCATCTCATGGTTTTCCAGTGGGATTTAAACGTGTTCTACACTATTGTAACTCAAACGAATTAAGACTGTATTACATAAAACTGAATATATCCTACATATACTGTAAAAATAATTAATTAAACCTAAAAAGAATTATTTCATATGGTAACATGTAAATTAACTAATTTTATTCAACCTAAATAAATACTTCCAATAAATGATTCTTTCAATGTATTTTTTTTTTTTAATTTTAATATAACTATTTTTTTTAGGTTGATCCGACGAGCCAATTTTTTACAGCGTAGTTTGTAGTAGTTGTAGTAGTTGAATTTTGCCTGTGATTTTGTGCATTTCTATAGATGACAGTATGTCATACAGTGTCAAACACCACATAAGCAAGTCTAGCTGGGATTCCTTCCCAACTTGCCATATGAACTGGCAGCTATCAGAGCTTAATTTGTAAATGATGAGGCCTAAAACATCCATCAGATTGATACAGCGGAGGGAAGTCCTGGTACAAACAAATACGACTAATAATGGCTCTTAAGCCTCAACCGTTCTTTCATACGCTGGTTTTCCAAAACTAAATAATCAGTTTCAGTAATTGTAACTCCAGTGTAACACTAAAGAAGCAAACATAAGACACCAAACATGTCAGGATGTCTGTATATGAAAATGACTGTGTGTGATTCTACTCATAGGGCCTGCAGATCCTGGGCCAGACGTTGAAGGCCAGCCTGAGGGAACTGGCCCTGCTCATCTTCTTCCTCTTCATCGGAGTCATCCTGTTCTCCAGCGCCGTCTACTTCGCAGAGGTGGACAGCCAGGACACAGCCTTCACCAGCATCCCCGAGGCCTTCTGGTGGGCCGTGGTCTCCATGACGACGGTCGGCTACGGTGACATGTACCCAGTTACGGTCGGGGGGAAGCTGGTAGGGTCCATGTGTGCCATCGCTGGTGTGCTGACCATTTCACTGCCCGTCCCAGTCATAGTGTCCAACTTCAGCTACTTCTACCACCGCGAGATGGAGTGTGAAGACAGCCAGGAGTACACACACATCAGCACATCATTGTGGGAGAAGGATGAGGACAGTGAAGGAGACGAGGATGGAGAGGGAGAGGGAGAGAGAGAGGGGGAGGAGGGGGACTATGCACCCCTGGACGGAGGTGAGGGGTGCAGGGGCATCTGTGCTCCGCTGAACGGGACGCTACTGGCTGGCCTGTGTGCAGGAGAGCAGAGGAGGGGAAACGTTTTTACACGAGAACCACTGGTCACTCAGGTCTGAAAGAGATAGAAAGAAAAAGAGAGAGAGACATACAAAAGATATGGGATAAAGTGATCACAGGCAGGTGGGGAAAGAGAGAGAAGAGACTAGGGAAAAAAAAAGAGTGGGAAGAAAAGAGAGAGAGAAATTTAAACATAACACAGTTATGCCAATAAAACCTCTTCCTGAGTTGAGAGAGAGAGAGAGATGGTAGAGAGCTGTGACGTGAGGAGTGGGCCGACCTGCCTGGCTGAAGAGTCTCTAAATGCATCTGAAGAACCTGAAGGGAAAAGACAGAAAAAAACTTACTACACAAAGATGGACAAGAGTGTGCAAACCACGCACAACACAAACAGGAACAAGAGGACAAAACAGGAATCATCCAGCCCAGTGGCCTTCCACGAACACAGACACCACTACAGCACATGCAAGAAGATCTTTATATTCTTACATTTATCTACATTTGTGTTACTACTTATCTATTTATTCTATTTTAATAGGTGGAAATTCCACTGATTTTTCAAATTTTCTGCTTAATCATTTAGTTGTAAACTCGGAGTGGTTGTAGTGAAACTTACCAACGTGAACTTCTTTTCAGTGGTGGTGATAGGAACCAGAGGTCACTGTGTCTACAACAAAAATACAGCTATTTTCTTTACTATCCAAAACCACCAGTGAACCTACACATCTTCTGAGTTTATATGTGTAATGCTGCTGACGATAAAACAGTGGTAATATTTTTGGGGGGGGGGTATTGTTTTAACTTACAGGATGCATGTACATCTCCTCAAAACTACTGCAACACAACGTCTCAGGCATCTGGCAACACATTTACAACCATTTCATGTATTAACTTTCTGTCAGGGATCTTGTGAAAAATTAGATGCTTCAGACGTCTGGCTCCTATCATCACCACTGTGAACAACTCTGACTCGACAAGTGTCTCTAGAACAGAAAGTTTCATACCAAACAATTCTGAATGACTTCCAGCTACATTAAATTAGGCAGAAATTTAAAAAAATCAGTGGAATTCCCCTTTAAAGAGTAGCAGTCATTGTCTTAATGTTAGAATCGGTGTGGAGAACATGATAACAGAGCTGGCTGAAAGACTGCAACGGCAGAAACAATCACCCCTGAACTTTACAGGGCGGAAGGTGACCTGAGTCGTTTGCCTGATGTTAGGATGAGAATCAGAAGGAAAGTCTTAAAGAGCTCAGCCAAAAATACAAGAAAACGGGCTTGAATAAGCTAATGTGACATGTACTGTGTGTATGAGTGTGTGTTTTTGTGTATGCGTGTATGTGCGCTTGAATGCCTTTTAGGTTTAAGCGTATTTATTCTAGAAACCAGTGTGACCCTTATTTACAAATGAATGTTTAATAAAAATATTTTCATCAATGAGACTTTCTGTATACATCTCTATTAGATAAACACACACGCACACACAGCTCCATGTATACAGTCTATGTTGCACATTTTACTATCCTTTACTTCAACAAACAGACAAAAAAAAGCTAAGCATAAAAAAACATTTTAATGAACATTTCAGAACAGTTTGTTCTTTCTTATGGACACATACAGTACAAACATAATTCAGTGGAACATCCATAAATACATGATAATAAATACATAAGTGTATTTACAAATTATTTAACAAAGAAAAACATATTTTTTGTGGGTTTTTGTCTGTTTTATATGTCAAAGGTCTATTATAAATATATAATACAATATGTTTTCTCTTTAATAAATATGGGCTGAAATGGAGGCTGTCACTGCAGACCTCATCTCTTCTTTTTTCTGTGCATAGATGGACTGACGATGGAGTGTGTCCGAGACATCCGGCCAAACCCTAATGGGTCTTCCGAGTTCACACCAGACTCCTCCCCAACGCCGATCTCCTGTCTATCCTCCTCTTCTGTAAGAAGCCCAGGGTTTATCACTGGGAGGAAGTGAGATAAATGTAAATGACCTCGCTTCTTCCCTGACCGTTTGGAACGGAGTGAGACAGGAAGACTGGTGTGTGGGGAGAGAAACATAGTGTATGAGTCCACCAGCAGCTCCCTGAAGGTACAGTCTTCTTCAGCGTAATGCCACTGAAACAGTGAGAAAGAAAGAAAAGATGAGACATAGTGGATAAACCCACCCACAAAAACCCTCAAATGTTTTGCCTTCTTCTGAACTTTGTCTCTTCTCACTTCTCATTAACCTTTCAATTAAATAAATTTACGTGACCCAAAATGTGCTCTATTTAGTGGACATAGACAATATACACAGAGTCCAATGGGCAGTGTGAGCTTTTGTGAATATAAGCATGACAGTGAGAAGCAGAGGGATAAAGGGTGTCATGATTAAGAGCGTAACGATGGAAAGCGTGATGATGAGGAACAGAAGGATGATAAGGAATAATGATGAAGAGCATGATGAGGAGCTGAAGAATGAAGAGTGTGGTTACAAGGAGCTGAGAGATGAAAAACATGATGATGAAGAGCAGAATGATGAAGAGCATGAAGATAAGGAGCAGAATGATGAGCAGTGTGAGAATGAGAAGCAGAAAGAACACAGTGATAGGGAGCAGAGAAATGAGATGGTGAGCTGAAGAATAAAGAGTGTGATTATAAGTAGCTGAGAGATGAAGAACATAATAAGGAGCAAAGAAATAAAAAAATGTCACTGATGAACGATGAAGTGCATGAGAATGAGGAGCAGAAGGATAAAGAAAATAAAAATGAGTAGCAGGGGGTGGAGAGCCCAAGGAGCAGAAGAATGAGTGTGATGAGGAGCAAAGGGATGGTAAGTATGATGTTGAGGAGCAGAGGGATGACGAGTATGATGAATAGCAGCAGAATGATGGATGAAGAGCACGATGATAGGGTGTCCAAACCTTTTTTTAAACAGGGCCAGATCAGACTTGTCACAATACCTGAGGGCCTATTATTCACAAATGATTCAAAATATTACGTTTTCAAAATATCAGCACTTAGAAGCTGAGCTACCGTGTTTCCTTCGATAAGCGCTTATAATAAATAATTAAATTGTTTAGGAGTAACAATACCACACGTCTGATGTATTAATCATTCATTGAAAAATATACTTTGTGAGACGCACATTTGTTAGATAAATATTAAATAAACGCAGCACAGACACGTTGTTGTTCAACCTTAAAGGGTTAATATTTACAGAATGACTGAATTTGCTCTGCCAGTACTCAGTGTTCAGTTTGAGCTTTATGTCTGCAGTCTTGACTAAATGTTGTTCAGTAAATGAAGCTGCAAGTCTGGTCAGCTGCCACCATCAGTTGAAAGGAAGAATTGCAATGTATTGGCTGGTGGGCTGCTTAAAATACACTGCAAAACAGAAGCGGGGACCAATTAAAATCTGTCCGTGGGCTCTATCTGGCCCTGGGGCCGGATTTTGGACACCCCTGGTGTATGAGAATAAGTAGCAGATAATAGTGATAAGGAGCAGAGAGATGAGATGGTGAGCTGAAGAATGAAGAGTGTGATTATAAGAAGCTGAGAGACAATGAACATGCAGACAAGGAGCAGAGAAATGAAAAACATGATGAAGAAGAGCAGAAGGATGAAGATAATAAAGATGAGGAGGAGGGGGGTGAAGAGCTAAGGAGCAGAAGGATTAGTGTGATGAGGAGCAGAGGGATGACAAGTGTGATGATGTGGAGCAGAGGGATGATGAGTGTGATGATGAGGAGCAGAATGATCGATAAAGAGCATGATGACGTGGAGCAGAATGATGACGCGCTGAGGATGAGAAGCAGAATGATGAAGCGTGTAATGACGAGGAGTAGAGGGATGAACAGCATGATGATGAGGAACAGAAGGATGAAGATAATAAAGATGAGGAGCAGGGGTGAAGAGCTAAGGAGCAGAAGGATAAGTGTGATTAATGAGGAGCAGAGGGATGACGAGTGTAATGATAGGGAGCAGAACGATGAATGAAGAGCATGATGACATGCATGATAAGGAGAAGAATCACAAGGAGAAATAAAAAAAACATGACGATGAACATCAGGATGAGGAGCAGAAGGATGAAGAAAATAAAGATGAGGAGCAGGGTGGTAAAGAACTAAAGAGCAAAAGGATGAGTGTGATGAGGAGCAGAGGGATGAGAAGTGTGATGATGTGGAGTAGAATGATGAAGCGCATAATGACGTGAAGCAGAATGATGACGAGCATGAGGATGAGGAGCAGAGGGATGAACAGCATAATGGTGAGGAACAGAAAGATGAAGATTCCTCACCTGTCCTCTGAGATGTCCAGCTGGGTTCACACACAGGAAGAGAGAGGCGGCTACTCCACGAATGACGGTCTCTCCTGGCTTCACTGACCGCAGCTCCAGCACACCTACGACACAACAGACACCATCACGCATGCTGCTTTGGCTTGAGTTTTACTGACTGTGGTGGATTTATTACTCTGGAACGACTGTGAGAATATGTTTTTCCTACTGTTGTGGCAAAATCATCCTTTTGGGTAAATAATGAGAGGAGTTTTCCAAAACCATTAATGCAAAACAATTTTAAAGTGGGCAAATGATTAACCCTCCTAGTTCCACAATGGTGAACGCACCTTAAATGGTCTCATATCCTACATTTTCCTTGTATCTTACTTTTGTCTCTGAAGTCCACATTTGTGGGCTTTCTGCACCAAAAACAGTGGTTGTTCATGATCATTTTCCAACCTTTCTTTAACCCTTAGAATTAAATAGCTTGTTTTTGTGACTGCCTTTGAGACTGATATATCTAAATGAGCTCTGTTCTGATTGGTTGCTCTATATTGTGCCTCAAAAAGCAGTCCAGACTGAAACACTTGCTTATTTCAGCGTGAATGGTCTGGGCTGCTACAGGCTGAATAGGTGGGCATATGTAAACGTCTTCGTTTTTGTGACATCACAGAAACCATGTATTCACAATAAGCTGTTTTTGCAGTTTAGTTTCTGTATATACTGACTTTGTAGACTGGCTGGTGAATGGCACATTTTGAAACGTAAACATACTGCATAAAACTCTTTAAAAAAGTTGTGAAAATTCAGTCTTCCATGATATGAGTCCTTTAAAACTAGAGGTATCTTACTGTTATATATCCAGTACATCTAAGACAGTTCCCATTTTCACCAGAGGGGGTGACAAAGCCTTAAGTTTTGGCAAAAAAGTCATGCCTTGTAAACATCCATATTAACGCTAATGCTATCTTTCTCTTCAGAGGTAAGAGTTAATATAAAGAAAATAAAGGCACCCAAAGTTTCCTTTGTTCTCCTAGTCCTGGACAGTACCACTAAACTCACAGTTAAAAAAACACAACAATACATATTTTAGTAAATGTTCTAAACGTGTTAGCCTTTACTGTTTACTGCAAAGTAAAACCCAACATTACACACATACTAAAATGAAATCTTTTTACATTTACATGGTGTATAACTACAGTTATTGTCACTGTAAGTATTAACAATCAGTTACAGTAAAGTTATTTTTAATCTTTGATATCTCATGATGAGATATGAGACGATACTGATTTGAATTGTTATCTAAGCTGTCATAAAAGTATCTGACCTTGATCAGCTCATCTAGTTTCATGTGCCTATATTTTATTGACATATCAGTCAGTGCTTGAGGAATTTGTCTCAGTGCCACTCAGAAACACAAACAATTCCAGCACAACACCTGCATTACGCAGCACTTTCCTGTGTGATGCTTTCGTGGTGCAAGACTTTATGTCACAGTGAGAAACACTGTTCGCTAAGTTCTTTATAGGAGTCATACGAGTGCATCAGAGAGCTCTAAAATGACCTAAAGGCACCTGCATACCTCACAGAATGTCTGTCTGTTTACGTTCCAGCACATGATCCTAGTTCTGCATATACTGCCCTTCTGCTAATACCGTCCATAAAATACAGAAAACGTGGAGAGGCTCTTTCAGTTATTCTGCATCTAAACTGTGCCTAATAAAAGGAGTTCCAGTCAAGCTCAGTGTACCTTTTTAGAAACATACTAAAATATAATGTATATAATTTGGCTTTAAATTAAAAAATTCTCTCTTTTTTGTATTTCAGATTTATCTATTTGTTTTGATCTATGTCACCATGTCGACTCTTATTTCTTCTATTACTGTTGAGCTATATCACCTGTCTGAAGGGCACTTTGAGCTGTTATCGGGATGAAAAGTGATTTATAAATAAATGTATTATTATTATTATTATTATTTTTGTTCTGCCCTGCGATGGGCTGACGACCTGTCCAGGGTGTATCCTGCTTTCCACCCAGTGACTGCTGGGATAGGCTCTAGCAAACCCCCGCAATCCAGAAGGATAAGCAGTTTAGAAAATGTGTGTGTGTACTATTATTATTATTATTATTATTATTGTCAAAGAGTGTGTGTGTGTACAGTATGTTGAAGTCACTCACAGTTAGAGCTTGGATCAGGGGATGCCCGCACAGAGCCATCGGCAACAATCTCCAGGAAAAAACCCTGATTCCTGCCATCTGAAACACACGCACACACACACACACACACACACACACACACACACACTATGTTAAACATTAAAAACAGCAATATGAATGAAGGCAATTACTAGATGAAATTGAAACTGAAATGTAAAATGTGTTTGCTGGATGAACTAATCATACTGATCATACATTACTGTGAGGAAAATCACATTGTATCATATTAACTTTTGATATGTCACCACATTCAATCCCTGAGTACAAGTCAACCCCCAAGTGCAAGTCACTTTCAGCTTTCAGAGAACAGCATGTATAGTTATAATGAATCAAACTGACCTCTTTAGAACTTCTGAAACTATTAACTTATACTGTATATTATTGCTTTTAGTAGAGCTAATGGCAAAACTAGAACTAGTGTGAAGAAGAAACACTTAGAGGAACCAAGACTCATAACACAGAAGAAAGATTCAAGAGAGAAAGTCTGTAAAGAGCTGGAGGATCTAATGATTGTGTGGGTCTCATACAAAATGACTAATGTCATTAGTGTCAACACACCTGTACACTGAAAGGACTAACATTACACACATTTTAGCATCAAGTTAAAGCCGCTGCAGAAACTCCGCCAATACTGGACGATGACCACAATGATGTGAACAATTCACATCTGTATATTTAGACAAAAAAAATCTGGTTTGTGCCATTTCAACCCTATAAGACAAATATAGCCAAATTAGAATACGAGTTTTACCTGTGTAGAGCAGACGCTCTCTGACCAGGCCTGCAAACGGCACCAACACGCTGTCAATGGGCACACAGCCACTTGGATGGAGAGAGATGAAAAAGAGGAGGGGCCAAACAAGGGAGGAGGAGGAGTTTTCCAGCAACATGGATGAACAGACTATAAAACTACTCAAAAAATTAGTAAAAAAGTTCAAAATTATGCAACTGCCTAGACTAACAATCCTTAATGAAGTAATTGATTAAGGCCTTGATGAAAATCTGTGGCCTGTTACTTTGGACTCCTGACCTGAAGGAGCAGAGAAAAATAAACATCAGCTTCACGGTCTGACTTATATACTCATTGCTTATATACTGCAGTTATGAGTCACTCGTTCATGGGTGAATAGGAAGACAGATAAAGTAATTCTCTGGGAATTTACAGGAACAGAGCCTGTCATAAGAGTCTTGGGACCTTGAGACTTGTAGCATTTCCAGCACCTTCACGACTGTTTAATGGATCACTGCAGTGAAATGCTTCTGCGTTGTCACGTTGGAGGTCAGCAGGTTGGAGGAAATAGTGGTTAAATAACAAAGGCCATACTGATTAAGTCTGGCTGTAAAGGCGATTCACAGTAGGAAGTGACAAGAAGAGTTGCATGCAATGTCTTTTAGCCAACTATTGGGGGTGCTGTGTTCTAAATAAATGAATTAATTAATAAATGCCGAAGGCTTAGGCTTTGTAAATTGTCCATATCTCAATTCTTTACTCTCATACCAACAGAATGGACACTTTATTTCCAGAATAATTTATAGTAGTTACTGAATCATAAGTTTTGAGTAGGAATGCACAATGACATCATAATTATACTGCTCTCAGCAGACAACTGCTTAAAACAATTATTGGCACTAGACAGATGTTTAGTTTTGATTGATCGTTCAAACCAATATTTGGTGACTTTTTATGATATTTACTTCGAAAGACCAGAATGTTTAGGTGATGCTGAACTAATGCACTAAATTAGTAATTTATTTGACTGCATTGTCAGTCCTTCACAAAAAATGTTGTATCTCTCAGTAATAATAATCCATGCAGAGGTGGTCCTAATTCCTACATTTTATAAGTGTGTATGTATCAGCATTGGCACATATGTACATAAACAACATCAGAAATTGGCACCGTCCCATATTCCCGTATCAGTGAATCCCTAATATTACTATCTGAATTGTAAACCTGCAGCATAAGGAACTAATTGCTGTAAAAAGTGGATCGATGCAAAGACAATTTTATCTGATATGGTACTAATAATTAACCCTTAGAAGTTGAATTGATCTGTTTTGCATTCTTTTTACATTATATTAGACATTTGTACATAATGACCAAATGTATTTCAGCTGCAGTTCAAGCAACATAAACACTTAACGTGAGCCCAGCAGCTCAGAAATTGAGCCCAAAAATGAATGAACTTGCAGCAAAGAAAGGATGCCAGGTGTCTAGTTCAAGCAGGTTACGCACCTGGAGACATTTAAATTTTGAATATTTCAAGTGTCCATGTAATGTTTCAAGGTCTATTACAAGCGTCTGTATTTTACTGCTGAAGTTGCATATTTTGAATAAACAATGGTCAGGTTGGGTTAAAGAACAACATTAATTAAAAAGGAAATAAAAACTTTTTATATGGCCTTTTTACTGGTTGAGTTTGACACACCTGTTTTAGAGTCTGCATTTCTCACTCTTTTCTGTTTTGGTTTTGTCAGAAAATGACAGTGTGACAATTGCAAAAATGTAAAGAATGGTTTTCTTTCCATGAAAGACTGTATACACAAACTTTTAATCAAATTTAAATTTGAATAAAATGTTGCCTCTTCTACATAAATGTGGAATAGACGGAAAGTTTACAATCTGTACTTTCGGCAAATTTTCTCTGCTTGTTTCGAGCCTTGTATGTCATGGTGAAGCTAGCAGGGTAATCGTGTGTGTGTGCGTAGGATTTATTCTGAACTCTGGCTTTCTTCATCACAGCATCCCAAATCTTCTGGGTGGATGCTTGACGCTGAGTCTGACCTCCCTGGTGCATCTTCCTACTCCTCGTTCAAAATCTTTATTTAAGCTTTTCTCCTTCCCTCTGTTCTTCTCTCTGACGTCCATGGTGTCCAGTCTAACGTCAGTCACCCAGCATCCCCTCCGCCCCCTACCCCCATCCCACCGCTGTCTGAGGAGAATGAGGGGGATTGACGTCTTTCTGGCCATCTGCCGCACTCTACCTCTCTTCATCCCTCGCTCTGCCTCTCCTTCTTCAGCTCTCTCTCTCACCCACTATCACTCTCTCTCTCTTCTTTGAGCGGATTAAGTGTGTCGATGTCTCTTTGTGTCTTTGTCTCTTTGCTGTGTGTGTGTGTGTTTTTCCACTGCGTCTGTTGCAATATCTGCATCCAGTAATTTCTTTGTCCGCAAGTTATTATTATTAAAGCCTTATAGGTCTTAAAATATCTTAGGCTAAAACTGAGGCTCGCAGGACCAAAATCAAAACAGGCTGTATACAGTGAGAGAACACACACATACAGTACATCTACAGTAGTGTGCAAAAGTCAAAAACCCCTTCCCCCGTAAATTGTTTAATTTCCATTTTAAAAACGGAAGTCATTCACTTTTCAGCGTCAGGAAAAAGCAAAAAACACATTTAACAGAAAATTACACAGAAGCCTCAACAACAAAATATATTTTTTTTCAGTGTTTAGCATGCCCATCCTTGGCATGTACAATAATGTCCAGTCCATTCACCAAAAATTCTTCTCTGTCATGTAATATCTGCAGGTATACTGCTCAATGCCTGTTTCTGAACTCAAACTGACCTTTGTTTGCCATGATTTCACTGATGTCAAGCACAAATCAGATGCGTTTCTGCTAAAAATAAAAAGCCTGGTGAAAAATCGCTTGTGTGCTTATTTTTATCTGAGCTCTGTGTTCGTGCAGTGAGTTTGTGAGGAAAACAGTAGTTGGTCTTTGTGATTACTGTCTATTTGCGCCGTTCATTATTCCATCTCTAGTAAGAACAATTATCTAGGAACTCCAAAAGGAGCGTACCACTTCAGTGGCAGAGATAAAACGCATAATATGCTGCGCAGTGCTCAATTCCTATTGGGAATCACCTTGTCGCTTCGCTCGTTATTTGCATAAACTTAAACTGCTCAAATTTTTGGCGTAACTGACTCTGCATTGCCTATGTTCGCACTACCTCCTGTCACTGGAAATCACCCACTCACATTGAAAATGAATGATCTCCAACCACCTTGCTGTCGTGTTGCTACCACTGTGAATGCAGGGTAAGAATAGATAGGGCTTTAAGTGAGCTGACTGAGACAATTTCGGTGGTCCACCAGGTCTTGCATGTTTGTTAGGAGTCTGTGTCATTCAATAATTTTTTTTTTCAATTACTTTCAATTACTTGCTGCAAGCAGCAAACATTTCCTGAAAAATGAAGAACTTGTACTTAATGGCTATAAACAGAGGGTGGTCTCTGACTTTTGCACAGTACTGTAAACATATACATATACACATATTCACAGAAAAGAAGGTGACACATACATCAAGAGTAACTGAAATAATTCTCTAAGATTTTATTACATACAGTATACACTCGAGTTGGATGTGTCAGCTGAAGAGGAATGGGAAATGGCTGACGAAAGGCATTTCAGAGAGACAGAGAAAGACAAATAAGAGCCTATCATACAACAAACAAACGCTCAGAAAGACAGAAATCAGACAAAAGAGTTATGAAATGACAAGTATACACATCTGAAAAAATAAAAGAAAGAAAGAAAACTGGTTTGAATGTAGTTCAGAAAAAACAACTAATGACCCATCGTAGCATACACCACACAAAAAAGAAAGATTAAAATTAAATTAAATTAAATAAAAATAAATATTAACATCAAGTTTTTTTTTTTTACTTTTTTTCAGTAACTGAAAAGGAACTGACTGCTAAAACTGCAGAATCCAGAATAGCAGGCAGTTTTTTGCAAATTTATCAGTTTATCAGAATATAATTTATCAACATGTAGCACGGTTTTGCTGTGCTTAAAGGTCAAGCCAACAAGGAAATGGAGAGACGTATTGGACAGGACGAGAAGACTTAAAACTTCAGTAGGCTGTGCGCTCCCTGTATCTGCCATGACAGCAATATTGTGTTTTTATTTCTTGTTCTTCCTACACCTACACAAGTCTTTACTGTAAAAGAGAACCACTGACTTACTAGGATAACTAAAGGTGGTGAATGGACAAACAAGTGACGTACATGATGAAGGAATTTCAAGAAAGGAGTGAAAAGAAACTTGCCTTTAATCTGATCTGACTGACCCCTTGTTCAAACACAGGGATTCATAAAGCAATATGAAAGGGATGATAAGGACCAGCAATAAAATGAGTGAATGGTTGAGCAGGAAAAGCTGATGACCCTGAATCACTCTCATTAAGATTTAAGAAAAACAACCCTAAGATTGCCCTACCAATAAATCAAAGTTAGTATGTCAGTGTGTTACTTGGAAATGGGCTCAGGGTTGTTTTGGATATGACTGGTAATGCATCAAAAAAATAGTCTAGCAAAAAAAAAGAAAAAGAAAAACAACAAATTTACATTTTTCCCCCTTACTCCAAATGTAGACAGTCAGCCAAGACCTGTTTTGTGTCAAATGTTTTCATCTTTAGATTTATACTGGAGCTACGAAGCCAATGCAGCTAACAAGTATTAGAACCCTATACCCCAGTAGCACCGTGCAAACTGCATGCCTAGATGATCACGCTGTCACCACTAAACGCAGCAAGTTCTGTGGGTTCTGTATGGGCCAGATTCAGACTCCCACTATTATATGTTTCAACTATCTTTTGAACAGTGCATGATGATGCAAATTGGTGGGGTATGTTATATTGGCCTCGCTGCTCCAGTGCAAAACTAAAAAAAAAGCAAAATACCGGACACAAAACATCTTGGCTAATCGCCTACGTTTGGGGTAAGTGGAAAATTGTGTAAACTTGATTTTTTACTAAAAATTACTATAATTAACCAAAGGCTTCAAAGCTTCTTCTCAGCCCATTCACACAAATCACTCAAGAGAATCACATTATGAAGAAAAAGAACCAACACTTGCTCCTGCCAAGACTCTACTTCAAAGCAGCCAGCGTTTCACCTGATAACCGGACAGCAGAAGGGAGCGTGGTGAAAGAGTGCTAGAGTGAAGAGGGCAGTGCGTGGGACTGACCAGCCCTCAGGGGAGATCACAGAGAGGGATAGCGTGACTTCGATCGTAAGCGGTGTCATCACTTTCTTCCCCATCACTCCCCTCATCCATCATCATCCTCTCTTTCTCTTCTTCTTCCTCCGTCTCACTTTCTTTGTCTTTCTCTCGTCCACGCAGCCTCTCCCTCTCTCTGTCTCGCTCTCTCTCTCGGTTTCTCTCTCTGTAGCCCCGGGGCAACGTGGGCACCTGAGGACATGAAGAGGAGACGCTGATTTCAAAGTATGGACCAACAAAACAAACAGAAATAAATCAATAAAGTTACAGTACGAGTCAAATGTTTGGACACCATTTGCTTGGGTTTTTTTTTAAACAAATGAGCGAAGTTGATGCCTGTGTATGAATTTATTTCCAAAACAAAACACATTTCTTAAAATGCTCCCACAACCTTTTAAAGCTTGGCAGAAATGCATCCCAGGTGACTGTTCATGAACCTGCTTGAGTGAGTAGAAAGGCTGTGCAAAACAGCAACAAGGCTAGGTTTTTTTTACAGTTGTGTTTCTTAATGCTGCTCCAGGTGACCCAATGACCTGCAACTCTTACCTGCCTCAGCTCATCAACTGAATAGCAAGCCATTCTTGAGCTGGATCAGGTGGGTAGGGGGAGAGAACAGTTGAAACTGTGCAGAGCAATGTGTGCCCAGGAGCAGGATTAAGAAACCCAGCTGTACAGCATCATGGAGGATGTTATAATGAAGCTGATATCTAGAATACCTCATAACTGAAAAGTGGTAAACAGCTCCCAAGGCAGATAACTTGACAAGAGGTTAGTCTTCACTGACCACCATGACTGTTCAAACCTTTTAAAGCTTAGATTACATTTTTATAACTGTTATTACTGGTGTCTGGTGTCTCACCTGGTTGTCAATGGAGGGCAGGGCACAGTATCCAGGCTCTGCGCGGCGCAGGAGGCAGGGAGAGTGTGTGCGGAAAGGCCTCGGGGAGTGGGAGCAGACGGAGCGAGGAGAGGGGGAACGGATAGAGCGGGGTGAAGGAGATCGAACAGACCTGGGTGAGTGAGGGATGGAGTGAGACTGAGACTGGCTCAGAGACGGAGGGTGGTGGTGATTCAGTTTGGGGGGTCGTGGGGAGCGTGGGGGTAATTCAGGAGGACACAGAGGGTCAATCAGGTCAATATCAGTCAGTAAAGGAGGAGGTGGAACAAACTCCTCGTCTGAGAGAGGAATGTCGCCGTCAATCTGAGCAAGCTCTGCCCGTGACAGGAAGTCCACGATTCCCGCTCCAAACGAATCGCCCACCACATTGATGGAGGTACGCATTCTGTCACTACACACACACACACGTGGCACAGCAAGATCCGACTTAAATACACTGCATGCTCTGTTGTTCAGGAGGCCTAATGCACTTTAGAAAATAAGTAACGTGATGTGACACGCCTTTTGGCAAAAAACAAATTATAATCAAGATAGCTATGATGGAAGTATAAAAAACATTTAGGAGTCAAACACACATGTAAGGATACAGTGCTGTATAACGAGAAGACAGTAGACAATGAGAAGTTTTGTCTTTGTACTCCAGCACAGAGAACTACATTGGGTATATTTACTTCTAAATTGGGTGAACTATGTAGGAATCACAGAGTCTCCCAGTCAGGGGACTGTATGTAAATGGATAATTGCCCGTCCAGTTGTTTCTTGGCCAAAGACAAAAGTATATCAAAATCAAAAGATTATTACAAGCACAAATTAGCAATAGCAATTACCCAGCAGACTGTGGAAAAGTACAGTAGTGGATGAGCGAAGAATGCTTTCAATTATGAAGAAAAACGATCGTGTTGGACAAATCAATAACGCTATCCAAGATGCAGCACAGAAGGGCCAAAGATGACCATAAAAACAAAAAAAAAATGTCAATATGACTTTAGAGAGTTTAGCCCAAGTTACAAACCACTAGTAATCCTCTAGAACAGATAGCCCAGGGTGCAGTTAGCTAAAAAGTACACTGAAGGCCTCTACAGGTCTTGCCTAAAGTCTTATGGACAGCTGAGATGAAGATTATTAAAATGCAACAGAATGACTGAATAAGAAAACTCTGGAACTGCTCATGATACAAAGCAATCCATCTCACCTGTGAAACAAGGTACACGAGTATGTATGACTGCAATAGAGCTGAATCACACACGTTTTTTCATAATGGAACTGATGAGGATTTGGCAGCACCATGCAGCAGAAATGTACTACTAAAGCAATTATGTAGTTTTCAGGTTTTAAAATGTGGAATGTTCTTGAATAACGAAGTCAGTCATCCAACTGAAAACAGCTACATTTCAGGCCTGGCAGAATATCAGCAGGGTAAATATCTAGCATCTCTTAATGTTTATGGGTCACAGACTTTGAGGAGTCATTCACTGCAAAGGATTTGCAGCCAAGTGCTAAACATTTTATTCAAGATGCTTAATTTGTCCAACTTCTTACAGTCCCCTGAAATGGGGGGTTTGTATGAAAAGGTTTGTGAATCCAAGATGGCCCATTCAAGATGTAAATGCCCTCACATTAAAACATTCTGTGCTTCAAACTCAATCACTCTTTCATGTGCAGGAGTCAAAATAACAATGACATGCTGAAGTGTGTGGACTCACAGCAGCCAGTCTACAGCAATGAGCAGACTGATGTCCTGCGTTGGGAGGCCTACAGCAGTAAGGATTAGCAGCATGGTGACCAGTCCAGCACTGGGAATACTGGCCGCTCCCACACTGGCAAGAGTGGCTGTCATACTGCAGCCCATACGAACAGACAGTGGGTATGAGACCATTGTTAAGTGACAGAATGGTGAAAAACAAGGTGTAATGGATAGACAGGATGAAGAGACAGAGAAAAGAGAGAAAAATTAAGAACCAGGGTAAAACTGGTTATTATAATACTCATAATGCAATTACAATTAAAATGTAAATTGTGTATCTTAAGCTTGTCACATCAAAACATTTTTGTTTTTTCATTTTTCTACACCATTTAAAAAAACACTAGTAGTCCTTTACATTGTGTAAATATTCCTTGATCGAAAATGGCTGATAATACAAGGTCATTATCTTACCCAAAATTAAAGAATGCTTTTTATCTTCTCCTACAAAATTTACCATTTCGGAGATACAAAATATGTTTGCTACCATAGTGACAATATGAGGCCTACAATGACACTATAAATCCCTTAGATTAGGCCTACAAATCTTCCTGTATTTTCCAGGAAAGGGTCAAAATGGCTCAGCAGCCTTGATACAGGTTTTACACACACATACGCACAAGCTATTATGATTCGACTTTCTGTGGTACTCTTTGATCACAAAAACACTACTAAAGAAAGCCAATAAAACTGACTGGTAAGTTGACACAGATCAGCTGCTAATTACAGTAACGAAATAAAATGCTTTACTTTGCCAAAATGTTTACGTAAAGTGACATTTATACCAGGCGACATTTATATCAGCGATTCTACACTAAAAGGAAGCAAGACTTCTTCTAACTAAGGATACAGACAAAGAAGGAAGACTTATCACTAAGGGTTGATCACTAAAGATTTGACAGTTAAATATAACATTATACCTAACATAATGTGTTATCATTTTATGACTGGTGTTTGTATACTATTTCAACATAACCATAACCATAACCATGTATTGTTTATACAACTCAAGAAATGTGGCTGGAGGAAAGATTTCCAGAGAAACGTTTAAAATGAGCTGCCCAAAACAAGCATAAGTCATTGACAACTCTATATTCATTACTTTATCTTCATTAAATGTATCTTATTTGAACTTAATCTATTGCTTTAATAAAGTTCTTATTTTTATTTAATTTCTCTGCAAAGCATTTTGAACAACGCTGAGTATGAAACTGTGCTATAGAAATAAACTTGCCTTGCCTGGAGTTCAGTCTACATAAAGATTGACTACAAACTTGAAGACTTTAGTTAAAAAAAAAGTTTATTAAACCATCCTTTATGTATAAAAAGTTTTATTTTTATTATATCTCACATATAATGCATTATACATGGATTGTCAATATTCCTCACTTTACTAGTTTATTTTGGTAAAATATAACAGATTATGACTCCAAATAAAGGATTTTTTATAATTATTTTATTACAAATAGGACTGACCTCACAGTGGCAATCTGTCCTCCGTCCAAATCGATCCCATTCATTTGGGCAATGAAAATGGCTGCCACAGCTTCGTACAGGGCTGTGCCGTCCATGTTTATGGTAGCCCCAATAGGCAGCACAAACCGGGTGACCCGTTTATCAATCTTCAAATTTTCTTCTAGACAGCGAAATGTGACGGGCAATGTCCCTGCACTAGAGGAAAAAGAGCAGAGAATGTGAGATTTGGAAGAAGAATCAGGTACTAAATTCCTGTAGATAGACTTTCAATAAACACCACATTTATGTTCAAACACAGGGGGTATAACAGACACACCGCCTGGAATACTCATACTTCAGTGTTTTCATCAGCTCAGCAGTTCATTATGAAAACTTTTCAAGCCTTAAATCAGGTGTGTTAGGGTCAGAAAATCTTTATACTCTGCGGTGCTGTGGCCCTGAGGGACCCATTTGACAGCTATACTATTAGAAGTCCTACTGTTACTGAGATAAAGATTTCTTGCAGTACCCTGGCTTAGCTCTTGATGCCTAAGTGCAAGACAGAAGATTCAGAAACAATGATGTAGTTGCAGATCATAAGCTAGAGTCAACAGCTGAGCAGAAACTATGTTGTATAAATGTTGAGTTGAATCCAAGGTAAACCCGGGTTAGAAGTAATTACAGAATGAGCCGACAGGATTACACACTTATTCTGTGTAATAATGTGCCAAACTGACAGTTGGTTTAATATTCCTGAAAACGGAGGCCAGTTTGGCTGACTAAATGTAATCCCACAAGGCCAGACAAACAGGACAACACAGACAGACAACGAGACAAGAAGAAAAAGTGGAAGGCACAGAGAGACAAACATGAGGAAAATGATGAACGATAAAAAGGGAAAGTGATTCAACAAGACGCTAGAGTGATAAAGAGACAAGCAAAGTGGACTACCAAAGCTCAAACACACTTATCCAAGTTTCCAACAGTAATTCAACGTTCCACAATTCGAAACTGAATTAAATCAAAAACTAATTCGATAAAAATAACTGTAAAGCACTGCATCTATATTTCACTGTGATCATTCCTTTCTAAATGAAACACCCAAGTCCCAAAGATATTTATAGCTGAGCAGGCTGAGCCAAGATTGCACCCCATCATTCATCACATTCATAAACACGTTTAAAACAGACAGCAGACAGTCTGAAATTTCTTCTTGTCATAAATCTGACAGTTTATAACCTTATGTGCATGATTTGACTGTATTTTGATTCTTTTTTTTTGAACAAGTCAAACACAGACATGAAAATATTGCATTGGAACCACCACTGACTGATTTATCTCCAGCGTACAGCATATACATCTACAACAGAGTACAATAAAAGCATGGCTTTTATTATATCTTGAACACAAAGTATAATAAATCCATTTACAATTCATATGCTAAAGCTTATTAACCCTCCTAGGTCCTCAACATTTTGAAATCCCTTTTCTTACATAACTATTTCACATTTGTGGCTAAAACAACATGCAAAACAATTTAAAGTCCAGATTTTTCAATTAAGTCAAAATTATGTTTGCTTGTAAGTAGAAGGGTAAGAATGAACTATTTTATTGTGATATGACTTTGATTAAAAAAAAAAAAACTCTCCTTTATGTTTCCTGACATCGAAAAAAAAACAGAAGACAGTCAGAAGTGTGCACTTGAACCATCCATAGAATCACGTGTGGGCTAGACCGGGTAAAACTCTGCACAGACTGCAATGCATGGGATGTGCACAAATAAGACATATAACAAATGATGCAAACTGAGATGAGTTCAGTATGATAAGCTTTGCTTACCTGCTGGCTGTTCCTAGAGCAGTGATCCAGGCCTGGAAGATTCCAGAATAAAAGGCAAAGGGGTTTTTCCGCGTCACAGTGAAGAATATGATTGGCAGGATAATTCCTCCATGGATAACCAGGCCGACGATGACTGTAACCATGTACATGCCCAGCTGCCTCGCAACCACCTCCAGGTCACCGATGGCTGCAATTTTCCCACAGATGAGGGAGGCGATACCCACAGGGGAATACCTACAAACAGGACATTACAATTACTCTGGAAATCTCCACTCCCAATAATATTTCCCTTGCTTATCTGATTTAATCCCCCTTTTTTTTTAATTATTTCTTTTCTTTTGTCCAACTGTCTTTTCTGTAAACTCTCATTGAAAGAAAACCTTTCTTATTGTTTAACAATGCTGTATACCTGGACACCTACCATACCATTTACTATGGTCTTTTCAACATCTTAAATGGCTGGCAGGTCAAGGCTTCCATTCCTTACTCCTATGATCTAAAAAATAACTGACGGCGTAAAACTTTATGGGGTTAGTCTAATAACATTTTTGGTAGAAGGCAGAGCTGGGCGATATGACCAAAAATGTTATCACGATAAACACAATTCATATCGTTCGATATCAATACATACCGCGATAAATGTCAATTTATAAAAGTTTGAAGGCAGATTTTTGCTCCTGAGTGGTTATTTGCTGTTTTAAACTATCCTTTATGGTCTGAACATGACAAACACTCACCAAGCAGTGGGACATTTCACAAATCTGTCATGGGAGAGTGGGAGAGAGTGTCTGGTGACCTGTTTCTACCAGCTGGAAAAGCATGGCTATTTTGTAATAGTCATAATTTAAGAAAGAAAACATTTTTATCTGGTGACGAGCGCTCGGCTACCCCGTTATCAGTGACATCACAGTATTCAGACACCAGCTAGCGACAACTGGATTTCTCTATACTATCGTAGTAGTTTAAGTGGTGAACCGCAAAATATCAACACCAGACAAACAGAATCCTCTTTTTAGGTACGTTTAAACTGAAAGCGGTGCTTTTGTCGTGTTTGATCTACAGTATCATCAATTCTCCATGTTGTGGAGTGACGGAGTGCTGCTAAGAGGGTCTGACGTGACTGATGCGGCCGGCACACTGCACAGTGGTGTTAAACTGTGTCCACTTATACTGTTTTGTGTCTGTGCTGTTATCCGGTGTCGACCAGAGGAGGATGGGTTCCCCTTTTGAGTCTGGTTTCTCTCAAAGTTTCTTCCTCCTGTTGAGGGAGTTTTTCCTTGCCACTGTCACCAAGGCTTGCTCACTGGGGGCGTGGACCCGGATTCTCTGTAAAGCTGCTTTGTGACAACATCTGTTGTAAAAGGCGCTATATAAATAAATTTGACTTGACTTGCTTCAAGTTAGCCAGCTGGTAAAAACAGCTAGCCTGGAAAGCTAGTGCTCTCCCGCTCTCCAATGCCTCACAGCTTCCAATGCCTCGTCACTCAGACTCGGTCAGAGGAGAACAGATCGCCGGTCGCTCCACTCACACAGGGAACGTATAACTCCGCGTTTTAGCCGTTGCTAAAGACTCTTCTTACTCGTGGCCCCCTCCCTCTCTAATCATGTAGAAATACTCGCAAGTGTGCCCTCTCCTGGCGACAGCAGAGTAGTGTCGCTTTACCTGGCAGTAGAAAACGCCACCAAGGCTTTCGCTGAACGTGGAAGTGTGAAAATGGTGTATTATATCGAACATTTATCGAACATGTCGTATCGCTCTATCGAGGAAAAGTTATAACATGATAATTATCGTTAACGTTTTATCACCCAGCCCTAGTAGAAGGTCAATATTTCTGATTGAAGTAACTCCACATGTAGCACAGTTTTGTTGTCATTACATACATCACAACACAAGATGCTTTTTTTGAAACAACAGCTGAGTGAATATATTGACATACAGGCTTGAAGACTCTAGAGTTACTACAAGACATTTTGTTTTGAATAAAATCAAGGAATAACATTCAGTCTGAATAAAGAATATTTGTCTTATAGCAGCTATTCTTGTCAGACATCCTGTTGTCTAATGGCATGGATAATGAACCTAAACATTTAAGCCTTAAATGGTATAAAGATCTCGTGTTTGTATTTGGGGACTAAATCTACACCCGCTTAGCTCTGTGTTAGGTCACTGGGATTTGTGTCATGTCATTTTGGACATGTGTGGTAGGAGCTGGTCGTGCACTATGCATTTGTTAAGAAAAGAAATGCTGTGGTTTGATATGTGGCCTGAATTTGGTGTACCTGCTACGCTCTGTGTATATACTTCACTGCATGCTATGGTAGATGAGCGATAGTGTTTACTGTATCATTTTGATGGTTTACTTACTGTGAGAGGCACAGTATGGGGTCCATGAAGTAAGCTGACTGTGGGACAGGCCAGTGAACTCAGTCTGGGCTTTGTCAGCTTGCTATGCTATTGCACTGATCTCAGTTTGTGACTGATCTTGCTGCAGGCATGTCTCACTGTAAAACCGCCCACTATTTCACAAATCATTTCTCCAGGCTTTTATTGCTGTGAGGTCACTTTTACTCGACTACCTTTCAGGTCAGCATGAATTTGCCAGCAGTGTGTTAGGGTGCAGTTTAGGTGAGGCTATGTGTGTCTCACATCCTGGAACATGTTCATACATTTCCCTTAAGAATTGCTTGCGGCACATAAGCTCTCACTCAAAACTGATTTCGCTTCTCTCCTTGTGGATTTCCTCTCTCATTCTGTCTTTCTTTCCTCTCTCTCTTCCTTTTGGCTCCTGCACTCTGTTGCTCAATGCGGAAACACAATTTTTTCTTCAATGTAAACCGTACAAATTCAAACCAGATTAGAAAAAAGACCACTTGACCCTCTCCCGGCTCTGAATGCAGGTAAGGAACACTAGATTAAGGATAAGGACATGCTGGCCTTGTTCAATTCCGCTATCAACTGCAATGACACCAAGACAACTGTCAGTTTCACTTGGAGCATTTAAATGAATGACATTGTATTTGAAACAGCCACCTTAGACTGCACTGCATCTTCAATAATCTGGTTGATGATGTTGAAAAAACCTGTCATTAGCTTTCCTTTCTCTTGTATTTTATCCATGCAGATACCAAACCGAGTGTCTCGTCGGTGACCCACCTTGAGAATTTGTTGATGACTCCCTTAACTTGTTCAAATCTGTCATCACAGGAGTTACAGTGCATGCATGTCCATGTAGACCCGAGTGAAACATATCAGTGTGAACATCTGGAGCTTTAGATGAACTAGCATGTTTTCTACTGTATAAAAAAAAGAATGCAAGCTCATTCAGAGCAAAATTCGGATCGCCAAGGACTTATTAAAGTTTTGTTGAATCAGCGTTATGATGAAACACAACTGATGTGTGACTTATATTTTAGGCTGCAGCTAATGATTTCCACAATCAATTAATGGGTTCATTATGGCTTCAATTAATCAATTAGCCTACTTGAGAAAAGAAAAAGTGTAGCAAGTGGTCTGTCAATAACTAAATATTTCACATCATGCACAATATTTCTTTTAACAAAAATACTAGAATTATTCCTCTTTTTGCACAAAGCTCTTTCAAATATAAAACACCTTCCCTATCTTCTCCTCCTCATGGTATGGTGCCTTGTCAAAGTGAGGAGGCTTGCGCGAATCGGAGAAGAAGAGAGCTATGTCGCCTGGAGTTTAAACTCCTTTCAGGGTCTCCCATGGCAGAAAGGTCTTAGCAGTGGTATCAGACGGCACTTCACGTACAGCAGCGCGCTACTGTCAAAGGTGAGCTTAGCTCTACACATCTTACAAAAAACGTCTTTTTAGCTGATGTTAAAATGCAGTGTTGCCATTTTTTTTAGTCAAGCATAACCCTGTACTGTAGTCTCTGCCATCTATGTTTTCTTTCTTTCAGTCAGGTGATATAAATGTGGAGTGCAAACACTATCGTGACAACTAACAACGTGACAACAACCAAAATTTGTTGTCAACGATTTTTATTATCAATTTTCGGCTTTGTCAGATCACGTTCTTTACATGTCAAATAAATGCAGCAACAGCAGTAAGAAATCGCAAAATCGCATTATTAATGGAAAACAGCAGAAAACTGAGACACACAAACACAATGCATACACACACAGTGTCACTGACCACATGATCATGGACACCATCTTCATGATGATCTCATTGAGGATGTTGAAGAAATCTGTCATTAGTTTTCCTTTCTCCCCCATTTTGCCCATGCAGATCCCAAACGTGATAAAGAATCCAATCAAACCTGAACACAAAGCAAAAAACAGTTACAGAGCAGCAGTGTCTGAATTGGGCCATGGAGCTGCAAGGTTCAGTGTCTATCTCTGATGTGTCTAAACAGGCTTGTCAGAGGGCCAATATCATGAAAAAAAACTTCCAGTACTGGAGTCAGGCAGCTCAATATAAACAAATACCATCCATCAAAAACCATCATCCATTAGTCTAAAAACCTCAACAGCAGCATAACAGACGTGTGAAATCACACACTATAAACAGTGACACACTATGAATCATGACATTTTAGTTTGCTGACTAAACATGCATAACTAGCAATGTTCATAATGGAAAGTCTCTTCCTACCCAGTACATTCATTCCCCACTTGAACTCCAGTTTTTTCTTGTTGATGAAAATGGGTTCTGTCTGGTTCTCAACGGGCACTGCGACCTTCTTCAACACTGTCTGGACCTACAGGGAGCAGACACAGATGACATTTTGTACACTTTCAAAAAATGAGAACATGAGCCGTTTAGGAAATAATTCTAAATTTGCAGAGCAGAAAGGCATCATGAGTGAATAAACTCTCACAACTGTAAAAGAGGACAAAGAGAGAGAAAGTAAGAAAGAGAGAGACATTCTTTTGTCATGCATTACTTCATGTTAGGTAGACATGTTGGCCACATGCCATAGTAAACCCACATGGGTATAAAGAGATTAAAGCCAACAGAAAGTTGGACCCTGAACCTTTTTAACTCCTAACTCAAACACACATACACAAACTCAGGCTTCTAATCATTACATAGGACTAAAAGAAAGAGAACAGCAGGAAATTCTGATTCCAATCTTGCACGGGTCATTTACATGTGCATGCATTAAGATATTTAGACCGAAGACAACAGCCTTTTTAGACACAGCCAACTTGGACCACAATGCACTGTGGTTTCAAATAAACCATGAATTGTAAAGTACAATGGCTCCGCTCATTTACAGTCAAAATCAAATACTGCAAATACAACAAAGGGATGAATACATGAGCTTTCACTGTTTAATTTACAGTAGTCAGCATTTTGTTAGCAAAAGACAACGAAATGTGTGTGTGTGTAACAATTCTGAGGTGCCACAGAGTAAATTACATAATACTACATATTACAGCCTTCTCATGATATGGTGCCTTATCAAGTTGGGGCTTGTGTACATTGTAGAAGCAGAAGCAGCTATGCTGCCTGGAGTTTAAACTCCTTCCATGGTCTCCCATGGCAGAAAGGTCTTAGCAGAGGTATCAGACTGAACTTTGGGCAGCAGCAATACAGGATAATGCCATCAGCGGATGTTCACAGAAGTAAAAATCACATAGACAACAATTCAACTGTGTGAAAGAAGGCAACAATAAAACCACTTCTGCACATTACCAAGAGAACCACATGGATAGACACAGCAGAATGATTTTTGAGATCAGAAATTGGGAAGATGGGATCCTCAGGTCGAAAGGCACTCAACATGGTACTGAGCTGAGATCCAAGTATAGCTTGTGCATATGACGTGGCTAGATCAAAGTCTTTGGGAAGTCTAGTGGCTAAAGTTGACAAACGTGAAAGACGCAAAAACAAAATCACAGAATTTGGAATGTACAAAGTATGAATCACGGCAAGCCCAAAGTAGTGAAGAAGACATGGACCATCTACTCATCAACATCCTAGGTATCCGCAAGCTAAAATGGGCCTGATTAGGACACTTTCAATCAGGGGACCACGTCATCTACTACTCGAGTCATGAACACCAAAGAAGAAATGGAGTGGCTTTCATTGGTAACAAGGATGTCAACAAGACTGTTATTGGATGCGATGCTGTAAATGATTGACTGATGTCAACCCGATCTTATGCACAACCATTCAGATTATCCAGGTTTATACCCCAACAACAGACACAGGTGATGTACTGCTGGTCACTTGAGACTGAAATGCTAAGATCAGAAAAGAGAATGAGGGAAATGCAGTTGGATAACACGGCCTTGGGACACAGGAATGAAGCAGCAGGATGAGGTTCTGTGAGTACAATGACTTTTTCATTAGTAATACATTTTTAAAGCAACCAAAATTATGTGTGTACATCTGGACATCCCCAGAGTCGTTCACCAAAACCAAAGAGGCTACATTCTTTGCAGCAAGTGATAAAAGATCTCCATTTTAATTGCAAAGACGTGGACTGGGGCTCCAAGTGAAGCTGAAAAAAAAAACAAACCATCAAAATTAACTGGAGAATATAACACCTGACTTCAAAGAAAACATCAGGAATTGATTTCAAATGTTAGACATAACTGACAGAGAGCAAAAGGCACTATGTATGTAATTCATAAAAGTCATAAAAGAAGAATCAGAAAAAAAAAACTGCGAAGAATAAAAAGGAGAAAGAAATCAAAGTGGATGACTGATGATACAATGGAGATTGCAAGAACGAGAAGAGAAGCCAAAATCAAGAAGTACAGAGGCCTTTTAAGAAAGGGTGGCCCAATACATCGATCTACAGTGCACGTAGGTAGATTGCGCCTCATTAAAACACGCTATTAAATTTCAACACTTTCTTACTGCTTCTAGCAGCGGGCAGGCCAACGTGATTGACTGATGTGAAATGTGGCCACTGTCTCTTTAATTTACTGCTTGCTCCCATATCTACGCCACAGTTTGCCTCTTGCAATCTAGAAAGTTTTCATTTGTTGACTGCAGTCCATTTCCTTTTGTGACCTACACTGACTCTTTCAGAAAATGAGTGCGAGACCTGCGCAAAGAAACCGGAAACCTACCTCTTCCATGCAGAGCGGGAGGAAGACGTTTTCTTTACAATGTCAAACTCCAAATGCATCTGCTTGATTTGTGAAGTTGCCATCGCACTTCCAAAAAAAGCAAACGTCAAGAGGCCTTTTTAAACTATACACAGAAACTACGAGGACCTAGCCACGACATACGCACAAGCTATACTTCAACCTGAGGATCCCATCTTTCCAATTTCTTTTTTTTTTTTTAAGGTAGATCACGATGACCTGTCCACTAGAAAAAGTAGATCTCAAGCCACAAAAGTATGGGCACCCCTGTTTTAAGAGAAATAAACCATGAATTCCAGAGAGCTGTCAGGAAGGACAAGGACTGATACTAGAAAAACATCTGTAAAGACACAGAAAAGATGAACAAACATGGAAAAACAAGGATTGTTTTTCACAAGATGCAGGAAATAAAAATTAAATTTTAGCCACAAATCAGTATTCCAAGAGATGTCATAACAGAAACAAAATTAAAACAATATGTAGTACACACAGAAGACCTCTATTGTAACAAGCTGGCTGGCTTACCCCGTGTGGGGATCGAACCAGCAGTCCCCATGTTTGCAGATCAGAATGATACGGAGTAAGCCACCAACCAAGCATGTCAGCCCTAATCAATCCGATATAGTTTTCTCCCTCCTCAAGACACTTTTGTTGATGTTGATTACACAGAAGAACCTTTAGTGCTGGAAGATGAAGTCAGACAGGTCATGAGATCACTGCCAAAGAAGAAAGCCAAAGCAAGTGACAGCATTGCAACAGATGTATTTTAAGACTCTGATTATGCTAACAAATCTGGAAAACAGCTCAACGGCCAGCAGATAGGAAGTCAAAGCCAAAGAAAGGAGACAAGAAAGTGTGCAAACTATCATGCAATTTCTCTCATATCACACACCAGTAAAGTTATGCTAAAGATCATTCAATGCAGATTAGAGTCTTTTGAGAGTACTTTCGACGGAAAAGAAAACAAACAAATGGATCCTCAACCCAATCAAGCCTCTATTCTCACTCAAAGCCCTTATTTTGGACATATTTTGAGAAGAACCAATTATTTGGAAAAGACCATCATGTTTTGAAGATTTCAAGGCAAAAAAAGAAGAGAACGACCAGCAACAACATGGATGGATACATTTAGAGGAACATGAACAAACGATTTAGATGCCTAAAGACCCAAACAGAAGACAGAATATTCTAGAGAAACCAGATCCATATGGTCGCCAGGAGTCAGAAAGAGCTTGACAGCACTTTATAAATATACAACATATTACAGACCTTTCAAGCAAGTCACCATTCTGCAATCTGCATGTTCTTTAGCCAATACAATAAAACGTACTGACAAAGCATACTGACATTCAATAACTACAGATCAAACATTGTAGAACAAATGTCTATTTCAAATGCAAATCCTTTATCTACTCCATAGCACAGCGTGACTTAGTACTGAAATACACAAAACATATACAACTACTGTGCATGAACATGCTTACTGTGGTTAAAATATGAGACAACATCTTAATGAAATAATGAGCTTATTTTCTAAAAGGCCTCTGACAGTTGCCAACAGTCTGATTCCAGACTGATGCAGAATTACTGAAGCAAACAGTAAAGCTTTTTGTTCTTTTTTTGGAAAGCTCCTCTAAACCACACTGCATATTAGGTAAGCAGTTCATGCAGCCAATTAAACAGAACTAAACATCTAACTTTAACTGCAAAATGAACATAATTTACATCATTTATGGTTTTCTTGTAAATTTCTTGGAATGTTCTACCATGCGCATTTGAGCTACAAATTTATTACATGTCCACCGGCATCATATATGATTATATATTAAGAAAACAGACATATTAACTAAAAAAATAAAAAACAGAATTATAGAGAAAAAATCTAAAGTTCTTAACCCTCAGAAGTGCAGTCATCCTCACTGATAAGAAGTTTCATGCACTTCTTGTTCTGTACATAGTAAACTAGAGATTTCACTTCAGCAACTCTGACCCGGAATGAATGCACAAATGACCACTGCACTGGATATCCTCTCAATTAAGCACTAATAATCTCTTTAGGAAAGCCTCACATTCCATAAATGGGTGTAAGGTGGTGCTAATAATGTATTAAACCATGTTTTGTGAAAATGTAACTTAATGTAGTAATTAAAAAATTACATTTTTTCTATAAACGGACGTCATTTAAGCATTTATTTGAAGTTGAAAGTTTAAGGCATACATTTAAAACTGGAAATTTGTATTTAAATATCATAACTGTCAAAAATGTAAATACTGAAAATTATACTTGTGGTCTAAAATTCAATTTACAACTATTGATTTTATTTCCTTAAAGAGATTTTACACAGCTCACTTAAAGAAAAGGGAGAATTTGAGACCAATGATCACTTAAGATGTTGTATGCAAGTGACCACAGGCCATGGAGACCAGAATATCCACTTCTTCTGCCAGACACTTGTCATTGTGTTGTCATATACACCAATTAGGCATGACATTATGACCACCTTCTTGTTTCTACACTCATTGTCCATTTTATCAGCTCCACTTACTATACAGGTGCACTTTGTAGTTCTACAATTACAGACTGTAGTCCATCTGTTTCTCTGCATACTTTGTTAGCCCCCTTTTACCCTGTTCTTCAGTGGTCAGGACCCCCATGGACCCTCACAGAGCAAGTACTATTTGGGTGGTGGATCATTCTCAGCAGTAACTGCTGTGTCTGATCCATTCAAACCAGCACAACACACACTAACACACCACCACCACGTCAGTGTTACTGCAGTGCTGCCAATGACCCACCAGTATAAGTACTGATTCATAATTAAAGTAATAACCCAGGGAGATGTCATTTGTGTCAATTTTGAACCTCTGCATGTATTTATACGTATAAAAGTCTGGGAAGTAATTTTGGAACATACCTTAGGATACACCATGACTATATATCTGTACAAATCGGCAAGCATCTGTAACCATTTCAGCACAGAGCCTACTCACTGTGGGGTGTAAGGTTGTTATTGAGAAATATGCACTTTTTTGGGAACACCTGTACATCTACTCATTCATGCATTCATACTCATTGTCTAATCATACAAGGGTGTGGCACCAGTGCACAGCAGAAAATCATGCCGATACTGCCCAGCTGCTTCAGGTGATCTTCATATTATCCATCAGAAAGGGGGAAAAACGTGATCTCAGTGATTTTGACCGTGGTATAATTGTTGGTGCCAGACGGGCTGGTTTGAGTATTTCTATAGCTGCTAATTTACCATGATTTTTGAGCACAACAGTCTCTAGAGTTACTCAAATTGGTGCAATAAAGAAATAACATCCACTAAGCGGCAGTTCAGCAGACAGAAATGCCCTGTTAATGAGGGAGATCCATGGAGAATGGCCAGACTGGTTTCAGCTGACAGAAAGGCTACAGTAACTCTGGTAACTCTGTACAACTGTGGTGAGCAGAAAAGTATCTTTGAACACACAACACATTGAACCTTGAGGTGGATTGGCTACAACAGCAAAAGACCACATTTCAGTTTGAAAGAAGTTCTAATTCTGTCAGCCAAGAACAGAAAGGCGAGGCTGCAGTTGACATAGGCTCACCAAAACAGGGCATCTGAAGACTAGAAAAGCGTAGCCTGGTCTATTGAAACCTGATTTCTGCTGAGGAACACAGAGGCGTCAGAATTTGGCACCAATAGCATGAATCCATGGATACAACCTGCCTTGTGTCCACAGTCCACTCTAATGCCACAGCCTAACTGAGTATTGCTGGTGGCCATGTGCATCCCGTCATGGCCATAATTTACCATCTTCTAATGGCTACTTCCAGCATGATAACACACTATGTCACAAAGCAAAAGTCATCGGAAACTGTTTTTTTGAACGTAACAATGAGTTCAGTGTTCTTCAGTGGCCGCCCCAATAACCAGATCTGAATCCAATAGAACACCTTTGGAAAGTGACAAAACCTGTGATTCGCAGCACGAAAGTGCACCTGAAAAAACTCCATGATGCAATCGTGTCAATATGGACGAGAATCTTAAGGGGATTTTTCCAACATCTTGTGGAATCCATGTCACGAAAAACTGAAGCTGTTTCGAGAGCAAAAGGAAGCCCTACCTAGTATTAGTACAGTGTTTCTGGTAAAGTGCTTAGTGAGTGTATTCAGTAATTTGTTTACAGATGAAGTTAAGTCTGCATAGGTTACACTAAGTGTAGCTCTCCTGGCAAGGTTTGTTTGACTATTTCTAGGATTCTATTTTGGTAAATGTAACTGCTTATAAACAATTATGTAATGGTCAACAAGTTGTATATTTACCTGTTGAAAGCAGGCTTGAACCAAATTCTCAGGGAACAGGTTTCGGATTAGGTCCAGAAAGGCATCCAGACTGCTGACTTCCTGATCCTTGGGGCCAGTGCTCACCTGGGTTGCCCTGAGTTTAGGGTTCCCTGGGTGTATGCTTAGTACCAGGATCACACCCAGTACAGCTGCGATAACTGTGGTGGACATGTAATACACCATGGCCCTAGTGCCCATTCTCCCACTGGAGCGGGCATCCAAACCAGCCAGACCTGCCAGATAAGAAATGGTAAGAAAGGCCTTCATAGCTATATTTATCTAGTATTTTACCTCTTTCCTTAACAAAGCAATTCAAAAATGTTTAGTGTTCAAAGTTGGTTACTGTAGTTTTATGCTGGAGCTAATATTGCTAACAAGTACAGAAGCTTATATCCCACTAATTAGCAAAGTTACATGCAGTAATCATCACAAACACCTCAAAGAGAATTGTCTGTCATCTAATAGAGCTGGTCATTATAACAGTGTTTTGATAAGTACCTTGTATGGCTAAACCAGTAGGAACAGCCATCTCTCGATTTTGTACATATTTTTGCCCAAACTATTTCTGCCCCAAAATGTCTTGGCTAATCAGCTACTTTTGGGGTAAGTAAATTTGAGTTTTGCTAAACTTTTTTTTTGCTTGCAAAAACAATGCACTGAATACTATGAAAAAATATTAAATGATACGGAAAAAAAACAAATTAGGTGCAGGATAAATTAAACAGAAACAAACATATCTGGTTATTATTGTTTAAATGTCCCTGAGCTCTTTTCTAATTGGGCAGGCTTGACTTTGAGCTTAGGTTACACTCTTAGAAAAGATGGTTCTTCAAGGGGTCTTTAGTAAAGAAAATTATTCTATACAGAACCATGGACACCAAAGAAAGTGCTGTAGATGGTTCTATATACAACATTTTTGAAAATGATTCTATACAGCACCAAAAAAGGTTTGCAATTGTTATGATGTCAAGCTTGTAACAATAGAAGAACCCTTTTTGGTGCTATATAGAACCCTTTTCTTTACTACAGAACCCTTGAAGAACCATCTTTTTTAAGTGTGTACCTGGCTAAAATGACAAATTCTGCATTGTAACTAGCCACAAAAGATAATGGAGCAGAGTATATATTTTTATATGATAGTCTTGTGAATCTAGTGATGACTATTTCAGCTCTCGTTTTCCCCTTTTTGTGATATTTCTGTTGATAGTGTTCACAGAAAGAATGAGCTCGACTGGATTACAGTCTCAAGTTCAAAAAATCCAAACTTTAAATAATTCTTGAGGTTTTCTGGCTTAAAATGTTGTGAACATACTTGTTCTCATTACTTCTAATGGTGTGATTTGTGTGAGTTGTTTGAGGTTGTTTATGGCACCAAACCACTCATGTCCTTTAGTGGTGTGTGATAAAGACTAATTGTAATTAATGTGTGTTCTTCAACAACACAAGTTGGCAGATAGATTGACTCAGAGTAAATCTATTTATTAATTTCACAGAAATGCAGCCATTTAGCAAAATTAGTGATGCTAAACTTGTGATACATGAAGGGACGTGGCCATGCAGTGTTGTGCTAAACAGCCACACCCCCACTAAACAGATTACCTCTGGGAGATCAAACAAATCAAACATTTGTGAATATTGACATTTTAAGTTAAACCAAAAACCTGTGGAAAATAACCGCACTGTGCAGCGTGTAGAGTCGTCTGTGAGTATCACCTGTGATGAGGCTGGAGATGATGAGAGGAAGGATGAGCATCTTCAGCATCCTCATCAGAATATCTCCAGGAAAGGAGACGAGCATGAGTGTGTCTGAGTCAAGATCAGGAACATAACGCAACAGCAAGCCCAGCACTGATCCTCCTATTACACCTGTAAGCAGTGTATCCAGGAGAAAGAGAGAAAGAGGGAGAGACACATACAGAGTAAGAGGGAGACAGAAAATGAGGGGTGAGAGTGGGGAGAAGGTCAATAAATTTTGTTGTGTCATTATAACTCATCCGATAACTGCTCAAACATGTACAAATGTCAAACGTTTGAGGCTTGTAAAAAGGTAAGCAGGCTAAGTGTGTAACAGGAGATGAGACTCTGTCTTGGTAAACAATTTTAGGGTCTGTTTTAGGGTAATGCCTTACTGCTGGAGAATGTGTTCATAGATGTGAATATGTGCATGGGTTGCAGTCATGCATTTCACTTTGTACTTCTGTATATAGCTGTTGTCAGCACAAAACCTCATTTCTCCAAAACGGTAATATATATATATATATATGTATATATACATATATATATATACAACCACAGTACTAAAGTAAGGAGTACTAAAGTAAGGAGTGAAATAAATAAATAAATGCCCTAGAATCTGCACCTAGGATAATAAAAGTTTAACTAAAGGCATATAGCACAGACTCAAGTTACCGAATCACAACTGGAAGACGTGAAGAAGAAAAAGGAAAAGAAAAAAGAATAAATAAGGGAAAGACGGATTAAAGCAGCCAATAAAACTGGCCACAGGCGGCCATGACAGCAGCAGTGACCGCTTGTGCTTAGATCATTGATAAGTAAATTCTAAAGGAATGACATGCCCACCGCAGTACTTGCTTTGGATTTATGAACTGTGATGATGGGAAGTTAACAAAGGGAACATTGTAAAGAATGTGTTTGTGTGTCTGAAAAGCCTTTTTGACTGCCAGGGAAGTGATTCCTGATTGGGGCTTTGAAGGGACAGGGATTTGATTTTCCAGCCTGTCTTTATCCTCACATAACCCTTTCTCCGTCCCAATAGCCACACAGAAGGCTAAATCACTATTCAAGTCAACAACATGCTGCGGTATATCCCGTTTTTTATTTGGTCCCTTATGAGAGTGATTTTAAACTTTGAGTTAAAATTCATGTACAGTACCAGTCGAAAGTTTGGATACGTCTATAAACAGTAGGGTTTCCCTTATTTTTACAATTTCACACATTTTAAAATAAAAAAAAGTGTTAAACGGATTAAACTATCTTCTATTTTAGATTGTTTGTAAGCAGCTCCATGATGAGCTACCTGGGATGCTTTTCCAGCAGGTCTGAACAGAATATGCATAAAAGTACTTATTTGGCAGGGCATTTAAAAGTTTTGTTTTGGAAACTTAAAACAGATTTCAAGCATCTAATCATAATTCTTTAGATAGAAATGTCTTTAAGATTATGAAAATCATACATTCAATAAGGTGTGTCCAATATTTTCACTGGTACTGCAGTTTCACTCACACACAAACACGTACCCAACACAGTAAGGGTAAGGAGAAGGTTGCGTGCGAACCAGCCGCAGTGTTGATGTACAGCGCCTTCTTTAGGCACTGCTTCCCGTCCCTCCTCAGCCACGCCCATCTGCTTCCCCAACTGCTGATTTGTCATTCCTGAGAGAGAAAGAGAGAGAGGGAGAGTTTACTACAAGTATTTAAGAATAATGACCTTTCATGACAAAAAGGTCATTGCCATCCTGTCTTCTGGAACGCGTACCACATATTTAGTGGACTAAAGGCCAGTCCACCCTTAAACCTCTAAACAAACTGTAGAAGTTCTCTGTGAATTAGCCTGCACTAGTATAAGCTGTATGAAGCACAATGTGCTTCACGTTGTCTGGTCTACAAGATGAACTCACTATGCTGCAGCACATAATATCACAGGAAACATCAGACCGTGCACAGCATCTGCGGAATGTGCAACACATTTTTCCCTATTATAAACTCTAGGTGAGCAATTGTGTGGGGTGAAGGCAAAATGCATGCGGTCCAGCAAAGTTTTTCATCACAAGGCTTTTATTCATGCATGATTTCCACTCTGAGACAGCAATAAAGAGCAGATGAGGAGAGAAAGATGTGGAAAGAGCTTGCTTTGCCAGAGAGGGGGATGTGTGTACAGTGTGTGAGAGAAAAGGTGTGAAATGCAGTCTGATGAGAGTGAGTGCATTAATGTAGGACTGGATTTTCATATGATTTGGTTTTGTTTATTGCATCTAGCCAATAAAAGCAACAAAAGAAATTTTTTGTAATCAGAATTCTAGAATAACACCTACATTCCTTTTCTAGAACTGCAAATTCCCAAACTCCCTGACTCTTTGCAATTCACTGTTTCTAGATCTCTTGCCAGAACTTTATCTAGAGCTCTCTGCAACTTCTCGAACTTTCTACAACTTTTCACTGTTCCAAAACTGTTTCCAGAATTTGCCTACGTTCAGTGTTTTTTTTTTTAATAACTGTTGCTAGCTTTAAAAATGCTGATAAAAATCACATTCAGTCTAATGAGAAATTGCAGTGCACAACTCAGCTTTTCTCAAAATACTTAATAGAGCTCTTTATCAATTTCCAGTAGTTTCTCTTTTGTATGAGCCTGCAAAGACAAACTGCTACACTACAGATAGCGTAGTGTAAATGGTGTCTTTTTTTTGCTGTGTAAATTAAAGATTTTAGGGATAAATCTGGTCGAAAAGCTCAGCACCAACGTGCTACAGTTTCTCATTAGGTTGAACAGCTGCTATGAATGAATGCATTTGTATGCAAAGTATGGGCAGGTAAATTCTTTGCCATTTTCAGGACTCTTTCCACAACTCCTTTGACAATTTTAGAATCTTCAGTGAATTGCTCAAAATGTCTAAACCTCTACCCAGAACTTTCTGCAATTTCTAGACCTTACTTTGTAGAACTTTTTTTGCAAGTTCAAGAACACTTCTATTTCCACTGCCTTTTGTAGCTATTTTGCCTCTTCCTGATACACCTTTAAATCCTTGCTTAGCTGGCATTTGCTTCTGGACTTTCAAGAGCACTGTTTGAATCTTTAAACAAACATTTCACTTTTTACCACCAGATGTACCTGAAGATTATATTAAAGCTGCAATACTAAAGGATGAGTAATTAATAGCAGAGGCTGGCTAGTCCTCAGCTAAGCAAGTCTATTATTTCTCTTATCTCGTCTCCTGAAAAAAATTATCAGCTAATTATTGGCCTTAAACAACTCTATGACAATCCTCATGCCATGTTCCGTTATTTATTTTTTTTTTGCTCTGTGGCAATTTTTGCAATGGAAATCTTGATTTACATATTAATTCAGGCCATTTAAATACCTGCTGAGGTAATTTGCATGTTAGATGTTAAAGGTAAATTGCAGCAGGGCTGGATGGTTGTCATTCCTGTGGTTACTTGCACAGCTGTCTTTCTGTTCAGAGCTCAGCTGGTGTCAGCCAGCAGAGACACACAGGAACTGTAAAATTTCTATCGCAAGGCCACTGCAGGCCAGGTTTCAGACTCACACACTTACAGTCTGAGTACAATGGACAACTTACAGCTGTTTCCTAGTCAGGGACCTCCATCTTCCTAGACAGTGTTTCCATTAGAGAGAAATAAACCGATACTCAAAATAAATGGCTAACTAAATTTGGCACAGACACAGAGTATAAACGGAGGAACCAGAAAAGCAAGAGAGATCTTGGCAAAAGAAATCTGAATGTTTGTTCACGACATGACTTGACCTGCTGGAGAGGAAGCATGTGAATATGAGATCGCATCTCTCTCTGAACTTTCACACTTCATTTTTCAGACCTCTTGCCTTGTTTCCGTTCATATATACAAACACTCTCTCTCTCTTTCCCTCTCCTTCACAAACAGAGAACGAGACCTGATGTGAGTAGTTCACATTCCCTGCAGTTTGTCAGTATGGCCATGAAATATGCATTTTAACCCAACGAACACTGATTACAAACGATGAACAGCAACCATCCTCTCTAATCAGGCTCGTTCCATTAGAAACATCTGCACAGTGAGGATCAGTGTCTGCAGTTGTGGAGGAGGAAAAACAGGCCGTGCATAAACACGAGGAACACAACCAGCACGCTGTCCGGTGTAGCTCACACATACAAGTGACATCATATTTACAAACTCTCAACAATACACTGCGTGGAAAAATTGTCTTTGCTATGATAAAACAATTCCATGAAATAAGAACACTGCAGTCGGCTGGGTGAGTAATGTACTACTCACCAAGGTTTGTTTTGGTTTGGCATGAGCTCCTTTCCTTTTTCATTCCTTCTCTGCCTATTCGTCTTAGGTTTTCACTCAAACAGTTGCAACTACAGTTGTCACTTGGACATAAAGGCAGACTGGCAGCTGGAGTTGAAATGCTGCTTTTGGAAAAACACCCAGAACGTTTCGGGCACACTTACAGTACCTGTGCAAAAGTCACAAGCAGTCTGAAAAAACTATTTGTAAAGCTATTAATGTGGCAACTATTTATCTGCTTGAAAAATGCAAACATTGCTATACATACACATAAACAAATAAACAATATATTGTGATTTTATGTCTGCCAGTGTGTTTGCTACATTATTTTCAAAGCTCGTCTCAAGGAAGCCCAGTATTTGTAGTTCCCATCCAATACCTAGTTTGTTTTATCAAGCCTTTATTAAATCAAGTGTGCTGTATTTATTCTAATTTATATAATGTATTTATTCTTTCATTAATTTTCATGGCTCCCTAAGTCCGTTGCACAGTACTATGCATAGTTTCACAGGCAATCATACAGTGGACAGATAGATAGATAGATAGATAGATAGATAGACAGACAGACAGACAGGCAGACAGACAGACAGGCAGGCAGGCAGATAGATGAGAAAGTTAGACAGAAAAGTTTTATGGTTTAGCTTTTTCTGTCATATAGTAACTCGTGATCTTCACTGTAGTCTTACCATCAGTCCTATTTTTCAGGTTGAAGCAACAGTGTGTAAGAGTGTTATATCATCAAAGAATGAATATTTGTCTAATACATAATTCTGCTTAACAGAAGAAGAGAAAGAAAGAAGAAACAAGAAGAAATAAATTAAGAGAGACAGAGAGAGAAACGCTATTAGCTTAAGCTGAAAAAATCTTTTTTCTTCATGTTCTGTGCAGATCTACTCTTGCATCTGCCAAATCTCCAGCTGCTAAGGGCCTTAAGTAGTTGCTGGGATATCTAATCCTTCCACACAGAAGAAACAAAATAACTGCAACTCTCTTTCTCTCAGCTGCCAACAGGACCTCTCTGTGATAAGTGTGTGAAATAAGCCTGAGGAGCTAGCACAGAGCCAGACGGGGTCAGCCATGATTCTGGAGCAAACTGGAGTATGGATCTTTGTGCCATTTTATGTTATGGAATTATCTTAAGCTGTGATGTAAGCCTGTAGGGTTGGCTGCTGCCTCACAAAAAAATCCTCTTCTTCCAGAAAGAATGCAGTTATTTTAGTAACACTGTACGTTAGTGGTCCACTATAGGTGCATTAAATAAGACAAATTCAATCTATTCACATTATCTTTCACTCTAAACCTAAGATAACCAGTAAACAAAATCAAAATAGTCTAGTTCTCTGGTTCTTAAACCACAACTCAGAGCCCTCCAGATGGTCCATATTTTGAATATATCCTACCTCAGTAGATAGGGGGCCCTCGGGACAGGTTTTAGAACCACTGGTCTAATTACTAGCTATTCAAAACTAAGTAAAACAGATCAAAACCTGTTAAAAGTGGGACATAATCTATGAGACACCTGAGCTGGAAATTTGAACCCGACTCTAAACCCAACCAGGCCTGAGGTAAACAGTTTGGCCCTGTTGAGTTTGGCCAAGTATTTCATGCCCTGCCATCTGTGGGTTAAAGCATTAGGATGCTGAAACAGGCCTCATGCATGCTTTTGCATAGTCACTTAGCTCATATCGGTGGGATTACAATCGATCCCAGATAAGTACATGCTTTCCCACCAGCCTCAAAACGAGGTTCAAAGAAACAAACAAATCCTCTATCCCCTGTTATTCTAAAGCATGGTGCCATCACAAAAAAAGGCTTATGCCATTTTCAGTATGGGTCTGACTCCACATATCTGGGAGTGACCTGGGCAAGAGATACAGACAGATTTTTTTCACTGTCCATTAATACAGTTACAATCTTCAACTCAGAATCAGAAACACAAGCATTTACATCATCCAAATTTGTGTTTAATCAACAAATGTCAATTCTGATAACTATACTTTCCACTTGTTCTAAGATACAGTGTGCTTAAAACTACTGTAATGAGAGGGTGTCTTTCCGCCAAGTTCTCTCAAAAAGGAAACATTTGCTTGGTGTTTCAGTAAATCTACAGTTACAGGAATATTACATGCCGGGTCAAATGCTGTTGCGCCAAAAGCACAAAGAAGGTGAAGAAGTTCTATTTGATGTCATTCCCTGACAGCATCAGGACGATTTACTGTATGTCTCTAGCTAGGATAACTAAATTGCTGCATTTTCTCTTCTGATACATTGTGGATTATATGGAAGCTTCATTTCATCAAGCAAACCCCATACCATAGAATCTCCCTCTCAAAAACAATAAAAAGTAACTTAAATTGGGGCTTTTT